TTAGGGGTCGTCGGCCCTTTTTTAGACTACTTTATAGGATAATATTTTTAATATTATTAATTTTAAAAAATATTATAATAAAAATAAATATTTATTTAAATTAATAAATTATCCTTTTATATTAAAAGAAATATATAAAGTTAAATATATTTTTATATATAAGTATTAAAGTAAATAGTAGCTTTACTTAATTAAATAAAAAGATTACTTAAATAAAAATAATTAATAATTAAAATATTTAGACTTTATAAATAATATTATAATTAAGAAATATAAAAATATAATTAAATAAAGCTAATATTATTAAATATTATAATAAGAATAATATAATAAAAATATATATTATTTAATTATATATTTAAAAAAAAAGAAAATATACTTAAAAATACTAAAACTTTAATTTAAAAAATTATTAAATTTTAACTTTTTATTATTTTTTTTATTACTTACTTTTTTTTTTTTTATTATACTTATTTTTAACTTTTTATTATTAAAAATTATTATATAGCTTATTTTTAATTTTTTATTAAAGCTAATAATAATAAGTTTTTACTTTTTATTTATTTTTATAAAAAATAAAACTTAAAATTATATTATAAATTAATAATATTATTATATTATAATATTATATTTATATATTATATTTTTTAATTAAAATAATATTATTAAAAGTAATAAAGTATAATACTTATAGTACTTTTATTATATATAATATATTTATATTAAAAGTAAATAAAGTTAAAACTTTTTTATAAATAAACTATAATATATATTTTAAGCTATTTATAATTATATTTATTTATTATTAATATATAAATATTATATAGTTATTATAAAAAGTATTTATTATATTATTTATAATAATAGCTATATTTATAAAAATATTAATATTAATTAAAGAATTTATAATAAGTATATATATTTTATAATAAATAATATAATATATATAATAAACTATATAATTTACTTAATATTAATTTTTATTATAATATAATAAATATATTATAATTTTACTAATATTAATATAATAATAGCTTTTAAAAGTATTATTATTTACTAAATTAAATATAAATATATAATTATAATACTTAATATAAAAAATATAGTTATTATAATTATTAATATTTTTTTTATAATATATTATTATTAAAAACTTATAATAAATTATAAATAAATATAAAAAAAAATATTACTTTTTAATTATTATTATTATTATTATTATTATACTTAAAATTTAATTTATTTAAAAAAGTATTTTTTTTTTATATTTTATTATAATATTAATAATATATATATTTTATTTTAAAAAAATAAATATAAATATATAATAAAAAAAGTATAAAAAAATTATAAATTTAATATATTTTAATATTTTTTCTAAATTTTTAATATATAATTAAAATTTTTAAAAATAATAATTTATAATAATTTTTATAAATAAAAAAATACTTTTAATTATAATTAATAAATAAAAAACTAAATTTTATTTTAATATATATATAATTTTTAAAAAAAAACAAAAACTTTTATTAGAGCTATTTTAGAATTAATTCTAAACTAACCCCTCTCTCATTTCCTTTTCCATTCTTTTCAGTTCTAGCTCCCTTTGCTGTAAGTTAAGCTCTAGCTCCTTTAGCTGTAGTTGTTTTTCTAGAGCTGCATTTGCATCATTTTGTAACTGAATCTCTCTTGCCTTAAGATCCAAATCTGCTTGTTTCTCAAGGCGCTGCTGAATCATCCTTTTCCTGCTTAAGTTAGTTTATCTTTAAGCTTAAAACGTTTGAAAACTGTACTTACTGGGGAGAAGGTGGATTCCGCTTTCGTTTTTGACCAGAAACAACGCCTGAAGAGGACGTTTGGGACACAACCTCAATATCATCTGCAACTGACTCTGAAAAACTCAGCACCGATCGAGCCCTTGCCGAGGAAGGCCCAGCTGTCAATCCGGAATTGATTCCAGCTGAGCTCTGAGAACGTGCACTACTACTTGGCAATGAATGCACTGGCGTTTGCGGTAGGCGTTCTAAAGCACTAGCAGAAGCTATAGGCTGTGCTATAGGATTATCCAAAAAGGTTTGAATAATATTTCCTCGGCGTGCTCGAATAGCCTGCGCTGCTCTTGCATTCTTCTTTTTAACCCCTATTATTATTAGTTATTAACTTTCTTAATAAGCTTTATAAATTAGTCTTACCTTGCTTAGACTGGTGTATAAAACGCCCTGTTAACGAAGTGTCTCGGTAGGTATGTGTAATACCAGATAGCCGGAAATTTGCATCCCCTTGGATAACATTTGCATCATAAAGGCGACAACTGTTAATAATAATTAGTAAGGAATTAATTATAAATTAATTTAAAAATAAAGTATTATACTTACTGATCAACTACCTTCTTCAAAGCAGCATATCGTCCACTCCACCTATAGGAAATCTCATGTAATACTTCAACAGTATTTGTATGTGATGGTAAAAGGTCCCAATCATTAGATTCCATATCATTGCAATGGCGATTAATGCCAAATCGTATAAGATTGCTTTTCTTATGCTTGGCCCATGCTGCAATGGATGGGATTTCTATAGATATTAGTAGAAAATTCCAAAGTAATTAATTCTAAATTAATTCTCACTTACTTTTGAGCTCTTCACAAATTGCATCATAAGTCTCTTCAGATCCAGCATCAAGAAGACTCATCATTTGACTCCAAAGTGAATTTGGACTTCGACTCATATTGCAGTACTTCTCAACACCTCGCTGAAAATGAACTTTGCAAAAGCGAATAGTGTGTCGTGCATGCCAAATCCACTTACGCTTCTGCGGATCAAGAGCATATAAGTACATACAGAATCCTATAATAAAATTAGCTGATAGTTGAATTAGAATCAATTCTAAACATACCCATCACAGCTTGAAATTCTTGATCAACTGTAATTCCAACAAGTCCAGATCCATGTAAGTGTTTAAACTTAACATCAATCCCATACTTATCCTTAAAAATTGAGAACACCTTTGAATACATAAGTGTAAACATATGTGATGTTTCTGAATTTGTAAAGATACGAACAAGTGGAATAACTAAAATATTTATTAGTATACAGTTTTTATTATTTAAACTTAAAACATACCTCGTTGAGAAATAGGACTATACCAGCCCCAAATGATCTCTATATTGCCAGAGACAGCAACATGTTTATAATTAACATCAATTGTTAATGATGTTAAACATGATTGCTTAAACATTTCTGCCTGAGCCTGGAAAAAGCAAATGATAATATACTCATCCCCATCATCATCCATAAACTGAATATACTAAAACTAAGTTAGAATTAATTCTGGACTAATCTGTTAATAAAGAAAACATACCTGCTGCTCTCTTAGAGCTTTATCAGAAAGTGATTTACTTTCTTCTTCTTTCCAATCTAGGAAAACAGCCATTCGGGATGCTCCTTGCGGAAAATGAAGCATCTTATGCTTTTGTAAAATAGCACGAAGATAATCTTGATTTGAAAGAGACTGATGGATTTCACTTAAGGTCTTTGCATGATGTTTTTTACAAAATGCTTGGATCTCAGGTAATGAAAGAAATGGAACTATATAAAGAAATTAGTTTAAATAATAAGAAAACAGTCTTATTAGTAAAGTAATATAATTACCTAAAGCTAAAGAACCAAACTTAGTAGATTTCACAATATTAAAGAAATCAGTTGCAATAGCTGCAGGAAGCTTTTTAGGGGGCGGGGGAGGATGTGTATAAATGCCATATGCTGCAATTAAAATTGCTGGCATTCTGTCAACGAGGGGTGTAAAAAACACCCATCAAGCGTTGCAGCTCCGTTTAACAATCTTTCCCCGACGCATGATATGATCAACATCTAATTATATTAGAATTAATTCCTAAACAGTTTTCAAAGGAACATACCGCAAGTTGATCTTTTTCGCCGATTTGAATCAAAGAAATAACATTCTTCATATTCATGCAATTGTCTACCTGCTAGAACGTCTTTGATTGCTGAATGATGCTCTTTGTAAGATTGATCGCAATAGGCTGTACAATGATTGGAGATGGCGCCTGGAAGGGTTGGTACAGCATTGCAACAGCGTACCCAATAGTGACGTTCTGTAATATTGCCCTGCTTATGTTAGTAGATTTAAATCAGTTTGGAATTAATTCTCTTACAATATGTGTTTCACTCTCACGTAACTGAAGTTCACATGAGGGTAAAAATGCACGGCAAGATTTTTGCTTTTCAAAAGCAATTCGGAATCCTCGGGCAAAACTATTAAAATATTAATATATTATTTTTTTTAAAAAAAAATAAAAAAAATATAAAAAAATAAAAAAAAAATAAAAAGAAAATAAAAAAAATATAAAAAAATAAGGAAAAATTAAAAAGAAAATAAAAAAAAAATAAAAAAAAATAAAGTAATATAAAAATATTTTAAAAAGAAAGAAAAAAGAAATATAAATACCTTATAGCCTTCCTAAATAAGCTTGGAGAGTGTAGTTCTTCTCGTATTGTCTGGAGACTATACATAAGCTCTTCACTGATTTCTGAATGGTCCCATTTGGTAGTTGAAACAAATTCACAAGCCCGGCCACCAGTGCACTTATATGTTGTTCTTCGGCAGGGAATTCCACCAAAAAACACTGTTGAGCTGTCCCTTGTTGCTGATATGCGCATCATATTGTATTGTATCTATAATCCTGAATTAATTCTAGACTGAGCGTAAAATGTTTTGTGCACACTTACGGATGACCAAGGTTCATGAAAGTCATTGGATTCAATACCGTTTCTGGGAATACAGTAACCAACTCCATTGACGCTTGTATTGGGGTACTCGGGAATTCCAGGCGAATAGATAAGCGACTCGACAAAGACTGGTTGGCTAAGCGAAGCAATATCGTTGGCTGTTGCAGCGGAAAGCAAAATGGGCTCGACTTGGTCATCCTGGCAAATCTGTTAGCTTTCAAGAATAATCATGAAATAATTGAGAATTAATTCTGACTTGACTGTTTGTTGGCACTTCTTCTTCTTCAAGCTCTTCTGGTAAATCAGGTAGTGTTGGCCTAACATGCTCCTCTGCATATCTCATCCGTTCCTCCAATGTGACGGGTATTTGCTGTGGAATTATCAGACGATTATCTCTTGCCTGCGCATCCAAGATTTCAGCAGCCCGCGGATTAAGCTCAGTGCAATTGATGATCATCTCATTTTCATGTAGAAGAGCAAGCTCAAGGTCCTCGCGGCTCATTCCAAACGTTGGTAATGGCATGTTTGTATTCGATTCGTGATTCGTTGCTGCATCGTTACAGTCGAAGTCTAGATCGTTCTCGGAAGAGTCAATAATGACTGTTTCAGGGGGATCTGGATTTGATTCCATGATGCTTGTGATGCATGCAAAAAGCTGTAGAAACAGTTTGCGTTCAATTGCAAATTGATTCTTTGATAGTTCGAAATTGATTCCAGAGAGTTCGCTCAAAAATGCCTCGATCATGTGACTTATCAGAGGAAACCCGTACGTTGTACAGGTCTCCTTTTTTTAGCGCAGGAGGAAACCTGTACAATGTACAGATTTGCCTCAGCCACAGGATCCACTAACAGCTTATGTGTATACTCGGCACAATGACGGTCGTCACAGCTGCTGAAGGCCGGGGGTGCGACTCGACTCGAGTCCTCGACAGGGGGGAGAAGCTCTCCCGCCGTTCTGCTACTGTCGGCGCCAAACCGCTTCCAGCTCGAGGCGCGTGGGACGCCGCTGCAAGAACAAAGACAAGCCGCACCGTTTCGCCTGTCCGTCTGTTCGTACGGGAGCACTAGCAGTGTTGCTAGTGATGCTAACCACAGTATCATGGGGACCGGACAGACACTGGCCCCAGGTCGGATCCTGCAGGCATTGCGGTGGCTCCGCTCGAGCGACAGTGCCAAACGAGAGACACAAGCCCCCATCAGAAAGTGACACAGGCCGGGGGGTCATCGCCGCCAGATGCGTGGCGCACAGGGCGATGGTGGTTAGCTGAGGGTTGGTGGTGGTACTCGCAATAATGCGTGGGCGTCGTGATGGTGTGCAGCCGTCTGAGCCATGGCCGCATGAATTGCGTGTGGGATGCGCGGTCCAAGCCGTAGAATTCCGGCACAAGTAGCCACGAGGAGCGGAAGAGCATTCTAGCAGTCTCCCCATCTATTCACGTTGTCAATCCGTTCACGTTGCTGTCTTCTTCTTGAGTCTTCCGTTCTGCCGCGGCTCTCCTGATCTCACGATGGGGGGGAGGTCACAGGCCAGAGGGAGCTGATGCAGGTTTCGAGGCGGTTTAGGGCAACCAGGCACCTCCGTCGTCTGCAGCGAGTCCCGCCACAGGTACAGATACGCAGCGCTGCGTACCTGCATTGTCCCAGGCAGGGTGCCTTAGCATGAGCAGATGCTGTAGATACGGCCGGGCAAGGTATCTGTACCGGGGCCTGGGGCTGGGTGCATGTGCTCCGTTCTGGCACGGCGTGCTTGCGCTTGTACCTTGCCTCACGAACAGTGCCCGGGCCAGGAACGGGCATCCAGTCGGTGGCTCTGTGGGCAGTCTTTGCGGTGCTGCCTGTTCTGCTGCAGCCCGACGCATTGCAAGCACCAACAGCGACCTGCCGTTGGATGCTTCTGCTGTAGATTCGCCAGTCAAGTCCGCACTGCCCCCATGTCTCACGCATTGCTTGATGTAATGTGCCCATATTGCGACGTTCAAGTTCCAGCGACAAGCTCTGTCCGCACATTGATTAGCAGGAAATGGCCCAGCCTGAGGCACTCGGCAGCTGGACGAGCATCTCGGCGCAAGCACCAAAACTTCGCGCCGACTGCCGACAAGCAACGGCCACTTATACAAGTCGCCGCGTAGCACGGCGACAAGCTGGGGACTCGATGCCGACAGGGGCGCACCGCTTCATCTTCCATCCACAGCACATCCTCTGGCCAATGCCTACCCAGCTCTGAGACCCGTAACGCGCATGGCTCCGTCCGGAGAACAAAAGTAGCTGCTCCGCCCAAAGCCTCAGATATCCCCGCGGCCGTCTGTCCTCTTTCGACCCAGCCTTTTCCCGTATCAAGAAGTGTCTGCGGTTGAGTCTCGGCTTGGCAAATCAAACGGGCAACGACCTGTCGTAAATCCTAGCCAGTCGCTTCCGTGTGCCCCTCGTCACCCTCGAGGAGAAATGGCGCCATTCGTCTGCTCCCACAACTGCTTCGTGCTTGTTTGTAGTTTGTACCAAGAGCCTTTTGTGCCGGTGCAGAATGAGCCGCTCCCCCCCTCGCTATTCGCGGTATGAGAAAAGCCCAAGCAAATACTCGACAGCCGTATGCTCCGTGGGTGGGGACCCGGATGGCGTTTGATAGGCTCTAATGCAATTCGCCTAAAAAGTATTCAGCCCGGCTGAAAAGTTAAAAAACAAGTCAACCTTGCCTAATTAGGAAGGGATTATTAGCATAAAGTTGCGCATAAGAATCTAAATGCCTTAACCCTTAATTATAAGGTATTAAGCTAGCCAGGGCTGCATAAATGCCTATAAGGGAGATAAATGCTAAGACTCTTTAATTAATTTTACTAATAGCAGGGGGTAGTAATTAAAAACTTTTTAGCTTTTAAAAGGCTTAGTTATATTTAGCCGCCTACTTTTTTAGTTTTATAAAAATATTATTATAGTTATAAATTAAGTTATTAGTATAATTAATAATAGGGTATTAGCTAATATTATCCTAGCTTATAAATATTAAAGGCAGTGTTATTAAAACCTTTAAAAAGCTACTATATTATTAGCTATTAAATATATCCTTAAAAAAGAAGAGTAATTATAGTAATAAAAGCTAGCCTATTTAAAAGCAGTTAACGCTAAGCTTAATAAGGCAGATAAAGCAGATAAAAATAATAAAAATCCTTATTAGCTAATAGTTATAGTATTATAAAAGCTATATAATAAGCTTTTTTAAGGATTAGAAAAGAGATTTAAAAAACTATTCTATATAAAAAAGGCTATATTTTAGGCCTTTTATAGTTAGCTAAGTTATAACACTAATATATTAAAAAGTTAAAAGTAATCCTTATAATAAAAAGTTATAGTATTCTTATAAATATATATATTTAGTAAGACCTAAAGGAATACTATATATTACTTTAAAATATATTAGTTAATAGTATTTTAAATTATATAAAAGCTGCTAAATCTTATATAGTAGTTATATATAATATTTATAATACAGCTGCTGCTAATATATATCTCTCTTAAAATTATAATAAATTTAAAAGCTAAGGGCTTTAAAGGCATAATTAAGGCTATTAATAGTATATATATTCCTGCCTTTATCTTAAAAGCAAATTAGTAATAATTCTATTTAAGGAAAAATAATATTATATAAAATGTATTTATAGCTATTACCTTAAATAGCCTATTTTACTATATACTAGCAGGAGGTAAAGAATCTCTTTATAATACTACTCTTTTACTATAAGCTATAACTTAAAGCTTAAGGGTGCTATAAAAGAGATACTATCTTACTAATACTAGCTTTTATATAAAATAAGGCATTATACTGCCTTATATTAAATTATATTATTATCTTAATAATTAAGGAGATGCTAGTTAGCAGCCTTATAATAATTATAAGCTATTTAACTTACAGCATACCTTATTAAGGACTATAATTAAGTATATTTTTAGCTGCTATAAAAAGAAATAGAAGATTATATATACTAGCGCTTTAAAATATAACTTTATAAACTAGTGCCTTTTTATATATGCTATTATAAGGCTATATAATTTTATAGTATTAAGAGGAAAGACTTTAAGTAAGAGCTACTGTAAATATCTTAAAGCCTTACTATAAAAAGAATAATTAGCTATTACTAAAGTAAAGGAAATAGCTAATTTTATTATACCTTAGTTAGTACCTTATAGGTTAAGGGAATATATAGCTAAGGAATATTAATTAAGTTATTAGTAATATCTTAATAATAGTAATAAGGATTGCTTTTTTAATAATAAGGGTTAAAGCTAGGGCTTTAAGGATTATAAAAATAGTAGTAGTAATAGCAGTAGCCTAAGATTAGACCTTATTAGTAATAATAAAGGCAATAATAATAAATTTAATAATAAATTTAATAATAAATTTAATAATAAAGATAATAAAGATAATAAAGATAAGGAGGAGGGAGATGCTAAAGAATAGGGCTAGAAATAAGTATAAATACAGCTTTAATAAAGTAAATTAATACTAGGCAGCAGCTAAGATAATAATAGCCTTTTAAGCAGTATTTTTTTCTTATTATAAAGCTATTTATAATTATTATAAAATAAAGCTAAATTCTAGCCTAGGTTTACTACTAGCTATACCTTTTTAACCTTATTTAATAGTAATAAATTCTATATTAATAGGTTTATTAAATCTTTATGCATTTAATAAACTAGCTTAATTAAATATTCTATGCCTTTATTACTAGTAAAGTTAAAATAATCTTTTATAGTAATTTTAAATGCTTTAGCGCTAATAGGTAATAGCTTATATATAATAATATATATTACCTTAGCTGCCTTAGCATTATATAAATTAATTAATACTGCTATAAGCTTATAAATAGCTTCTGCTAATAATAACCCTTCTTAAGCTAGTAACTTTCCTTTCTTCTACTTCCTTATACTTATTATAACCTTAAGCGCTGCAGATAATAATCTAGGTATTAGTAATACTATTTATAGCATTAAAGGCATTCTTAGCTATAATAAAGTTAAATGCCTATATAATAAAGGCGCTGGTTATAGCATTAAGGCTATAGGCTATAGCGCTAGCAGCTATATTACTAAAATAACCTTATCCTTATCCTTATCCCCTATTATAATCTCTACTACTACTATCTCTTTTACTAATACTAGTGCTTTTAATAATGCATTTACTAGCTTATTTACTAATGCTTTTTAATCTTTAGCTATATTTTTAAGTGTATTTCTAACTTTTTTTATAAAGTTATTACTAACTCTTATACCTTTTAAATAGTAATTTCTTTTAGTAAAAGTAAACCCTTTAGCATTACCTGCTTCTTAAATATTTTATTTTACTAGTTAGTCCTTAATAAAGATATATTACTAAGTATTAATATTAATATTATTATTAATAAGGAGCCTGCTTTATATAACTTTCCTGCTAAAGTAAGAGTATTATAATATTATTAATTATTAATTTACAGGGCTTATATTAAGGGCGCTAGTTTTAAGGTTATATATTATCCCTAACAGCCTCTTAGCCTTATTAAACACTTACTAAAACTTCTTTAAATAATTATACTTATTTTTAAGCGTCTTAATAGTCTAGTTATAGCTAAGATACTAGTTTTTTATAAGTTTAATTATCCTTTTAAAGCTTTACTAAAGGTATATTACTTTTACTAACTTTATAAGGTTATTACTAGTAGCCTTATATAGTAATAGGAGAAAGAATAGCATTTAGTTATTTATCCACCTAGCTTTACTAGCCTATAACGCCTATAATACAGGTTTTAATATTTTAACAGGTCTATAGCTTATTATAACTTAAAATAGAAGTAAAATTATATAGCTTTAAAAGTATTTTAAAAATCAGGCTATTAAATAATATTAAATTCAGCCTAATTAAAGTTTAAAGGCAGTAAAATATTTCTATCTAATTACAGTCTAGTAGTCTAATAAGGATTTCCAGGGCTAGAAAGGAGGTATAAGAAAAACGCTCCACTTAGTGCTAATTATAAAAGTTACACTTTTCAGCCGGCTGAATACTTTTCAGGCGAATTGCATCAGAGCCATAGTCTTCTGGTAGATGATCCCTAGGAAATTTTCCGGAAATGCTCTGGCCCAAGACCCTGAGGAAATTGAGAGCTACCATAGGTATTAGGGCCTTGGATTGTTTCCGTACGAGGTATTAGCTCGCGGCTCGTAGCATGGCACTCCGCGGATATGAGGCATGATTTTTCGGTACCTACATGTGACAGAGGTTGCATGTATCCTGCAGTGCATGATGCTTGCTCTTCTGCTCGCTCCCTCTGAGACTCTTGCCTAGTCGATCCTGTCCTGTCCTCGAAAATCAGCAGCAGCTCTTACGCTCCGTCTAATAAGACAAACACAAGCACACCCTCGGCTCTTGATCGCCGTCCGATCCCTCTGCGCCGCCTGCCGACTTGTGGTGCCAAGCAAGGGCTAACCTTTGTGCGAAGCGGCCGGCCGTTCAAGTGGTAACTCGTAATCACCTCGTACTGGGACACGCTTGTTGGTACATACAGGTCGCAACGTCGCCTTGTCCCGTGTGATCTCCGTCTGCTACTACGTATCAACAGGACAATGCGGGCGAGACGGCGGGATACTGCGTACGGGTTAGCCATGACAGAATGTGCTTCGCCGTGCCAGAAACTCGCCGGGCCTGCCTTTGGCTTCTCTCTTCTCTGGCCTCGTGTGCTCGAGCAACAGTGTGTGTGTGTGTGTGTGTGTGCCTGGCCACCACCCCTTTGCATTGGTCTCCTTCTTGCTCGGTCTTGGGTCCCCACCGTCATCTGCGAAGCATTTGGGAGCCGGCCCTCGGTCCGTGCCTGTCCCTGATGGTACTTTTCGTCACGGACGGGGTTTTGTCACCTTGGTTAGTACAAGGATGTTGCAGATAAGCTGATACATACATATCATTCGCCGTCATGGAAGGGAAATGCACTGTATCGGTGCATTGGCAGTTGGCGTTTCGTCAGGACCGAGCAGGAGAAGGAAGCAATTCCAACAGAAGGGGACTTGCTCAGGCCCAGGCAAATGCGCAGATGCGCTTCTCATGCTTCCCATCCAGCTCCTTTTGCCCCTTGTTAGGTGGCTGATGAGGCAAGGCTGTCAGGATGGCGATTCACCTTGTACGACCTGCAGGCGAGTGTGCTGTAGCAACCAGAGTTTCGGCAAATGCCATGGCCAGGCACGACCTGATCCTTGTGGCAGCTGCGCAGGACTCTCCTCTTTCTATATTTGTCCGTCCCCGCTCAACTCAGCTTGATTCGATGGTCATAATCCTTGGGAAGGTACATACAGCTCTCCCTGCTTGTAGTATTAGGCTAGGAGTAGGTACCTAATGTAAGCAGGCAGTAGGTAAGATAGTAAAGTACCTTAGGATTATATGTACCAAGGTATTACCTTAGGTAGGAATCATCACCGAAGCAGCGGCAACAGTTTAAACGCTGTTTGTGCTCCCAACAAGGAGAAAAATCGAGCGAGTGTTTCGTTGCATGTCTGTGCATCATCACTACCTAGTAGATGGGTAGGTACTTGCTTGCCTCGTGCTGTGTCAGGAATCATTCGTTGAAACTCGGCCCATCGGTGCAGACAGAGCCAGGCCCAGAGGCTCCCCCTTCTACACGCAGCAAGCTGCAGAGAACAATCCTGCGGCATGCGAAACGACCAACCGCCGTTGCGCCGCGTTGCCCATACTAGGTATTTAGGTACCAGCATGGCATGGTTTGACATGGTGATGGTGTTGCTCCGCGGAAGAGAACCTTTAATAGGAGGGCGTGCAGTTCTCTGGAAGACGCCCCCGAGCCAAGTGACGTAATGGCTCGTGCACAGCGGATGCTCAGAACAAAAACCACGATGCTGCACATGCAGTCGCAGTATGTATGAACGAGTACCAGGCACCATGATTAGGCATTCATCCGTATCTTTGGAGCATTTGCTTGGCATGTGGTGCTCCCCCAACTCACATGAAGGCCCGGTCCAAGGCATGTTTAGTTGCGTGGACCGTTTGACCAGACACTGACAGACTTGGAGCATCAGTCGCAGGCGCTCCATCACAGGTACAGTACCTGTGAAAAGATCGAGGTGCATACCTAGAGGAAAAGCAGATGTCATCACGATGAAGGCATCAAGCAGAAAACCAGGGGACAAGTTCCCGTGGGGAGAGCGTCGATAGCGTATCTGACTCGTCAACTGCACTGACTGATGGCCGGGGCAACTCAGCTATTCTTACAAAACTTGACTCTTTTTGTCCGCCTGCCTCTCATATTCCCAACCAGAAACGACCTGTTGTTTCTGTTCGTCTGCTAATACTCCGTGCTAGTCCCCAGCTTCCCTTTCGAACCAGCAGCAGTTTGAAGGAGGATCTACGCCAGCCATGCCTGTGCGATTGGCTGCCGCGTCGCGGGCGGGCTTTTTGTTGCTGCAGAGTAGGGGTCTGGACCGGCAGAGTCTGGCCAGAGTGCGACGCTACGGAGCGCGAGGTGCCTTGATCCCAAGCCCAAGGGTTGCGCCGTTCCGTTTCCCGCATCGAGGACGCCATGATGGCGCGTCGAATCCGATTCCCCCAGCCTGCATGATGGGCTCGATAGCGATGTGGATGGTCCCCGAAGCGGCGGATGAAAGGGACAATGACATGGACATTTCGCCTGTGCATGTCATGTCATCTACCGCCTGTGACAGTCACTTTACATGTCAATACAACTACAGCACAATCGCCGGGCTGCTCGTACCGAGTATTAGAATGGAGCCGTCGTGCTGATGGAGAGGCGCGGCAAGATTAGTCGGGTAGTAGCACCGAGCACTGCTGCCGGGACTGTCTGTACGAGATGATGACGGTGCAGGCTATTTTCAGGGTGCTGCGTGCGTACAGCAGCAAGCACGAAGCACCGAGCGAGGTGTGCGCAATCCAAGCTTGCGGCCCCCCCCCGGTCTGACCGTATCGAAGCTCGTGACAACCCTGCCGTTGAAAGGCTTCCCAGCAGGTCCGATGCCCACCTACCTGATCAGCACTGGGTGAATCAGCGATTCAATGCCAAGGGCCAGATCGGTGTCTCTCGGTCTCTGTCAACTGCCAGGTAGGATTACTACCTTAGGTAGTACTAGGATTGACGGCCGTTGCAGTTCTCTGAGCCTGCCCAGGTACTGCCTTGTAGGTACGTCCTCGTCTCTGACTTGGGGCTCTTGTTCTGACCCGTCTCTCTCAGACCTCCTAGCAACCCGCCTCGCGTGCGGCTGGAATATGGTGCAGTTTGTGGTTCGCCACAACCCCGGAACTGCTCCTCTCTTTTGGACATCCACATCGTTTAGCGATGGCATCAGATCGAAGCCAGGAGACAAACCGAGCCTAGAATCAATCAATCGATATTGGAGGGGGAAATTGGGAGCTGGGAAAAAGGCATGATGCGAGTCGGCTGCGTGGCGTTCGCACTGTCTGTCAGGCTTCGCCCGAAAATGGATCGGAATCGCAAGCGCGCCATGATTGGCAGACAAGGGCTACAAGCGCCCAAACGGAAATCGTCGAAAGCACTAGCCTGATCTTCTAGAACTGCGGCTCATTGGACGCGCGGGCGGAGGGCCATCGAGTCGAGTCGAGCCGAGTCAGGTCGAGCCCAGCAGCCCAGCAGCTAAAGCACTTGGCCTTCGTCACTGCTCGCAAGGACGGCGCAGGGCCCTCTTTGCGCTTTGCTGTGTCTGGCCGGCGTGGGTTGCGCGCATGTCTTGGAAGCGAGGCATCGAAACCAACGAACCACCCTGGCCGTTTGTTCTTGGGCTCTCCCACACCGAAGAGGCTTGCCGCGAGGAGGCTGCATCGCATCACCAGAGAGCCATGCCGCAGGAAGGGCTTCCAGTGTGCAAGATGGTCGAGAGAAGGTATTATTACTTCACTTCATGCTCGTCCGTTGGTATGCAAGGTGTGTAGGCTTGGAGCTGGAGCAACAAGATCGACGTATGTTCTCCGTACAAGACATATTGGGCGCTGCCGCAGTTACGGCCCGACACGATCGGCATCGCCCGGGAACGAGCTGATGATGATGCGTGCGGTTGTCAAAAGTCTTATGTGTGCATACTATGTGCAAGGGCTTGTCGACAGAGCTTGCAGCCGCTTTGCAGCGCAGAGAAATGGCTTCCACTTTGGTTGAAGAAGAAGAAGCGCCGCAAGAAGCCGACCTGCGTGTCCTAGCTCGCTGCGTGCTGATGCCAGTGGTAGTATCACCCCGATCTCTCAGATCAAATCAAGGCCAAGAATTGCAGCATCCGCCGCCCTTTGCGCGCCCGCTCGAGCCGTCCTCGTGGCCGTACGTATTACTGTACACTGTCGCCCAAGCCGTGATCTGATATGATACCGGCCTACCCCAATGCGCAAGCTGGCGGACGGCACGCGAACGCTTTTTGTGGAGAGAGCCGGCACACGGGGTGTCGACAATCCTTGGGGTGCGACGGGCTTGTGGAAGGGCTGGGACGACGAGTGACGGATGGCTGGATGCTGGGAGGAGAAATGATGGCTGGGGGGGTGATGATGAAGGGAGGGATGGAGGGGATGATGATGATGGAGGGTGGGATGGGCTCGACTGCATTGATTGATTGCATCGCAGCTGCGTGATCGAATGGCTGACGTGCCGATAATCAACGTCGCCCGTCCAGTGTCACCCATTCCATGCTGTCAAATGCATGAGATGCCCTTTTGGCCCTCCGTTTATCCAGCCCCTCTGATTGGGCTGCCGGATCACAGCTACCTACCACTACTAGGTACCTTATTAACGTTAGGTAAGGTAGGTGCCCTCCAATATCGGATCGCACAAAAGAATTTCACGCCCCGCCCGTCTAACCGCCGTTAAAATAGCCGGCCTCTACGTATTGTTGTCTTTTCTCCTTCTTCCATCAGCTTGCCGAGCTTTTCTTCTTTCCCACACACACACACACACACTCTCTCTCTCTCCCTTACTCTATTTTCCTCACCTTCTCTGACGACTCTCGATTATCATGCGTCCAGTCTGCACTATGACGTTTCTCGCTCCCCCGACTGTGCTCTAATGCCGGTCATTCTCACCTTGCAGAGCGCGCCAGAACAGAGGAGGGGGGCGGTTTGGGCCTTTATCTCGTCTTGAAAAACTTTTCACCCTTCTCTCTGGTCGCCTCGAGGTGAGCGCGGACTGTTTGCCGCCCCCCTTCCCGTCTTTGATATCTGGGGTGTGTGTGTGTGTGTGCTTTTGAAGCCACTCCTCCTCGGCTATGGGCCACCTGCCAAGGTAGAGCCGGCAGAGATTCCAGAAGACGCCGCTTTCGAATACGAAAGTCGAGTTTGCCACTCCGGCGGTCGCAATGGCATCCTCGGGCTCTTGACTTGCCGAACAGGCCAAGATGCCGTGCGGAAGCGGACGGCCTCACGGCGCAACCGACCCGGCTTCACTCCCCTCTTTGCTAAGAGCTCTGACTCGAGTTCGATGGCCAGTCATGCTGATTACTTGACGACCGCCTCTGGTTGGCATCATGATATCGCCCATTCGCACCTCTTTCGATAAAGCTGTGACCATTTTTGTGTATGTTGCCAGATACGGCGTTGCCTTTATGGCTTCGTCTATCGACATCTCCGTTCATCTCCCATTGACCTAGATGTTTTCGCACTGGCATAGATCGATTTTAGCTCGTTGCTGGGCACCCGGCTTGGAGATGTCGTTTTGTACATCAAAGACAGGCCGGGAATCAGCTGTAGAAACATTCCATATCCGTATCGTATATCTTGACGTGTCCCATCCCGTAGAAGAACATGAAAGAAAGGAGACATCGTTAACCGAGGTTATGATACGCATCAGTATAGCCCCGGTTGATTCGATCGAAACGTCTCCGGGAACGTCGTACAAGAACTGGGTACTACCGTTATTACCACAACAGATCTCATCGTGGATCTTTGCGCTTCCTTCGTCTGACTCGCTGCGTCGCCATGAGTCGCACGAGCTGGCATTTCGAATGCCTATCCAGCGTACCTCAGGTACGAGACCCACGAGCTGGGTGTGTGGTAGTTGTACAGTTTCTCCAGATCACTTATTACTATGGTATTATCTAGGAACACACCTGAATAGCAGCAGTAAAAAGTCAATTGCGGCGGCTGCTGTCTTGCCTATGATGTCATTGACGACCCTTTTCTTGTTTTCCTTTCTTTTCTTTTTGGCATCTGACCGCCAAAAAAAAAAAAAAAAAAAAGATGGCCTTTTTCCTACCTATTTTTAGTGCCGTGCTGAGAGGAATCGGATGGGTTTCTGTTGGTTGAGAGGCTTGCTTGGTGCTTGGAAAACGCGGTGAAGCTTTCCTCTTGGATGAGACATGGCTGGCTTTTTTTTTTCGACGGTCGACGATCCCAGTTGCTGCCCGCCGTTTATAGGCCGCTATACATAGTACTATTGACTGCCTGACTATGTACTACTAGTAGGATGTAATGTCGATCTGGAGCATGATTGGGCGGACGGGAGGTATACATGGGAAAGACGTTGGTGCTAAACGGATCCGCATCTTTCTTTTGCTTGGAGGATCGAGGAGTGGCACATGCATACGAGGGTGGTTGGCCTTGGAGTTGGGTGAGAGGACGTGGCTGTGTAAGTCATGACTACGTACAACTACTATGTATGTCTGACTGGTTGACGAGTTTTGTTTCCGAACAAGTTCATCGTTTCCAAGATGTGAGGTAATGTGTGTATGTGCCTGCTCAACCGGCTATCTTGTGTCGAAAGGGTTCGGAGGTGAAGAGTGGGTGCGCTTGTCAGGCTTATGGGACGAGGGTGTGGACGTAGAGATCCGAGGGCGACTGCAGGGAGTAACATCACATGTCCTTAGCATACAAAATCGAGGGCAGACTACAAGATCGAAGGCAGTGGAAGGTGCTTCGATTCCTCCGTCTAATACTACTACGGGCGGTCGTGGTTGGTCTAGTCCTATCAGGGGGAAACTCATGCTCTTATTCCGGAGCACTTTAGACAGAAGATGTGTGAGGATGCCACGAAAAAGACACGAGAAGGCATCTCTCATCGATGCTTAAGACTGAGTGCCTCCCAAGCGAGGTCCGGCTGGGAACGAGTCTTTCTTGGATGCTATCTGAATGTGTCGAGGTGAGTTACTGTTGGTAGTCGGCAAAGAGTAGTATCGTAAATGACCATCACGTACTACTAGTATGTGGGTGGGAAGGTAGATGGAATGGATCTATGCGTCCGTGACCTGTGGCAGCGTGGCTTGTGACGAAGCTCGGGTAATTCCAAATGCTACGAAGGCGGCTTCATGTAGAGACCTCTCTACATGCAACTGAAGGTGACTCAGGGGTCCGTCGTATAACATTTCAATCATCGATCAACGTCGGTTTCGTTGACAATACATTGTACGTCTACCTAGATAGCACACCTCAAGAGTGGTGGTATGAGTTGACAGCAGCCGCAAGACACCCCTAGATGATGTAGCACACCATTGCAAGCCGTCATCAAGCCCAACCCTCGTGCTGCCACATCGTCCCGTCGTCATGTCATACACGCAGAAGAGGATAAAAGAAAGATAAAGATAGAAAGTAAAGGGGCAGAGGCTTGTCATTGTACATGTTCAACAGCTTGGAAACATAAGTGCGCACCATTCAGGCAAAAAGGAGTTCGACAATTTCATCCACCATCAGGCAGCCCTCTTTTCAAGCGACGTCCAGATAGCCAGACGCAAGCGTAGGTCCAAACGTGATATCATCCGAGCCGGGCGCGATGCCCTCGTGCGCCGTTGCCAGATCGGCCAGGTGCTGCAGTCCCTGACTCGCCGTGGCCTCCACCGACGACGTCGGCCGCAGCTGCTCGGTCAGCTTCTCCCTTACGCTGTCCCAGTGGCCTCCGCTGGGCTTCTCCAGGATCTCCTTCATCAGCCTGACGGCGCCTTCTCGCGAACTGTCCATCTTGGCGAGTTTCGACAGTGACATGGTCACTAGTGACACAAAGTGGTTGGTAAAGGGGCTGCGGAGGTGTGCGTTTGCCAGCAAAAGAGTAGCCAGCTCAGACGTCGGCCACAGCGTCTCCGTCGGCGTGGCTCCTGGCGTGAGGAGTGTGACCAGGAGCTTGCAGTGCCAGTATGCAAGGTGCACCAGGGGGTACGATGCGGCCTCGATGTGGCCCGGAAGATCCTCGCGGTAGTTCTCAATGTAGTCGGCGAGAATGGCGGCCATGGCTGGCTCGGCGGTGGAGGAACCCGGCTGCAGGGTGGAGATGACGAATGCAGTCCTATTTAACAGCTTGGACAGGCCTGTGGAGGGCTCCTGTTAGTGATAGAGCATGTCATCGGACTGGTTTGTGACTTACGGATCAAGTAGTAGCACACCTCGCCCAAGGTGTTCTCAAGCCCGGCCGGCGCGACAACGCTGCTGTCCGGAATCAGCGACGGCTTGCCCGTCCCTGCGGCGTGCCATCGATCCATCAGCACGAGTGACCACCAAATCCGCACGCATAGCTGATCGTCAGAGTCTGTTTCGGATGCTGACTCGATGGGTGTAAACTTCCACAGCTTCATCGTGTTCGCAAGTGCCACTGCTCTGCCCAGAAGAAACGGCAGCTGAGATGAGGCTCGCCAATCCGCATCAATGATTAGCAGAAGAAGAGTCTGAGCGTGGACAATGTCGACAACGCGTGAGTGAGGTGCCTCGCTGCTTTCCCACTCGTGGAGAAGGGAGCTCGCAACTTGCGTGTCCCCTGAAGACTGTCCGACTGCCTGAAGTGCCGTGATAAATGCCGTCCGTACGGTTGACGGACATTGTGACAGCAGAGATTGAATCCTTGCCTTGCTGCTGGGGAGTATGGGGTATATAGCCTGGACATGAGCGAGGTAGCTGTGGTGAATCCCGTTAGCTTCAGCTCCAAGGGCCAAGGGGCAACGAAGATAGCAGGGGATACGCACTCGTGCAAGGACTCCTCGTCAAAATCTGGCACCTCCTCCGCTTCCACTACTTGCGAGTCCATGGATGCCACGGGGGGCTTTGGCGGCGCGCTGTCCGCCTTGATCGCCGAAGGCTGAGGGGCCAATGAACTGTTAGTATACGTAGGCCCCGAGAAGCTGTCCGTGGCCGCGGGTGCGGGCAGAATTGGCCGCGGCTCTGGGCCCCATGGCGCCTGTCGCGGAGGAGCAGGTGTGCTGAAGTCGCCTGCCGAGATGCTGGAGAACGGCCTCTTCCGGACTGGCTCCTCGGAAGAGGCTAGGCCGTTGTAAGGGCGATGGTGTCCCGGCGTCAAGAGTCGATCGATTTCGTCTTGGGTAAGACTACCTTCGGACTCTAGCTTGTTCTCGATACTGTGAATCCGGTCCGCCAGCTCCTTGATATACCTGTCTCATATGTTAGTCCCGTCTGTCAAGGTGAGTTGCAACCTCTGTTGACAACGACATACCCCTTGCTTGGACCACGTTTCTGAGGGACGCGGCTAAACAGACACCGCATGGAAGACCGGGCACAGCTAGAGCACGGACTATCGCCAGTATCCGATTGGGCGTCACACTTGATCTTCTTCCTCCGGCACTCATCGCAAGCACGCGACACCTTGGATCTCTTCCTAGGCGGAATGGCCTCTCCCATGGAGTACTGCGATGGCATTGGGGGTCCCACGGCGACAGGGAGTGCATGCGTCACCATATGCTCAGAAGCAGGGGCTTCATGAACATAGGATGGCGGCTGATGCTGGTCTGGCTCGGGATGAGGCATGATACTACGCATGTTCGGATCCTCCACGTTCATGCCGGGGTCGTTGGACGGGAGAAGAGACGTTCCAGCCAAGCCCTGGCCGAGCTGGGCGGCCAGCTGAAGCTCCTCGAGATTGGGGGGCCTGGAGATATGGTGCTGCTGGGGAGAAGGCGGTTCGTGAGTGGTGATTTGGCCATGGTCCTGCTCCTGCGCGTGGACCTGCGTCGGGTCGTGCTGGTCATGCTGTTGCTGGTGCTCCTCAGGCTCGTGATGCTGCTCATGCGTCTCATCGCGAGTGCCGGTATGGTAGAAGGGGCCGGCATCAAGAGCCTCCGCGCCAGGCGAAGGATACGACATGTTGTTGGCCTCTTCCGGCTCGCCCTCACGCCCAGGACCCATAGTTGCTGGGAGACGACTCAGGCGAGGCCGGTGAGGGTCGTCAACGCAGCTCCTTGAGCCGTCTCAAACTCGGATGAGGCTGAAAGAAAACAGTACAGTGGTAGTGACACGCCGTGAGAAGCTACACACAGAGGCGTGGGTGGGAAACGGCCAGGTCAGACGCGGTTTGTCACGCGATTGCTGGAGGCGATCTGGCGCCGATGCAATCTGGAGACGCCAAGTCTGAAGCCATTGTCAGCAATTGTCACTGCTGGCGTCTCTCTTGTCCGACTTGTCTTGGGGGTGCCTGTTCGAACTGATCCAGGCGAGGCGGATCGCTGACTTACAGCTTCTATCGCGATGGAAGACGGAGCATGGTAATTGCGAGACTGGGCCGTTTGAACGGAAAGGAATAACTCGTCGCCGCGTGGGAATAGGCGACGGGATGTTGGTGTGCCGTTTTCTGGCTGTCGATTACGCAGTGAGAGGGACAAGGAGGAGGGAAAAGAATTTTCTCCGAGCGCCACGGCGGGCAAACTCCGGCTCGACCAGTGCTGACCTCTTGCGGGCTGCGAGCGCTCCTGGATGAGTCACCTATCGTTATCTATGAGCCGCTAGTGCGCTCCCGTTCTAGCGCGCGGCTTTGGCAGGCTTCTAGTACTACTACTAGTACCAGGTAGTATTAGTACTAGCAACTCAACCACGGAAAATCCGGGAGCTAAAGCACAGTTAGGTAAGCATGAAGCTGCGACAAGCTGCGACGTAGCGCGATCGGTAGATGCTCGGCTCTTCCGCAGCTCGAGTCAGCCGTCCCTTGATCATGCAACTTTCCCGCAGACGGCAGCCGAAAAGAGGGTCAATCTGCGTGAGCAGCAGGCATCTGAGATGCCAAACTGCACTTCATTATTACTGGACCAGCATCTGCCTCCTTTTTTTTTTTTTTTTAACTCCCTGCTAAGCTTTGCCTGCCGAGGCGTGATTGGCCTAGCACCCGCATGCTGGGCTTTGCCTATCCGGTAGCGCTTCGCCCTGCTCCCAAGTTCCTCTCGGCCGGCGCCAATGGAGCACCAAGTGCCTCGGATGCAATCCCAAGCCTCTGCCAGCTCAGCGACCTTGGTCTTGGCCGTCATGTCCGCCGTCTGTCTGGCCCTGTTCGCAGTGCCCTTGCATTGACACTCACGGCGAGCATCAACCATCGACTGACACTTGCGCGTCCCTCCCGACCAAAGTCAGGTACTTGAACAAAGGGAGCGCGCGCTCAAGTCACTTCTTAGGGAGAGCCGGCCACCATGGATCATCTGCTCCTACTCCTTTGACTGCAATCCCGCTAGATGGCTCCCTAGTCGCGTGCTGCGCAGCTCATACAGGGAGACGAAACAGCCAGCGAACACGGAGCAGCGCCTCTCTGCTGCACATCGGTGATCTGTGGTCTTTCTTCGCATCTGGTGGCGGCTTGCGGCTGCAACTACCATTCCCACCTGCTGCTGGAGACGCCATCCGTCGTCTTAGTATCGCATGGACATCTTGGAGCTGCAACGATGGGCCTTTATGCCTAATCTTCCCGCTGATATAGCGCCGATCCGGGACTTGCTCACGCGCTATGGCGACATCCCGGCAGATGAGATTGAGACTCACCTTATGAGGATCGTAAGTCGGGGGGATTTCGTCTCGTTGCACGCGTGGCCGACACTGACTTGCTGACTCGATGGATTTGCACAGCGAGAGGCGGCTTGGGCGAGTTCAAGGATGCCCTTTATTGGCCGGTGGAAGTTCCTCACTCTCAACGACACCAACGACTCCCGCTACCAGCAGGCTCTGTTCCGCCTCAGGCTGTCTCAATCAAAGGACGCCCTTCTGGACCTGGGCTGCGGACTTGGCCAAGTTCTTCGACAATTCCGAGCTGACGGCGTTGATGGGACACGGCTGTATGGACTCGACTCTAGCCCCCTATTCATCTCGTCGGGCTATGACCTCTTCCGAGATAGAGATTATTTGGGCGCTCATTTCACAGTTGGAGACGTGACGGATCCCGATGACCCGAGTCTGGAGGAGCTCGACGGCCGCGTCAGCATCATTCACGCCGGAAGCTTCTTCCACCTGTTTAGCTGGAGACAGCAATTGTGCATTGGAAAGCGGCTGGTCCGCTTCCTGCAGCCAGGCATACGCAACGCCTTTATATACGGCCGACATGTGGGCGTCACCAGCAATCACGACGTCGACATGAGCGATTCTTCACCCTGCCTGCACACCCAGGAGACTTTCCAACGCCTCTGGGACGAGGTGGGAGAACTAACGATGACCAAGTGGAAGGTCGAGATAGAGCCATCGGGCGAGAAGATGGCCTGGCTGCCAGGAAACCCGAAAAGCGCACATGCCGTCAACTTTACCATATATCAAGTTCCTAGAATTGAATTAAAAAAGAGTTGCTTATAGGTTTACCGAGTTCGCATGCCTGCAAACCACCGCGAATCATCTTTCCCGTTGCTGATCCCACCGCCCCCTTCAAACTTCTCCTGAATATCTGCAAGGTCAACACTACAGATGATATGTTAGCAAGCGTGCATACTATTCGCAGCATATTGACTTTCCTCGAGGCGCTTCGTTGTCATGGCGAATGCCCAAAAGGTGTATGAATCGCCCTCGTGGCGGCGGCACATAACCAATTGCGGCAGCCAATGCCCCCTTTGCGTATGGAGTTGTACCTAGTAAAAAGCGTAACGTCTACCCAACTGCGAAGTAGATAGGTAGGTAGAGGCAAAGTAAACAATAAGACAAGCCACATCAATACAGACCTTGTGAACAGATACCTTATGTATATCTCCCAGTCAGCCTAGACATGCAACTCACACATTTTCTATTCTCAAGTGGTCTCGCACTTCACCTGATACTCTTGATATTCTCAACATCCGATTGTCAGCATCTCTGCAGCCATCGTGCTATGCAACACTGCGATCGCGGATATATCTCGGATAACGCAAAGTGACCTCACTGCCCCTCCAACAACCGCTACAGCTACAGTACCTTCGTCGCGTCCTCAGACAACTTCACCTGCTCGGACTTGCGCTCGCTTCTTCGCCTCGACTCCCGCGGAGCCTCTCCAGGGCTTGCGGTATCATTGCTTCCCTCTTGACGGGCTTTGATACCGGGGAGGCCCAACAATTGCCACCATGGAAGGATGGGACGAGGTAAGTGCTCTGCCAACACTGCCGGCCTTCGCTTGTTGTGATGCATCGATATGGCGCCGGTTGATGCTAATACCATGTCTGTCTGCTCTTACAGGTTGCTCGGGTTCAGCTCCCGCCCCCGGCTGTTCACGCTCTCCCGACTCGAGTCACGACGATGGTGTTCGATACCATACAGGCACTCCTCTGGGCTGGCAATGAATTTGTACGATCCAATGCCTCGCCGGCGCAAGCAGGTGTCCTAGCACGTCTTGCTAACTGGAGTCTTACTAGGGTCGGGTCACTTCCTTCGTCGGCAACGACCTGCAACAACACACTTCCTTCAAGGCGCATCAAGCCTCAGATGGCCCGGTCCGGCAGATTCTTGTCAACAGCAAGGGCGTGCTGGTGCTGGGGGCCACCGATGTACACATGGCGCAGAGAGGAGGGCCCCCCATCTGGCATCTCAGGTGCGTGCTGGGCTTACCATGTCGGGTACATCGCCAAAGATTGGAACAGCGGCGCTAACAGTCGTTCCAGACACGAGGAGATGAAACAGCTCAGGTGCATGACCTTCACATCCAAAGGCACGGCCGAGATTCTTGTTGCCGGCCTTCAGAAAACGATGCTTGTTATCGACGTCTCTAAAGGAGAAGTCGTCAAGCAGGTCCCGACGGAGCGTCAGTACTCCATCATGAGGCGTGGGCGATATATCTGCGCGGCTACGGAGAACGGAGCAGTCGACCTCTTGGATCCCGTCACCTTTGCGCTTGTCAAGACATGGAACGCCCATACGGCCATGATCAACGACATGGACGCACAACACGACTTCATCGTCACGTGTGGCTACTCGCTGCGTCAGGGCCAGAAGTACATGCTGGACCCCTTCCTGAACGTATTCAATATCCGGACAATGTCTTCCATGCCCGCCATTCCGTTCCCGGCCGGCGCCGCATACGTGCGGATGCACCCGCGCATGCTCACAACCAGCATTGTGGTGTCGCAGACTGGCCAGATGCATGTGGTGGACCTCATGAACCCCAATACCAGTAACGTGCGTCAGGCCAATGTCATGAGCTACCTGGGCATGTTTGAAATAGCTCCCTCGGGCGAGGCTATAGCTCTTGCCGATGCAGAATGCTTCATCCACCTCTGGGGATCGCCAACAAAGATACGCTTCGTGGATCTACCTGCTCATATAGAATATCCCCATATTGAGGCACCGGTCCCGCAGCTCGAATGGTCACCCGAAACGTAAGTTGCGCAGTCTCCTGTGAGAACTCTTTCTCGTCTCCGCTAACATGCCAAAGCCCTCTGAATTCGATCGGCCTCCCGTATTATCGAGAGGTCCTTGCCTCGTCTTGGCCCGAGCTGCCCTCGGATGTCGGTGCTCCGCCTGTCAAGTTCGATGCGCAATTCCTTGCCAGCCTCAACACGACTGAGTCGGCGCTTTACGGCCGCAACACTCGGGGCCTCAAAAGGAATCAAGTGGAAGACACTCGCAGCATACACAAGTCGGCCAAGTCCGGAATCAAGGCGCCGAAATTCCTTAGTGAACAGGCTAGAGACCTTGCCAAATCGGAATCTTCCAGCGCCGGAGAGAGGGTAGACGAGCTCGCATTTCCTCTTTCGGAGATGAATGTCGGATCAGACTTGCCCATGATGTATAGGAACGTCGAGATCAAGTACAGCAAATTCGGTGTGGACGACTTCGACTTTGGGTATTACAACCAAACGCGATACTCTGGTCTCGAGATTCACATCTCCAATTCTTACGCAAATTCGCTGCTTCAGCTCATGCACTTTGTCCCCCTGATCCGGAACATTGCTTTAAAGCATACGGCTACCTCCTGCATCAGTGAGACTTGCCTCTTGTGCGAGCTCGGTTTTCTCTTCGATATGCTCCAGAAAGCAGAAGGATCCATCTGCCAGGCCACCAACATGCTCAAGACCCTCAGCCGGCACCCCCAAGGTAAGCCACATCGCCATTTGAACCTTGCTTCGCAAAGACTAACGTGTCGACAGCTGGACCGCTAGGTCTTCTCGAGGAGGAGGATGCCCACGCATCGTCTTTGCATGCCATGCTGCAGGGGCTGAACCGGTTTCTCCTCGACAGAATTGCCGCCGACTACGCGACTATGGCCACGGCTCCCACTTCCCTGGAGGAGACATTGGCGACAATGGCCACCAGCAACATCAAATGTGCCACTTGTAAGGGTGAATGGAAGCGACCTGGGTCGACCTTTGTGAACGACTTGCTTTATCCAGCTCCCGTAAGTTGGTCAGAGCAGCTCCGTGGTGACTCTGAGCTAACTCGTGTCAAGCGACCCCCTGGCCGGAATGGTAGGACACCACGCACCACTTTCTCCCAGATCCTTAAGAGCAGCGTGGAGAGAGAAACTACCCAAAAGGGATGGTGTATCGGATGCCACAAGTACCAACCCATGTCAACGAGAAAGACGATTCACAGCGTTCCAAAGGTGTTGATGCTCAACACTGCAATCACCAGCGCTGACCACCGAGCGCTTTGGTCCACACCTGGCTGGCTACCTGAGGAAATTGGCATCATTGTCGAACAGGGCCAATTCTTCTGCTACGAAGGAGAAGACCTCAAGCTCCACTTGCAGCGTGGCATTCACAACATCACAGTCTACTCGCTCATTGGAATGGCAATCAACATCGAGAGCGGCCAGGGACAGAAGCCGCATCTCGTGGCCATGGTCAATGGTAGGATATCACACTCCCCAAGGGTTCGATTTCTTTCATCACGTTACTGATGCCTCATTGTAGTTGGCCACGCGGAACCCGAAGCTCCTGCTCAAAGCCAATGGCACTTGTTCAACGATTTTTTGGTGCGCCCCGTGAGCAGGGACGAGGCTCTTAGCTTCAACACCACCTGGAAATACCCTTCTGTTCTTGCATACCAAGTCAAGGCGGCTAATAACAAGATCGACACTGAATGGAAGAAGAACATTGATACTTCGATATTGTATCAGGATCTTGGGTAAGCTGATCGGCGCTGCTACTCACCCTCGTGGCATCACAAGACCAAACCATGCTGACCTTGACCCTCCCTTTAGACCCAGTCCTCGGGCGGTGACCAAAACTTATCAACTCCTTGACCCTGCAACGGAGCGGCCAGGACCAGGCACTATCATCGCGCTGGATGCTGAATTTGTGGAAGTGCGACAGCCAGAAATTGAAATGAACTCGGATGGCGAACGAGAAGTAATTCGACCTAGAGTGCACGCACTCGCGCGCGCCTCTGTTGTCAGGGGACAAGGCGAAAAAGAGGGTGTCCCCTTCATCGACGACTATATCTCTATCAACGAACCGGTGGTTGACTATCTGACGTCCTTTTCGGGCGTTGTTGCGGAGGATTTGAACCCAGCCACCACCACCCACAGTCTACTGCCGCACAAAGTGGTGTACAAGAAGCTTTGGATACTGCTCAACTTGGGCTGCACATTCTTGGGCCACGGGCTCAAACAGGACTTTCGAGTCATTAACATCCACATCCCCAAGGCGCAAATCATCGACACAATCGAGAAGTTCTACCTCAAATCGCGCCTGCGAAAGCTATCACTTGCCTTTTTGGCGTGGTACTTGCTCAAGGAGGACATTCAGATGGAGACGCACGACTCCATTGAGGACTCCAGGACGGCCCTCAAGCTCTACAAGAAGTACCTTGAGTTTCAAGATGCCGGAATTTTGGAGACTATGCTGCAGGACATCTACCGTGCTGGCCGGGACGTCAACTTCAAGCCCCCTAAAAGGGACGGCGGCGACGCTTCCAGGTCAGTCACACCACCCGCCCTGCCGGGTGCGGAGAACGGGGGGACTCCAACCCCCACCCAGGTGCCAACCACCCCGGGCAGAGTTGGCTTTAACAATGGCGGCTGGACACCGGGCAAGGCTTCACCTATGAAGTGAAAAGACGGCGGTGAGATGGAAGGAGGGTATGACCAAAGGAATGAATGCGAGGATGATAAACTGGGCTTTGATGGATTTGCAAGATCTTGTTTGCTGTGGATTTCTGCAGGCGAAAGCAATAGCCTGCCATATTGGGTGTGTCTTACATGTTGGAGCGGGCGGTTGCACTCAGTGGCCAAATCTTGCCTTCAGAAAACTGGGCAATGATGCCTCGAGCGGGCAAGAATGTAGGAGTGTGTGTAGATGCGCGCGTGTATGAGACACGAGGAGAATACCATACAAGGGGCGGAATCGACATGACCATGGGAATGGCGGATAGGACGAGAAGGAGCATAGGATCATGTAGGTAGAAGACAAACAAACATTCAACAATTAGACAATACTCGACGATTCCTCTGTTGACTCCCTTCTCCTGTGTCTGTCTTTGTAATTATCTTCTGTTTTTTTTTTTTTTTTTTTTTTTTTTTTTTTTTTTTTTTCTTTCTTTTTTCGTACCCAATCAACGCAGTAAAGCGAATAAAGCAGTAGTATAAGCGTGCGTGGGAGAGCAGATAGAGTCTGGTTGAGGGGACTTGGTTCTTTCAAACAAGGTACTACATACAACAACAAAAACCGTCCAAAACGCCCCTGTATGCATTACTCTCTCATCTCTCTCTCTGTGTGTAATTGGGTGTTGCTTTAGGTGATATATATGGTGTGTGGTCTGGTAAAGAAAATAGAACAGTTAGAATAATAAAAAGACAATCCGTTTGTTTGCCCCGGCAGCCTCGCTTTACGTACATAAAAAAAAAGAGTACACATGATATTCAACAGTGTATCCCATTAACAGCCATGATTAATTTTGGTTTTTTTTTTCTTTCATTTCCATCCCCCCATCGTCGCTTGTCCCCCTTCCTCCCTCTGTCTTCCCCTCGTCCGTCGCCTTGGCCATTTGAATCAGCAACTGAGTTTGAAGCAGCAGGAAAAGAATAAAGGAACTCGTCATCAGTATGGTGAAAACCTCCTAGAACATGCCTCGCTCTCGTGCGACGTGCTCAGCCCGCGTTGTTTGTCGGTCCGCAAGGTCTCGCTACGCAGGGTCGGGCTACGCTACAGCTCAGACTCGGCACCGTTGGCGGACAGAGCCATGGGGCTACCGCTGTGATTTTGCCGCTGGCGGAGGCGAGCGTTGCCAGGGAGCCGCCGCCGGACGAGTGCTCGGCCGTTAACCGCCATGGACTCGTCGTCCTCCTCTTCGGAATCGGGGTTTTGCTCGTGGTAGAGGCGTGCCTCGTCCAGCTCGGTGATGTCGTCCGGCCGGTCTCGCAGCCACTGCATCCTGGGGCCCGAACGCGCGCGCTCTGAGACCTTGAACCCGTATATCTTGGGCTCGTAGATGTGGCCTCTGCCCAGGCCCGGCGCAATGTTCTTTGCGTACATGCCGTTGATGATTCTCTCGTCGTCGGGCACTTTGGAGTTTGTGGTTGACAGCACGTCGGCGCCGCGCTTGGTGAGGTCGTATTCCGGGAATGTGAGGAGGAAGAGGGCGCCGAACGTGCGGCCGAAGAAGGCGCCGTCGACGGTCTGGAACCGACTGTTGGGCGGAACATAGACGTCGAGGCAGGACGGGCAGAAGAGCTTGACCGTGTCTTCGCCGGGAATGTCGGACAGGCCGACGGGCAGGGTGCGTGCCTGCTCGCAGTGCGTCCGCGGGCAGCAGCCAAAGTGGCCGAACTCGTACTTCTCGCTCATCTGCTGGATGCCCACCCGGGAGCAGATGAAGCGCTGGTGGATGAGGCCGTACAGCATCTCCGCGGAGGACTCGATGACGGACAGGTCGCTGGCCATCCTGCTATGGTGCCGCCGCTCTGCGCCGTGTCGCAGGTCTGCACGGTCGGCCTCCTCCAGGCCCGATTCGTTTTCGTCGTCGTCCTCTTCCTCTTCCTCGTCATCCTCATCGTCCTCTGGCTCCACGTCGAGAATCATCTAGGGGCGCGCAAATTAGCAATCGTGATCACGAGTTTTGGGGCCATTCGACAAGACCCCATCACCACACGATAAGAAATTCAGATAGATCCGCGACGTACCTCGAGCGCCTCTTTGTACATGGCCACCTGCGTCTGCAGACCCGTTAGATTGAAGTCATCCTCGATAAACTCCTCGGACACCTCAGCAAAGTATTCGTGGCCGGGCAGCGCGCAGAAGCTCGCGATCCAGGACTCGGGGGTCCCCGAAGAGGTCGACATGGTGCCGGCAGCAAGGGCAAGGGCCGGGCTGGATTCAATGACGCCCAGGGAAGGGGCTGGAGAAGTGCGGACTGGGCGAGGGTTGGCTGCAGATTTGAGGCTCCAGATTCAGTTTGGAGGTTGACGAGAAGGTCTGGCCAAGGTGGGGTTCCGCCGTTCGCTGAGGGAGTCTTATCGATAAAGAGTCAGCCGCTGGAAGGGCACCTAACGCGGACGCCTAGGGGCCTGAATTAGTGCCTGGGACGTCTGCTGTGGTGCTGCTGTGGTGCCCGGGCTGCTGTTGCGGGCGCGTGGCGGGGTGAATGTGGCCTGAAGCGCCTGAGGCGTAGCGGCGTGGGCGCGTAACCTGGGCAGGACAGCAGCGAGACCTGAGGTGGCAGCCGGGCGGCGTCGGCGACAGGGGCGGGCTTGCTGGGGCACTGGGGGTCACTGGCAAGTACCTCGCAGGTCCAGATGATGGATGATCAGCGCGAGGCGGGAGATGGATGTCACGCAGGCATCGACTTCGGGCAGGGCGGAGGCAGCCTCGTCGCGGGCCTGAGATGACACGGCTGGGCTGGATATGCAGGTTTAGTAGACAAGGCAGCTCTGGAGAGCGTTTGTTGGTCAAGCTCGCGCTTGCTGGTGCGCGTTGGACGCAGGCGGCATGACTAAGAGGGAGCAAGGCTAGACCGGCGTCAAGATTCTGCCGGTTCCGACAGAAGGGACAGAAGGTTGGCTTTGACTGCGGATGCCAAGAGGTATCGGCTACCTGAGAGAGGTGGCAAGTTGTGGGACGCTATAGGTAGAAGATACTTGAAGATTGCTATGGCGTTCATGTCAAGCCCAAGCATCAGACGGTTCACTCACCCTGAACCTCAACTCTCCTCACCCAAATTTCCTATACCAATATCAATAGCCTTCGCTAAGGTACCTATCAAAATGAAGAGTCCAAGGGTATTACAATCAGCCCAAAGATGGGTCTTTCGAGCTCGTCAAACATCATTCCCCTCTTTGAATATCACAAAAGTCTGCACCATTTCGACAAGAGCTGCCGCAGATGAGCTTTCGTTTAAAGAGAGCTTCAAGGCTGAACTGCCGTGTGTCTTTACAGATACACCAGCATCTCCCACCTACACTCTTCCAGCCCTACAGAAATGGTTTAAACAAGACGATGACGGGACATCGTCATCTCTATCTTCATACCTTGACCCTTACCACCAATGGATGTTTCCGTACGAGTTGATGAAGCCCACCAGCCGGGGATCCGAAAGCATTACGCTTTTCCACGACAGCCTCTCGAATAGCCAAGATGCTACCGACCGAAGCTTGGCAGAAGCTGTGCAATCCGCCATCTCCGGGGGCTTCCATGGTCAACAGTTCTTCCAGCTCCATGCACCGTTAAAGCTGCTCATCAAAGCACTCGAGTTCAACAAAGCTCAACGGCGCAAAGCATATCCACCGATACAGCTGTACATTGCTCAATCTCTACTCCCGGACCTCCCCAGGCCTCTACAAAACGACGTACCAACTCCAGAGATCCTCTCCCGTGTAGGAAGAGGCGACATCTACAGCTCCTCCATATGGCTGGGCACCGAACCGACTTACACGCCGCTCCACCGGGACCCGAACCCGAATCTTTTCTGTCAGCTGTGCAGTAGCAAGGTGGTGCGGCTTTTGCCTCCTGCGACGGGGCACGAGCTGTATCATCAGGTGCAGATGACGCTGCGGGGGTCTGGCAATAGTCGCATAAGATCGACGGAGATGATGGAGGGCGAAGAGAGAGAGCTGCTACATGGCGCCGTTTGGGAAAATGAGGATGAGACGGGATCCACGGAGATTCAAGAGGTCACATTACGTGCCGGCGATGCCCTGTTTATTCCAAAGGGGTGGTGGCACTCCATCAAAAGCGAACGGTTCGATGGAAATCTTAACGGCTCAGTCAACTGGTGGTTCCGATGATATTTGAATGTATCGAGGATACCATCCTCATTTGTACCATGGCTTAGACCCTGATCTCTTCATTCAACGGGTCTACAGACGACCCAATGCAGATATCCGCAGGGCCAGATGAACTTGCTTCTTCCGCTTCGCATCTCCCACAAGCTCGTGTCCGCACCGCAGCCACGCAGCAAAGCCTCTACTTCTCCCGGCGTCCGCGTCCGCAGACAAGACACCAGCCCGTCGAATACAAGCACAAAGGGAAGCACCGGTATGATCCAAGAAAACACAAACGTGGCGGGACTCCTCCACTTCCAGGCCAGCAGGGGCGCCATGGCAATGGCCGCAACTCCCAGCATCAGGACCGTGATTACATTTGCGAGGCTACGATCCTGTAGTTCAAAGATGGCGAATTCATGGCTCGTGTTGACCGTGTCCTTGAGGATATCTTTCGCCAGGGCATCATCAAAGTGATGGAAAGACAGGTTAAACAGTCGCATCACTTTTTTGCCGTCCTTGCGCTGTACAAGGCGTCTCGGGGCATTGCTCGCATCCACGGACTGCCTCTCAAACGTGATCTGCGGATTGTTCCTGAAAATGTCCTCCCACGCGTCGAGATTGGGGTGCAAATCAGTCAAGACACAGTCGACTGTCCGCTTGCCCTGAGCGTAGAGATGGCCGTTGACGGCTCGCTGGATGGCAGGTGTAGGTCCTCCCGCGCCGGCGCAGAAATCGATGAACGTATAAGAAGATAGAGAACTGCCTAGTTCAGCTATGAGCGTGGATGCGGCGATGTGGGCGGGCGATTGAGGCTGGAGAGGCGTGTTGGAGTTCCATGCAAGGGTGAGACCGTCTTGGATGCGGCGGCGCAGGAATGTAGGGAACCTGTGGCTCTCTGCTGTTAGTTTGAGTTCATTCTTGCTTCGACCATTCTTTGAGACTGTATTGTATTGTATTGTATTGTCTTGAAGAGATTGACTACATTCAACCTAAACCTGGGAATCGTAGCGTCATCGTTGAGAGGGCCTTCTTACCATGACTGGTCATCAATTTCAAAGAGATGCAAGCGAGGGATCAGGGGCGCCATAATCTGGTGTATCTTGCTCAGTGACAAGTCGCACGGCGAAGAAAGAGAATGGGCTCTGGCTGAATAGCGTTTTCCTGGTATAACAGAACAGCCTTGGTGATGGTTGAAGCCGATGAATTGTATCATCGAACCCCTCAGCGGCCCCCAAATACATCTCCAGGGGACCGACCAGCAGGTGGCGAACGACTAGTGGAGTGGCACTCCCAATGTTGGTTTCTAGATGCATTGCTACCTTAGCTGCCTTGTCAAGTCCCAACGCAACAAGCCAGTATGATCGGTGGTCGAGCATCAGGGCGAGCTAGCCATTGCTGTCCCAATGTGCAGCTGTTTACTCTATGTATCCTCAGTTTTGTCTATCTATTCTAATATTCTATTGTCTAACAATCCATTATGCCTTGTCAGTATAGGGGTCAAACCCAACGCGCTGCTTCGTCTCGCTTCTCGCCCTCCACCTAGCCTCTCCAGTCAGCCCAGTCGTCGACGTCTCCTCCAAGAAAAATGTCAAGATGTGATCCGGAATCGACAAGTGAGAAGCCTGCTGGAACTCCTGCAGACCAGCCAGCCGAATGAGCATTTCAATCAGGGAGAGCGACGTGGTGATGGCGCCAAATGGAGACCGCGACACAAAGTCCTGCGCATCCCTTGCCGAATCCTTGGCCAAGTTCTTGGAAGAGCGATCAAGCTTATTGTCCGACTTGCTCAGCGCGAGGCCACCGTGTGAAGCTGGCTGAACAGAGAGGTTTTTGATCTGGGATAACAAGTTCGAGTCCATAGCCGCACGGGGACGCGATGGTGACTTTGCTGGCGAACTGTCGCGCTCATCAGTCTCGTCAGGTGATTCCGCATCGGGGCCTGCGCTTGAGCTTGCATCACTTCCCTCGTCGTCCTCTTCAAAGACTTCAAAGGCGATCCACTCAGGGTCGAGGTGTTTCGGCAGAGCGGTAGCGCAGCTGTCCTTGAGACTCTCAGAGCTACTGGACTCTCCGAGCAACTGTCGATCTACGTCGGCTTGTTGATCTTCGTTTGCGTCCTGTTGCTTCTGATCGCTGGCGGCACTGTACATCTCGCCAGAAATGTCGTCTTCTGGCCTTCGCGGTCGAGATGCATTGATATCTCGCTTCAGCAGCAGAACCGGGTTGTTTTCTCCCTCCGTCCCATCCCCAAAGTTGAGTATTTTGCCAGTGTCTGTGTAGAATATCTTGGAGAGTTGGTGGATCGGTATCAACTCTCGAATGCCGGCTTTTGAGACGCCGTTGAACGGTTGCGGTGCGCCATCCCCTTCATGAGCACGCCCGTCGTCCAGATCTTCGACGATTTCGAGGTGATAGGCATAGCTCAGTGGTCCGTCGGGTCCAACGTTACTGTGATTCTGCCCGTGGGAGGGGCCTCCCTCGATGGCTGGGGTGAAAGCTGATCTGCATAGACGTACTCGCGCCTTATGGATCGCCTCCTGCCACAAAGGCTTTCTGTCGTGCTCCCCTAGCCCATAGGTTGGTCCTTGTGATTGTGCATCTCCGTTCTGGTTGAGACTTTGCTGATGGTTACTTGCAGCGCCTGGCTGTATCTTGCCATCTTGAAGCGAAGCCGCCAAAGAAGCATGTCCCAGAAACAGCATATAGATGGACAACGTGAATGAAGGTCCAATCTGAACAGATCTCGTTGGGTCTTGTACGAACTGCGTGTCTCCGACGGTCAAGAGGGTGCTGGCCTGAAGCAGCCGAGAGGGAGATATACCAGCAGGGAGAGAAGTAGACAGACTTTCTCCAGATGCCGATATAGCCAGTTGCAAGAGAGGAATATCTCGATCAATCTCAGCCAGAAGATTCTTCAAGTCCAAAACCACCTTCTTCAACGCCTCGTGGCTGGCTGCTTTGTTTGGTGGGTTGGTCCCTGAGCGGTGGCTATGCTCCTCGACCGCGGCGGTAGCTTCCACACGGCGGCCCAGCGAGACAATCTGCTGGTGTAGTGATTTAGCGAGAGGGAGGGCAGCTTCGAGAAAGACGTTTCCTCGTCCAGATCTGTCTGTTGTCAGTATCCGCCTAGGTATGCGCGTAGCCATGCGTCACATGGCGAGAGATGGATATTACCGACTTGAACTCGACCAAGTCAATCGCAGGAGAAATGACCTGCCGCACAGTGAGTACAAGAGATTGAGAGAGAAGACAGATACCAAGGCCAGCTTACCTTGATCTTGCTATCGAGTTGTTTCTGCAGCGTCTTCAGCTCGGAATGGAGACTCTTGTCGTCGACTGCCTTTAGCAGGCGAGAGCACTGGCCGATGGCATAGGACGAGGTGAAGGCGATGCCAGACCGGATGGCGTATCTCATGGCCTGCACGCCAACGGCTGCCAGGAAGTCGTCCATATCCGCGGTTTGTGGTGTGTGTGCCGTATGATCATGACGGAAGATAAATTAGAGATCATGGCCTCAAGAGTGAATAAGTTTCAAGTTTTGATAGGCATACAAGCTTGTTTAGCATATGGAACTGCCAGTGGAGTGCACTCATCACCGCCTTGGCTGGACCTGAAGAGACACAGTGCGACAGGCCCTTCGGTGACTCAGACCCGCCAAAGTATGCCTGAAGACGGCAAATAGGTAGGTAGAGCTCAACTGCACCAAAGAAGGCAATGGGCGGTATCAGGTGGAATACGGTGGTAAGAGTCAGAGGATCGAAGATCTTTGGCCGTTTTCCACAAAGATAACGGGAAATAAACAAAGGCCCTCGTATTATCGCGTCTCCATGTGAAAGCGAGGAACTTGTTGACTCATTTACCGTTGACCAACGTCCATCACCATCAACTGACTGCCCTGATGTGGCAATGGAAACTTCAACTGAACCCAACCGCAGAAATACCGTGTGCCGTATCCCCAAGATGCACTGTGGCCGCCCCTCCACAAATCCTGCAAGCACCGCCAAACCTTAGCGATGTCATGTCGCTGCCTTGGTGGGGCTCGAATTTTCACATCCTGCACCATAAAGCCAGCGGAGACGCTCGACCGTCGCCTTTTTCAACTCCAAGCCTCGAGATTGTGAGCGAAGCCCAGCTACAGTCTACTGACGGAGTTCCATCTCTCGTCGCTCATCCCCTCTTCTCAAGCTCATCAAGCGGCTGGCAGTCAGAGCAACTCGTCACTCGGCGGTCGACGACCTCTCTTGCGCGACCCCTCCACGCAACCCAGCGACCGAAAAAGCGACTTTGCCCTCGCCACCCACGATGTCGAACCTCAACTCTTGGGAGGACGATCCTGCGGCCCAGGACGAGAACCTGGCCCAGCAGGCCCAGCAGCAGCTCAACATGAACGCTGCCCCTCAGCCCGGCGTCTTCCGTCCTGGCGCAGCCTCGTTCCAGCCCACGGCCCAGACCTTCCAGCCCGGCCAGGCCTTTGGCGGGGGTTATGCGCAGCAGTATCAGCAGCAGCAATACTACGGACAGCAGCAGGGCTTCTACCCGCAGTACGGCGCCGGCCAGGGCTTTGACCAGTACAACCAGTACCAAGGCTACGGCGGTGGCTACAACCAGGGCTACAACCAGACCTATGGTATGTCGACGGCGTCATATGCCAAATCCAGTTCTCGAAAGCTAACAGCAGCTGTTTCCCAACGCTAGGCCAACAGGGATACCATCAACAGGGTCAGCAGCAGGCGCAGCGAGCCCAGCAGCCCGCTCCCCAGGCCCCCAAGAACAATACCACGCAGGCTGCGCCTGTGAAGTCGCTCCCCGTCGAGAAGCCCGCCGCCCCCGCGGCCGCTGCCAGCGCACCCAAGCCCGTCGTTTCCAACGAGGGTGGTGCCAAGGTCCTCAGCATCGGAGGCGATGCAAAGCCCAAGACCAAGGTGCTGTCGATTAGCTCCACTACCTCCGCCCCGGCTCCGGCCCCGGCCAAGGAGGACGCCAAGCCCGAGCCGTCCAACGAGCCGGACGCGGGCAAGAAGGCTTCCGCCGTCAAGGCTATCGAAAAGACTGGCGAGGCGGCCGGCAAAGCGGCCGGCAGCGGCAAATCCTCCGGAAGAACGTCTCCCGACCCATCATCCGGCCGCTCCAGCCCTACCGGTGCGGCAGAGAAGAAGGCCCAGCGCGAAGTCGATGCGGTTCTGAAGGCGCAAACCGCCGATGTGGACGATGAGACGCTCAAGGAGATTTACGGCAAGGAACACGTCAACATCATCTTCATCGGACACGTCGATGCAGGCAAGTCAACGTTGGGTGGCTCCATCTTGTGGACCACCGGCATGGTCGATGAGCGTACCATGGAGAAGTACAAGAAGGAGGCCAAGGACCTGGGCCGTGAATCTTGGTATCTCTCTTGGGTCATGGATTTGACCAAGGAAGAGCGAACCAAGGGCAAGACCGTCGAGGTCGGCCGTGGCTTCTTCGAGACTGAGAAGCGACGCTACAGTATCCTGGATGCTCCAGGCCACAAGACATACGTGCCCAGCATGATTGGCGGTGCTTCGCAGGCAGACGTGGGCATTCTCGTCATCTCAGCGCGAAAGGGCGAGTACGAGACGGGTTTCGAGAGAGGAGGACAGACGCGTGAGCACGCCATGCTTGCCAAGACGCAGGGTGTCAACAAGCTCATTGTGGCGATCAACAAGATGGACGACCCGACGGTGGAGTGGTCCGAGGAGCGTTACAAGGAGTGTACGACCAAGCTGCAGCAGTTCTTGAAGGGTACTGGCTACAACCTGAAGACGGATGTCTACTTCATTCCCGTGGCCGCCCAGATGTCCTTGAACATCAAGGACCGATTGCCCGAAGGAATCGCCCCCTGGTGGAAGGGACCTTCACTGCTGGAGTACCTTGACAGCATGCAGGCATTGGAACGCAAGGTCAACGCGCCCTTCATGATGCCCATCAATGCCAAGTACCGAGACCTGGGTACTATGGTTGACGGCAAGATCGAGGCGGGTGTGATCAAGAAGGGCATGCAGCTGGTCATGATGCCCCGGAAGCAGCCGGTCGAGGCCGCAGCCATTTACGGAGAGCAGGAAGAAGAGCAGACCATTCTGCAGTGCGGTGACCAGGTGCGTCTGCGTCTCAAGGGCATCGAAGAAGAAGATATCCTGCCTGGGTTCGTGCTCTGCTCGCCGAAGCGATTGGTGCACTGCGTTTCCGAGTTTGAGGCGCAAATTCGCGTCTTGGAGCTCAAGAGCATCCTGACCACTGGCTTCAATTGCGTGCTGCACGTGCACGCTGCCATTGAAGAAGTCACCTTTGCGGCTCTGCTGCACAAGCTGCAGAAGGGCACCAACCGCAAGAGCAAGCTGCCTCCCACACACGCCAAGAAGGGCGACAGCATCATTGCCAGGCTTCAGGTGACTGGAGGCGCCGGCATGGTTTGTGTCGAGAAGTTTGAGGATTACCCGCAGATGGGTCGTTTCACCCTGCGAGACCAGGTATGACAGACCTATTGAATTCTGGACCAGTACGTTTGCGCTAACAAGATGACGCAGGGACAAACCATTGCCATTGGCAAGATTACGAAACTCATTACCAGTGAGGATCAGTAAAGGACCATCGGTGAGATGACCAAGAATAGATGAGAAAAAGACAGCGTCAGTCCCGGGCGGTTTGGCCATGACATTCTAAAAGGGGGAACTGCAGAATCTGAGCGTGAGAGCAAGCTCTGCTAGCAAGGCGTCGATGAGACGGACAAGAACAAGAAAAGCACGGCTACCGACTCGTATAGAAGGCATGGTCTGCATCAGGGCCAATGTCGAAGACTCGGGTGGCCGCGTGTTGAGAAGTGGAGATACGACATAGGTCGTGGGGATGCAAGGCCATCGGAAGCATTTGTTGATGCCACATGATGCCACGAATATCAAGCATAGAAAGGATAACGAATCTCTTTTTCTCTGTTCCATCGGTGGATATTGCAAGTGAATTCGTAGCTCTCTGTAAGCATGGCAAGGAGATGCGGGTTTCGATAAGAGCAAATTGTCTGTCCGGGTTATGCAAGCACAAAGGTGAAGTAACAGGCAGCAAAAGATAAGGACATCCCTGAGATGTATCTATGGGCTTTCCATCCCGTATTGACCCGTCAAGCTGCTCATCGGAACGTTTATCAAGAGTCGTTGAGATGGGGCGAAACAATCTCGAATGGCTATTCTTTCAGCCGCTCGGCTGCAGATTTACCTACCAAACTACCTACCTTACCTAGGTATTAGGTGTTGATATAGTCAGGCCCCCCTGAGAACTCGGCCCAAGGAACGGAGATGCGAGCAGATAACGGCCGCGGTCCGAGCCCTTTTTAGAAGCCCAAAGGGCTGAAGAGTAAGTCCGGCATATGCCGTGATATGAGATTAAGGTGCAGGCTGGACAAGGTGATGGGGGCGAGAAAGCCACATGCAAAAGGAGCGTATCTCGTCTGTGTATGTGTGTGTATGCATGTAAGTGGTAGTAGTGGTACACAGTTGGACGAATCAAAGGAGCGGAGGGAATCGTTTACGGGCTTTGTTGTGTGTGAGGCTCGGGAAGGCTAGGGTAAGGGGGGGGTGTGTGGTGTGTTGTTTGGTTCTTGGGTTTTGGGATTGATGTTTAAATGACCTGCATACATGGGGGCCGAGGGAGAGGGTAGGTAGGTAGTGATGCTTTGCCTGTCGGTGGTTGATGCTCCGTGTTTGTATGGCTGTGTATGATGAGACGGGAGGTGAGGGCGTCCCGGGCTGCTCCGTATGCTAGCAAGGGTGTGTAAGGTATGTAAATGCTTCACTCTTCTGTGTAAATTCTTGGTGGAGAGTTTCAATACATGTACTTTAACTTGGGCAAGGTGCCTGAATCTATAGGTAGGTATGGGGTAGCACAGCCCACTCGTAATGACAGTACCCAGACATCGCAGATTGCGTAGGTATACTATACAGAGGGTACATTGATCACACACTGATGGAACGCTGGAACAGTGACGAAAATGAATCGGAATCAGGGGCGTGTTGCGCGGAACTTCCCATGTGGACATTTTACTCTTTGCGTAAGGTAAGGTAGGTCAGGGTTGTGGGCCGAAAGTCTGGGGGTGGGAAGAGAGGGAGGGAGGCTTCCGAAGCCGAGCCGGCGAGACGGAGCGGCACACCTTCGAGGAGGGACATGGAGAAAGGAGGAGGAGGAGGAATGAGGGCTTCGGGGGTCCGTGACGGTGGGGTCGGATGGAGGGTTTGGGGGGGTTTTTCGGCTCGGAGGGATGGGGGAGGTTGATGCCGGGTAGGTGGAGGAGAGGCTGACTTTTGTGTGTTATTGAAGTGATTCTAGATGTGATTTTTGGATGAGGACTGACTTGTGGCTGTGAGGCGAGAATTGGGTAATATTGTATTGAACGCTCCTGTCACTGATGGAAATACGGCATGCTTGATATTATTATTATTATTATTATTATCACACCTCTGATGCTACTCGCACGTACCTGTTTGTGGTGATGAACGTTGTATGGGTACGTCACGGCCCCAATCAAGTGGGCTTGGCGTTGAGCCGGGGAGACGATGGGCGCTGAAGAGGGAAGTGATCGATTTGGCGATGAAAAGCAGCGTGTCAATTCTCCAGTACCTGGACAGCAATTTGAAAGAAAGGAAGAAGAAGTGGCCTCTCTACTTATTAGTAGTACTGGGGTCTTGCGAGTCTGCGGGTCTGGGTTGCCACGAGCAGGCTGATGACCGGGTTCAGTCCTGTATCTTTCCAGAGTTCAGAGTTTGATGATGTTGGTGGTTTTCTCTCTTCATGAGGGAGACGTACACTGCGTACAGCCAGGCACCTGGTCAAGTCACAACTGAGACTTTCATGTGCTGTCTCATGCATCTAGACGCTGAAATGTCACTTCGTCAGGCCAAGCCCGGACAATCTACAGCGGAACGGAACATACAAAGTACATGATGCAGTACATACCTCTGCAAAGGGGTGGCATTAGTAGGTACAGCTGGAATTATTGTCGTCTCGACTCACTCGAAAATGATTATCAGAACCCAAAAACGGATTCAGCACATGCATGGTACATACACGACAACGATATACAATGAATACGACAGTCAAATACCGTGGAGTTGCTATGTATTTCGCGGAGAAAGCCGGAACAGAAAGACCACAGCGACCGGGCAGCCAATCACGGGATCGGACGAACCGGGAGCGGGAAACGGGGTGCCGTTGGGCCGAGACCTCTTTTTTTTTTTTCGGTTCATTGATGTTGCACATGTATGTACATGAATTTTTGTTTAGATTTCCAACTCGAAGAAGAGAAGAGAAATGTATATCAAGGGAAGAAAAGGGGAAACGGTTTGTTGACTGTCTCGCGGTGCGACCGTATGACGTGTGTCTTGTGTCCAGAAGGGCTCGGATATCTGGTGCCGAATGTCTGAGAAGCAGAGAAACCGAGACAGGGAGAAGCGCGCCAGAAGGAGAAAAAGAAGCACAGAAGACGTTACTAGGAGGACCAAATACCTAGTACCTAGGTATGTGTATCATGAGTCCATATGTACTACAGTACATACATGCCGTGCCGAGCGGAACCGCAGCAACGGAGGTGTCTTGCCGGTCGACATCAGTATGTAGGTACATGTCATTCTTCGTCGTTCCTCGTGGGAAGTGAAAACGTGTTGCTCGTACCTTGGCAAGAAAAAGACGAAGCCAACAAGGGGGGGGAGGGGGGCGTGTCTGTACAGCCGAAAATCTGGTGAGCCATTCCGGTTTGTTCGAGTAAATCGCGGGGTAGCGAGATTGCAGCCACGCCCACAGAGGCCCCAGAGACGCTGCTGCGGTTCCCCCCCCCCAAGGCAAAAAGCCGGGCCGGTCTGGTCTGCTTCTCCCCGGACTTGGGACCTGGAGCTACGGTACGTATCGTGGCCCTGACCGGGAGCGAGTTGTTGATACTACGAGGTAGTACCCTCGACTTTTTAATTTGCATACAAGTCAAGTGACTTGATTCTAGACGTGCTAGTAGTATCTGTTTTTTTTTTTTTTTTTTTTTTTTTGCGGCGCAGGCGGTGACTTGTGCATGTGTCAACGGTAACCAGGCAATAAATAGAAACATCAAGCGAAGGGGAAAAAAAAAGGAGAGAGATCTCGTGCTCAGTTTTGAAATTCGGTTACGATATCTCACGCCCTTTTGGATCCCCTGTTGGGTTCCACCGCTAGATGGGACGTTTATTGTCTTGCCCCCTTCGCCTTCGCCGCGAGTGGTGTCAATGCACGAATAGCATCAAAGGCTTACCATTTAATGCGTGCCTTATGTTAGGATAGATGCTTCTACTTATTAATGAATATACGGTGCTGTTCAGCACAGTTGGACGACCCGTGTCTCCATACTTATTGCTCCATGTCTTTGTTAGCGGAAGAAACGAGTCAAGCTCTCCCGGGCCGGGGAACAACGAGCAAGCAAAAGATGCCAGATGCCACCTGATGCTGTGACACTGACTTCTCGTCTTCCTTTTTTTCTTTCCGTTTCTTTTCCTTCTTTGACACCCCGGTCCGCAGGCGAAAGCTGACATGGATCTTTTTTCCCCTTTGAGGCCCGTTCCTGTTATTTCACTGCCCAGCCTCGTGACCGTAAGAAAAGTGCCATTGATTACCCAACGATTACTCGTATGTGCGTTCCTGTCGACAAAGCTCGGCTTGAGTCGGTAGGCCCTCGAAGAAGCGTCGCATCCCCGGAACAAAAGATGATCAATGCCTTTCTTTTCTATGTAACTCCCCAGCAGGCCCCAGACAGAAAGCAAAAGAAGAGAAAAAAACAGGTCTAGAGCATGAGAAAGTACGGGGAAGTGGAATAGGAACAGACGCGATTCGCCACAAGAGCATCATGTCAACCATGTGTAGGAGCAGACACTTCCCCATCAGGCAAAGCCGCTGCCCCGGCCGCCCAGTCCGTACGTAATCGCCCCGCATTAGCCGCTGAGGCGCGCCGGTAGAGAGAACTACATACATACAATCGCCCAGAGCTGGTGTTGTTAGTAGTACTGTACCTAGTTTTCGCTGCTTGCATGGGTTCGGAATAGTCCGCTTGGGAGAATGGAAAAGAAACAAAGTGCCGTTTGTGTCTGTATTGTACTATCCAGGTATTCACGGCCACAAGGAGAGCGCGCGTTTCCGGTTTTTGCCTGATCGAATGCACGTGTGGTGGTGTGGTTGGGAGGGAGGAGGAAAAAAAGGTTGGTCTATGTTCTCACATCACCCGCATCAGACGTTGGAGACGAGACGAGGAGGGAACAGCAGAGAAGCTTAAATACGGCTGCTTTTCCCGCCTCTCAACGACGATGATCAGCTTCTTCTTCTTTGCAAGAGCAAAAGGGCTTCACTTTCTGACTCGAAATTCGATTTCCTCGGTGCGGTTTGTGCCGTCATCAAGCCATCATTACTGTCTCCAGTACTGCATCCGTACTCCAAAGTACCCAAGCCGCACTAACAATCTAAACCGACTCCTCTGCTGGCATCGTGAGTTACCCAATTTTCTTTCTCTTGTCCCTACGCCTTCTTTGAATCTTCCTCCCCTTGCATCGTTGAAACACACGCCCCCTTGTGCTGCAGCCCAATTTAAACAGATTGAAGCTGCTTGAGAAATGATCAAAAAAAAAGTCCCGTGGCACTGGAGAGTCAAGTCTACCGGACAAGACTGCTTGAGCCGAGCGCAGACGACGGCAAGCGCCACAAAAACTACATGGCAGAAACATGGCTTTCCACCTCCCCATTCTCTTCTTTTGCTTCACACACGCCCCCCTTTCCCTTCTCTCTCCTATCCTATTCTCCACCCACAGAAATCCCCGGCTTTGGCTATGTCTCATTCCCTCTCTCTCTTTTTTTTACCATTCGCACACCCTCTTTCCCCTGTTTCTGGCCGCTTTCATTCCGATATAAATTCGTGCGTCAAGCTTCGCACTGCCCGGCATGGCTCCACAGCCCCCTTCCGAAGAAGCCCTGTGCCTCTGCATCCTGCCAGTCGGGACTGTTCGATCGCAGGGCTACTAGCTAGTGCACCCTTTTGAAGGACCAGCTCGTTGTCTAACAGCTTCAGTTGGCTCTAGCTTTTCTGTCCTTCTGATCTGCCGCAAGTACATCGACACGCTTCCGCTTGCGAGTCGGTACCTGGAGGAAGACCACCTCGAGCATCGCCATATTACCCCGGCATCCTGTGACAAACGCCACGCCCCTCCCCCCTCCCCCTGCCCCGGTCCTTGGCTTTAGTAGCAGCTGAAGCGGGAACGAAGAGGAAGAAAAGGACGAAAAGACGAAAAAGAACGACGTCGACATTCCGACCCTGTCCCTCCGGCTCTGCTCGAACTGGAATACATAAAGATCCAATGGATCCCGTCTTCAGAACTGCCTCTCCATACATTGATCCTACCGTCAAAGGTCCCAAGTCGCAGATCCAGGCCTCGGGAATAGATTTACGCAAGAGTAAGTCGGTTCCCTTGATGAGCGGTCCCTCTTTCTTTGGTGCTGCCCTCAATGGCCGTTGAAAAAACACAGTCAATCGGGATCGTGCAAGACTTGGGAGGGCTAACACATGAGCAGTGATTTCAAGCAACGTCAACAAGACTGCCCTGCACCCTGGCGGTGTTCAGTGAGTGCTCCTCTATGCCCTCGATCGACGACTCTACTCTACCGAGATAGTCGTCTGTGTGTTGCTGCAGAAGACCCAAAGCTAACCTCCATGTGCTACAGGCCTTACCGCGAGCACACCGAGCTCGGTATGTCCCACCTTGTGCTTGATGCAGCTGACCTTGGCTCACCGCCCTGCGACCCGGCATTATTAACCCGTCTGCAACAGAGGAGGAACTGCACGAGATTGCCCACATTGACTACGACCGCGTCGCCATTGTAAGTAAATGAGTGCATCGCCAACCATGTCACTTGTGACCTTCACCTTTCGTAAGGACGCCTCACTGACAAGTTGCTCGTCCGCTGCAGGTCGCCAATCCCTCCGTCGCCGCGCTCTACGAAGATGCCCTCGTCTACGAGAGCGGCACTGCCATCACCTCGAGCGGTGCCCTGACTGCCTACTCGGGCGCAAAGACTGGCCGCTCGCCCCTGGACAAGCGAATTGTCAAGGAGCCCTCTTCAGAAAACGACATCTGGTGGGGACCCGTCAACAAGCCCATGAGCCCTGATGTAAGTCGAATATTTTTTTGTTGCATCGTCGCTGCGGGCGTCACCTCCAGCGTCATTGTCTCGTCGTCTTTGCTCCGACTCTACCCATGCATTCGTCCCCATGTCCATCCACACTTGTCTCAATCCCTGCATCTTCTTTCCTCTGCCTCGGGTCAACGGTCACGCGAGCCGGGGGGGTGTTTCTCCTGTTCAGCTCTTGTCCAGCCCAATCCCAATCCCAAGCCGCCACCTCCAAACCAACACTCCCTCCAGCTGCGCTTCCGCACTTGGAGACGCAATTGGGGGGGGTTTTGCCTTTACGTCCTTTTGTCGAATCGGAAGCGCATGCGGAGAAGTGCTCCAAAAAACAAGGATGCAGCTCTAGCCTGGCGTCACTGCAGCCGCCCCAGACCCCGCATCGAGACGAAATGGCTCCAACTTGGTTCGGCACTCTGGCAACGACCAGGAATGCAGGGCCAAGAGAACAAGCCGGGGAGCCCCGCTGGCCCGAGGCCGGCTAGCCGACCATAAGCGGCCTCCCCAAGGACGCCCGACACCCGCGGCTTTTGGCTCGTGATGCTGCCATCCAGGCGCTTCCGATCCGATCCGAGGTGCTCCGGCTGGTGTCTGAGCTGACTTGGGGAAAGGGGCCCGGCAAGTTGCCTGTGCGACCACCAGCAAAGTTGTTTGGTTGGACGAATCAATGAATGGCTGGATGTTGTGTCACTTACTGCCAATTCCGTGCCTGAGCTGGAGGCTGTCGCTCCACATGACGATGGTGTCAAACACTGGCGAGGAGAGACGACGTGTAAGCTAACATTGTCACCCCCAGGTCTGGAAAATCAACCGAGAGCGTGCCGTCGACTACCTCAACACCCGCAACCGCATCTACGTCATCGACGGCTATGCTGGCTGGGACGAAAAGTACAGGATCCGTGTCCGCGTTATCTGCGCGCGCGCCTACCATGCTCTCTTCATGAGGAACATGCTCATCCGCCCTCCCCGCGAGGAGCTCGAGCACTTCCACCCCGACTACACCATCTACAATGCCGGCACCTTCCCCGCCAACCGATACACCGAGGGCATGACCTCTGCCACGTCCGTGGCCATCAACTTTGCCGAGAAGGAGATGGTCATCCTGGGCACCGAGTACGCCGGCGAGATGAAGAAGGGCATCTTCACCGTCCTCTTCTACGAGATGCCCATCAAGCACAACGTCCTGACCCTGCACTCGTCCGCCAACGAGGGCAAGAACGGCGACGTCACCCTCTTCTTCGGCCTGTCCGGCACTGGCAAGACCACGCTGTCTGCCGACCCCAACCGCGCCCTCATCGGCGACGACGAGCACTGCTGGAGCGACCGCGGCGTCTTCAACATCGAGGGCGGCTGCTACGCCAAGTGCATTGGCCTGTCGGCCGAGAAGGAGCCCGATATCTACAACGCCATCCGCTTCGGCTCCATCCTCGAGAACGTCGTCTTCGACCCCGTCACCCGCGAGGTCGACTACGACGACGTCACCCTCACCGAGAACACCCGCTGCGCCTACCCCATCGAGTACATCGCCAACGCCAAGATCCCCTGCATGACCGACAACCACCCCACCAACATCATCCTGCTCACCTGCGACGCCCGCGGCGTGCTGCCGCCCATCTCCAAGCTCGACAGCGCCCAGACCATGTTCCACTTCATCTCCGGCTACACCTCCAAGATGGCCGGCACCGAGGACGGCGTCAACGAGCCCCAGGCCACCTTCTCCAGCTGCTTCGCCCAGCCCTTCCTGGCCCTGCACCCCATGAAGTACGCCCGCATGCTCGCCGACAAGATTGAGCAGCACAAGGCCAACGCCTGGCTGCTCAACACCGGCTGGGTCGGCGCCGGCTTCGCCCAGGGCGGCAAGCGATGCCCGCTCAAGTACACTCGCGCCATCCTCGACGCCATCCACTCGGGCGAGCTCGCCCAGGTCGAGTTTGAGAACTACGACGTCTTCAACCTGCAGGTCCCCAAGACCTGCCCCAACGTCCCCGCCGATCTGCTGAACCCCAAGAAGGCCTGGACCGCCGGCGACGACAGCTTCCAGAAGGAGGTTGTCAAGCTGGGCCAGCTCTTCCGCGAGAACTTTAAGAAGTACGAGAGCGAGGCCACCCCCGACGTCATTGCCGCCGGCCCCAGCGTCTAAAAGGTGCTTTGAAAGAAGAGGGGATTGTAGAGGAAAGCGTTTGGGACTTGAAAGTTGTTCACATTCTTCGAATGGCAAAATCGTGATATCCAGGGGTCGTCTCTGTTGGCGACGCGTGTGGGGGAAGCTGCAAAACAAAACCCAAAAAATGAAGGACGACTTCGTGGGAAGGATTTAGATATTTCTTCCTTCTTCTTTTGCTTCATTGTTCTTTTTCTCGTCTTCCTGTTTTTTTTTCTTTTTTTTCTCGTCATGACCGCGTTTTTTGAAACGCTGGGAAAGCATTGATATGGGTCGGCGTTTACGACATTCTGCTTCGCGTTTATCCCCCCTTTTATTTCGGGGGAAAAGGGCTCTATAGCTAAATTGAAAGAAAACGTTTCTATTCAAAAAGTTTTGCCTACACTGACTGACATGCCAACTCTGACGTCTTTTTGTGTTGTAATTTCCACTTATTAGGTACACTTTCTATTATCCAAAGCCGGTGAGATTTTCCAACACAGAAGACCACATTTCATCATTGAACAGATAGCCCCCTTCCTCCGTACCACCAGCGTAGTAGTACGCACCAGGCACATAATAACCCCTCTGCTCATCCAGCAATTCACCTCCACCGAAATTCTGGCCCGCAACATGCTGCATCGCCGGCGCAACGGCCGTGACAGCGTCATCCCTCCCAGAAGCAGGAGGAGGAGTCATATCCGCTAGCGGATTCCTCCCCACGAGGTCAACTCCCAGAATGGCCTTGACCCGGGGCGCATACCAGCTCGCCAGGATGCCTATATGGCAGCACAGCGTGCCCGCCACGTCCAGCCCCTTTTCCTGCGCCGAGAGACCCTCGACGAGGACCTTGAGTTTGTCATACAGCCCAGCGACGACATTGAGATAGTCTGCCTCGTCGATGACGGCCTGGGCCTCACTTAGGCCATCGCCCCGAACCTTGACCTGATTTGCAGCAGATGATGATGATGATGATGAAGAAGAAGAAGAAGAGGAAGAGTTGGCGGGATAGTGGTTGTTGTGGCTGTGGGTGCTGACGACGAGCTTCAGAAGGGCTGATACGGCGCGCGGGAGGATGACGAGGGAGGCGCAGAGCTGGGCGAGCGTGAAGACGGTGATTTGGGGGAGTTGCGCGTCGGGGATGGCGACGTAGGCGTTGATGAGGGCCTTGCTGTGACGGAGGAGGTGCCAGAGGAGGGATGTTCGAAAGGGGGACGTTGCGAATAATGATGGATTTGTTGTTGAGGAGGGAGGTTGTTGGGTGAGGGATTCGTCGTGGAGGGCTGTGTCGCGGATGGCCATGTTGATGTAGTGCATGGTGCAGCGGAAGATGTTTGCTTCACGATATGTATATTGTGAGTTTTCTTTATCTGTTTGTTCTCTCTTGGACTTTTGAGAGCAAGACGACGTACCTGTGTAGTCTGGACATTTGGAGAATTCTTCGTCGAGGGTTGTCTTCAAGGCGTTGAATTGCCGCAGGTTGGCCCCGACCATGACCCTGACAAAGGACTCTTGCTGGAGCGCACCGTCTTCTTCATCTTGGAGGCCTTTGAAGCTTGCGTCGACGGAGCTTATGAATGCCTGCGTGAGAATCATTGGCCGAATGCACCTGTCAGAGGGATACTCTGTCGAGCGGGCCATGCTATCACAGCATTCGTCAATCCTTTTACTCCGTGTCATTGCCGTCGGCCTGTTAATCACCCTCGGCAAGCTACACGCAGCACACTCAACATCAGCAACAGTCTTTTACATCACACAAGTCAAACCACAAGTGAGCCGCTCGCTTGCTCACCTCGTAGAAACCCAATACGTGCCCAGCAGCGCCCTCTGCTCGTCCATCGTCAAGCCTCCCCGTTTTCGATGCAAGCCCAAATCATACGCCATCGTCACGCACAGATCCAGCAGCAAGACAAGCTGCACGTTGCCCCTCTGCGCGGGATACCTATACCACGCGCACAGCACCAGCAACGCGCGCAACAAGCCTAGATTGCGCTCCGAGCCGGCGACGATGCGCGACGTGACGTGCTGCATGGTTTCGTCGGCGAGGAGCTTCCGGATGGGATGTGCGCTGGGGACGACGGCAGCGACGACGGCCAGGAAGAGCAGGGGCTCGTGCTGCCGGAGGTGGTGGGCGCTCTGAGAGATGGGCAAGGTGACGAAGGGGAAGTTAGGGACGAAGCTGGACTTGAAGCGGGTGATGAGGGCTTCTGCTTCGGTGGTGGTGAGAAAGCCGCGGTCGACGATGTCGGGGATGCCTTCTAGGATGGAGGTTGTTGGGGGTGGGCGGCCGTGGTAGCCTTCGCTGTCGGCGTCCAGGGGGTCTTGGTTTCCATCTGCGGGATCGTGGATGGTTGCTTCGTGGAGCGAGGAGGATGAATTTGTCGTCGTCGTCGTCGTCGTCGTCGTCCCATCTTGAGAGATGGAGGATATTGTGACGGTGCTTTGCCCGGATCGAATCGCCCTCAGCTGAGCCGTGAGCTCTTCAATCCTGCTCTCCAGGGCATCAACTCGGCTATAACAATGAACTTTCAGTCAGCCAATGTTCTTCTCAATTCCAGAAGAGCATAGATAGAATGTTTTACCAATCCTCATCCTTGCGCTTCCGCTTCCGCTCGGGCAGATCCAGATAGACGCACTGCTTCCCCAGCCGGGCACAGCGGTGGCACAGGTTGTCCGTCCGCGGCTCGCACTTCGATTTTGCCGTTGTGCACGTGACGCAGGCCCTTCTCTTGATTCTGCCTCTGCTTCTGTGGGTTTCGCTGCTATGGTTCATGATCAGATCAAATCGCATGAGAACAATTGTGGAAGGCTGGGTGTAAGTGATGCTTCGAGGCAAGGACGAGGTTGAGACGGCCGGTCCAGGTTCCGTCGGCCGACGGCTGGACCCAAGTTCCGCTTCCGTTGCTGACGAATGATGCTGCTGATTGGCTGGAGCTTGAGAGGAACCGGGCGATGGACTCCGGTCCAGCCGTTCGTGAAAGGAGAGGCACTCCGTCTTGAGTCGTGATAATTATTTGATAAGGCGCTGGATATAGATCTTTGACGTGGAGATACTAGGCTTGCTTCATCATGCATTACACATCAGATCATGATCATGGGTTTGTCATCGTGCCCAGTGGTTCCCTCAAACAGACAAACGCTCTCTCCACCAAGGAGTCGTCCTGGCCATGACTTACACGAGCAAACACACATATAAAATCCCCTGAATAACTTCCCATCAAATCATCTCCAAGATCTCAACAAGCTCATTACAACCCCAAGCAACCTCACACCCACCATGCCCTCCTACGCCATCACCGGCGCCTCCAAAGGCATCGGCCGCGAATTCGTCCGCCAGCTCGCCCAATCCCCCTCCAACACCATCCTCGCCCTCGTCCGCAGCCCATCCCCGGCCCTCCTCGCCCTCGCCCAGTCTCACCCAAACATCCACATCATCAAGAACGCCGACACCACCGACCCATCCTCCGTCCTCGCCGCCGCCCGCGAAGCCTCCCAGATCCTCGGCGACAGCAGCGGCGGGCTCGACGTCCTCATCCACAACGCAAACTCCGTCAACCTCGACACCTTTGCGCTGCCCCCCTCAAAGGTCCCCTTTGACCTCGAGGCCACCAGGACTTTCTACGAGGTGCCCGCTCGCACCGCGATTTGGGGCGGCGCCTGGACCACGAATGCCTTCTTGCCGCTCATTGAAAAGGGCCAGCTGAAGAAGATTGTCCACATCACGAGCACCATGGCAGACACCGACTTCATTCTCGGCTCAGGAATCGATTACGCGCTCGCCTATGCTATTGCAAAGGCCGGCATGAATGTCCAAGTCGCAAAGTACGCGGCTGAACTCGCGCCCAAGGGCATCAAGACTCTGTCTCTGTGCCCCGGCTGGGTCGACACTTGGGAGAGTGAGCAAGGTAACGAACGCAGTCCGCCCCCCCCCCCCCCCTGCCTACTATTCGTTTCAAAGGCTCACGTGGTTATTAGGCCCAAAGCCACCTCAACTTGTTGAGGCGGAAGAGTTGATGCTCGCCCAATTCCGCAAGGTTGAGCCCGACCTCAAGGGGCAAATCTCCGTCCAAGAAAGTGTCTCGCAACAGCTCAAAGTCATTGACGCACTCGACGCTGCCAGAAGTGGCACCGTCATCAAGGCTCGTGACTTCAAGGCCTAGACTGTGTTGCTCCCACATGGTAGCACGATGATAATGGCATTGAGGGTAACAATTTATAGCCCGTAGGATGGCATATGTATATTCGGCATCTATAGACATGACCAATGCTCCTCTAAGTTTTGTAATTGCAAAGAAAAAGAAAAAGAAAAAGAGCGTATTCCATACTCGTCTGATATGTCCAATGTGAGAGTTTCGAATCATCATCTTGATGCATTTGGGTTGTGCAAAGTACAAGCAGTATTAAAAGAGGCAATGTTAAAAGGGGAGAGGTATTCGAACAATGATGGGAAGAAAGAGACAAGGGGGCAAAGGGCATACATTTTTAATAAGAATAACGGAACATCTTGTTCTCCTTATCCGTCATGGTAGCCCAGACCTCGGGAGACATGAACTGTTCCTCATTCTCTTTGCTGCGGTCGCCACGTCTCTTGTTGCACCAAACATAGTACAGGAAGAGAGTAAAGGTAGTCACGGCACACCCAGCTTGAGTGCCCATGACTGCCAGCTTGGCGGGTCGGAAGTCGGGCGCATCGCGGGCCTGGAAGGTTTGGGGTCCAATAATGTTGCCCAGGGAGAACGAGCCGCTCACAATGGCAGCAGCAAAGGCGCGCTTGGTGGCACCGCTGACGTTGGCGACAGTCCACTGCATCCGTTGTGTTAGTCGACTCACCGCCGCAATCAGCCCATGTGTGGAGGGGAATAGGTGTTCTTACGGCGTAGAAGAGGGTCAGAGGAGCGACAACCGCATTGACCAGATAGATACCAGCCAAGACGCCCGCGTGGTGAGTTTTCGTGTCAAGGAAGGACATTAAGGCGCCTCCAATAATGCTGTGCAATGGTGTTAGCAGTTACACAGGCCTCCGGATGTGTGACCAAAGGGTGGCAAACGTACGCAGGAATGATGCAGACTATAATCCAAGCCCAACGGTGAGACTGCTTGCGAACGCCGAAGCCGACGAGCAGAGTAAAGAAGATGCTGACAACACCCGACGGCATGTTCATCAGGGCAGCCTTGGCCGGCAGGTAGCCCAAGTTCCTGATCAGAGTAGCCGAGTACGTAGTGACGACACCGCTAGAGACGGAGAGCTTCGGGAAGTCAGTAACACAAATGAGAACTAAGTTAACAGCGAGTGAAAAGTCAATACTTACAAGCACGACGGACAGCAGCAACAGGTAGATTTGAGGATCAAGAAGGGCCTCTACAATCTCCTTGGGGCGGAACTTGCGGCTCTGGATGCCAGTCTGGTTGACACTGACATGCTTCAGTAGGGCCACCTTTTCGTTATCGGACAGCCAGGAAGCCTTCATAGGGGTATCAGGCAAGAAGAGAAAGGTGGAGAGGCCAATGACAACGGTGACGCATCCCAGGACGACGAACATGATGCGCCAGCCAGCCAGGGAAGCACCAGGAGAAACATGCTGGAAGCCGTAGGAAATGGCACCGCCGAGGATCTGGCCCAAGCCCAGGCCGAGATACCAGAACGAGAAACGAGGAGCTTGCTCCGACTTTGTGTACCACTGGCTGCTGATGAGCATTAAGGAAGGCCCAATGGTAGCCTCGAAGATGCCGAGGAAGACACGAGAAACGAGCAGCGTCTGGTAGTTGTGGGCAGCGGCACCGCAGGCCGTGGCAATGCCCCAAAGGGTGACATTGAGCCCGAGCCACTTGGCAGCCGGGACGACCTGGAGGAAGTAGGCTATCGAGATGTCTTAGTCGATATGGCTCTTATACAAAAAGGGGGGGTTGAAGGAGCATGCTCCATGTCTGGACAGAGCTACACTTACCATTGGGAATCTCAAAGCAGAGCAAGCCGACAAAGCAGAATGTAGCCACGTTTGAAAAGTCATTGCCCTGGAGATGCAGGTCGGTGTTGAGCCCCATGACAGCCGCATACTATTTCTGCATCAGCATCTCGCAAGGTCAAGCAGTGTTTACCCACGATGGGGGCACCCAGTTAAAACCCGCTCCCTCGCTGTGAGTGGGGGCCGATATGCAGGTACGAAAGGGATCATGTCAGATCGACTCACATTCAAGATGACCTTGTCAAGAAACTGCATAGTATAGCAGAGAAACATCAGAGGCACGATGTGGAGGTCGATCTTGAGGCGAAGCGAGTCGATGTTGATGGCGGCAACGCCAGCGGCGTCGCGGTGCTCGTTGAGGAACTTCCATGCATCATCGATGCCAGCCTCAGGAACATCGACATCGCTGTGAGACGGGGTAGTGCCGCGGACGTCAAACTCGGCCCCTTTCTCGCTGATGATCGGGGAAGACATTCTTGCGACTGTCCTCACAGCTCTTGACTGTGCCAAAGAGCTGCGGCCGTGAATCCGACACGGGCAGAGGCGTGGAACAAGAGTTCAATAGGTAGGGTCAATGATGGGGGGGGAGAGTGACGTGATGAGTGAATGTATGTCTGAGTGCCCCCAGCGAGGGAGTAAGCGGACGAAGGAGGGATTTGGCTGTCTGTCTAAGATGGAGACTGGGACAAGAATTTCCTTCCGAGGTTCCAAAAGCAGGACGATCAGCGCTGCTCGCAAAGAGATCAACACATCGAGCCAGGAACGGCAGTTCAAATATGATGTCGAAGGGGGCCCGCTGTATGTACGTCGTAATAGGAGGGCTTCCGGGCTCCCCAATGAGGATATGGGACCAAATATTTGACAGGACAAAGCAGGGGTCCCGTGCCAAAGAGAAGGGGTCTTGAAGGGATCAGCTATGGCGTTGATATCGCACCTCGTGTGCGCTCGCACTTGTGCAAGCTAGCAGCAGCTCAGAGGACACAGAGATGAGACAATTGGACGGGGCGCAGGTTGCAGCGGTGCCACGAGGGGCCGCAACGAGGTTTCGAGCAAGGTTCGACTGCAGCTCCAGGGATATGCTGGGTCGGACCCATTAAGCAGCGGCCTACTGGCAGAGTTCGTCGAAGATGACTCGTAAGAAGTGAGAAAGAGAGCAAGTAAACTGGACACAAATGGTGCTAGCAATGCTAGTGGAAAGGGAGAAGGAAACAGTTGTCGAAATATCAAGAGAACTGGGCAAGACAGAGGGCCATCAAGCGAGGGGTTTACCGTACAGCCGGAGAGCAGGGAAAATGGCTCGACCCGACGGCATGGTCATAATGGGTGGGTTGCGCTGCAGATGGCCTATCAAGCAACAGCGTTTTGTCTCGGTTCACCGTCAAGATGCTAAGCTGCTTTCATTCCTGGGTGGTGGAAGCGTTCCAGAAGAGTCGCCGCGGCTGCTCGCTCTCAGGCATGGCCGTCGTCCAATATTCGCGGATGGGCGGCTCTCCGGAGGTGTTGCCTGTATCAGCCACTCGACCATACTTACCTATAGATAGACAGACCAGCCCGTTGCTCTAATAGGATAGCAAAGCAAAGCCAGTTGAGGTCTCCTGCCCCCTAGTCAGCCCCCTCCCTCGAGGCAATGGCCAGTACACTATCAACGAAACTCAAGGGCGAGGGCCATGGAGGGCCTAGCAGTGCGGCCATGCCAAGCAGCCAAGGCCGGATATTGCCAGGGGGGGTGGACAAGGCCGAGCAAGCCCGGGACTCGCTGCGCGAGCTTGTGGAGGCGGGAGGCGATGCCGCGATCGCATGTCGTTCGCCAAGCGTCGTTGATGCAAGCGGCCAAGCGGCGCTCAGCACCGCCAAGGGGCGACTCGCAGTTCCGACGGGTCTGCAGGGGCAAACTGCGCCGTCGACGCCTTCAATGCAGGCGTCTTCCCTCGTTCGAGCCAGCATCGAGCTGCGAGGCCAGCAGCAGCAGCAGCCAACGTCTAGTCTCTGTGTGGTCTCCGTGCCGCCCGGCGGAGCACTGCCTGTCACGGTTCGCGGTGAGAATTGGCTGTCAAGCATGAATCGACGGGGGTCTGGGGAATTGACTCGAGTAACGTTGATTGATCATCTCGTACGATAGCCGGATCAAGGGTCGTAGCGAGGCCACTGCAACTGTCAGAGTGAGTGATGACGGAGAGGGCCTTGAAAGAGATGGATGATTAGCGAGCTGGGGCCCGCCATGTCAACCGCAACTCTAGTAGGCAATAGGTACCTTAGATACCTCCCTCCCTACATGTACATGCACTGTATCAATAGAGCTGGTGCTGGTGCTGAGCCGGTGCTCTGTAGGGGCCTTTAGCAGCTACAGCGGAGGCGACCTAGCACTCAAGGGCGCCCTGAACGGCATATGATAGCACGAGTGGACGGATGGACGGGAGCCTGTAGCTTCAAGCTCTCAGCACTACCCGGCACTGGACTTGCTCTTCCAACCCGCTCCAGCTGAGGGCCACCGTCACCAGTTCCGGGAAAACGACCAGTGGGCGAGTGGTGTCGTTTAGCCTCGTTCCCCAATTCCAGGCACAAGAATCCAAGGCACCTAAGTCGATATCTCCCTTGTAAGCAGGAAGCATGAACATGCAATGATGTACATAGGCCTCCCTCGCGTGACCCGGTGCAGGTGCAGCAGCAGCTGCAGTTGCAACTAGGTAATACTCGCAGGTACTTCGGTTAAGCAATGCTGGGGCGTGCATGGAGAGGTTCTAAGGTAAGGTAGGTAGATATGCAAGGCACAGGTGTAGGTAATATCTGTTGGATGAGAACCATGTGTGTCGCCAAAATTCATTGCTCAGCTGCCGCGAGAACTGGCATCGTCCAACGACTCCTCAGCTAAGGTGCCATGCGGAATACATACGCTGCTCGGTCAGTCCTGGAGGAATTCCTCCGAGTGCTTGCAAAGTACCTCAATTCGGGAGACTTGAAAATTTCTTCCGCCGTCGTACTCCGAGCAGTGCGAACCTTGAAGGCCTTTTACAAGTACTACTACTACCAGGAAGCCACGAGCCCACCGATCTGTGCCCACTGATCTGCTCATAAATTGCGTCGGGGTTCCGCTGCGATTTCAACTTAGATCGCCCACGTTTTCAGGGCCGTTTCCAGCTCGTTTCCTCTCCTCCAGTTCTCTTACATAATATTACATATTTAGACGCCTACTAGGTAGGTAGTACTAGGAAATGAGGCATCAGAGCGTGCAATCTCAGCTTGTATAACACATTCATGAATTCGCGTCACCCATAGAGGCTACCTGTTCTGGGGTGGCAATCAATTGGATGTTTCATTCTTCTGTATGGAAGGCATTGCCTACAAAGTGCCTGCCGCAATTTTGATGGCAAGAGCTGGCAGTGGCAGTCGGTCCAACTGTTGTCCCTTCCTTCCTCATTGGGCACCTTATCCAGGAACCGGGGAGTACGTACCCACTAGGCCAATCCTTCAGCAACTCCACACTCTACCTCTAGACAGCAATCAGAGAAATTTTCCTCTCGTCCTCATCAAACCTCGAATCGTCGGCGTTTCTCACTCGTCGGACTTTACGCCTTGCAACCTTTGCGGCTGGCCGTCTCCATTCCAATGCTACCGTTGCAGCCACGAAGTCCTCTTCAGTGCCTGCCGTTCTCCTTCTTCAGCTGCCCCTGAGGCGACAGGCAGATCATGAAACGTGTGAGAGTTAGATTATTTCGGTTTTACTTCCCACCAAGTGCTAACTCTACCTTGCCTACACAAGAACATTGTTGTCGCCCTGCTTATGCCGTCACGATAGTTCCATCACCTTCCTCTGTTAGCCGGGGCATGTCGGCACTCGCAGCATGTGCTACTGATGATGAAAGAGGCCCGCGCGTCTCCGGCCCACCAAATCGCCCCGTTGATCTTCCCAGCTAGCAAGATGAGAAAACTCCAGAGCAATTATTACAGAGGGCCAGAGGACAACTTGCAGCGCGCTGGCTGTGGGTTATGGAGCAGCCGGACGAGCGCAACTGGAATATTCTTCACACTCTTCTTCTTCTGATCGGCCGAGGCAACAAGTGTCCCAATCGCGCCATTTCTCGACAGCTTGACACAGAGCTCTGTTGATACCTCACCTGTGCCGTCATGCGTACAGACAATGTCTCGGACAGCGTTGGGTCCGCTGCCATTAATAGACTAGTCTGTCTCAAGCGAACGGTCAACGCCAGGCAAATGTATCGCAAAACTGATGCCCACGGATACAGGCTAGAGTACTAGTATTACTATTGCTTGTACTTGCTGCTCCTGCATCTCCCACGACTTGACCGAGACACACGCGGGCTTTTCCCCCCCATGGTTGATGATACTACTACTACGTCGGGTCATGAGCGCTGTGGTGGCCGGATCCTCTGTCCGGTAATCCATTAGCGGCGGCCCGTCAGTTGACAAGAGGAGACGGCTTTGCTGGTGGATTCTGACTGGCGAAGATCAACACGCCAACCGCGCGCCGGCCGAAGCCACGCCCTCACAGTACGGTCACTGTCCGAGCATGTATACGCACTATACGTCGCAGACGACTAAGGTAGGTCGGATGGCTACCGCCTGTCGGGGCAGGGATGGGGGTGGGACCACGTATCCTCCCTTGCTCGCCATGAGGTGAGATGCTCAATGCCTGCCCTCGAGGAACCCCGGCGTAGGCAGGTCTTATGGGTTCTCTTGAGCGGTGCAAAGGACAGCGCGGTACTTTCAGCCAATCCTTCCACAGACCGCGGCACAGGCTATTACTGCTAATTTAATGCGAGACGACATCGTAGCATTCTCTCCCGAGCTCGACTCCGCCAAAAAGGCAAAGGAATACGTCGTATACGTGGGATTGCTGCAGGCCACACAGAGTAGAGCCGAAGGCTGTCATGCACGATCGGCTCTCACGTCCATAGTGACTCGTGCCCTCTTCAGCAGGGCCCCCAGCTCCTCTCTTCGTCGAAGATGTCCCTCCACTCTTTGCTGCGAGTAGGGATCATCTACTAGCACCTCATGCGAGAGACGACCTGCCCTCGTCTATACGCCGAGCTTGGCCATAAGAGAAGAATACCATGGGGTTGCCGCACGGATCAGGATACTCTGTACAGCCCTCCACCGAAAGGGTAGCATTGACATGCTGAATTTGAGAAGGCAAGCCTTCCGGGTCCCCCAGGGTGCAGCCTCGTGTCCCAGCTTCGATGCTGCCCAAAGGAAAAAGAGAAACCCTATCTCAGACACACCTCGCGTCTACTAGTTCCGGATCCATATATCGTCCGACACTCTCTCGCCCTTCTCGGCCTTTGGCCTTGGATGCTCTCCCACTGGACAAGCCATTTCTCTTATATCCCCCTTTGGGGGCCATCTTTCTTGCGGTCCCGCTTATACTGATCTTCGATTTCGCTTTCATGCTGTGTTCCGCGACTGACTGCAGCGAGTACACATACACCGTCTATTGGCTGACCTGGCGCTGGCTTTTGCTATATTTTCTTGGCCGCCCTCTCCCGCCCTCTTTTCTGCCCGGTACCCCTCGTCGTTGCTGCTGCGTCCTCCGCCGTCCAAGCGCCTCTTGCATGGCCGCTGCCCTTCTCGGCTAAGCAAGAACACAAGCACCGATCACGGCCAACGTGGACAATTTGCCATCTTTTTTTTTTCCATCATGGCTTGGGTTCTGAATGCCGACGAGGCGATAAACCATGAGTCGCAATATCCGACTATCGTCATCATCTGCGCCGTTCTCTCCTTCTTCTCCATCTTGATCGTCGGAACCCGTCTGTATATACGATACCACGCCCGTGGTCTTGCTGGCGATGACTGGATGGCTGCTCTATCCGTCGTGTTCGCGCTCATCTACTCGATCCTCTGCATTGTCCGTAAGTCAGCACCGTAACAACCCGTTGGACGCAGCCTAGGTCATCAATGGGCATTGACATGCTGCGCAGAAACTAGATACGGCCTGGGACTACCCATCAAAGACCGGCCGGCAGCCAGTCTGATTCCGTACACGAGAGTCAACTTTGCGGGACGCCCTATTTACCAACTCGGAATCAGTTTCTTCAAGATTGCTCTCCTCATCAGCTATCTACGGCTTCTCAAAGGCACAGATCAGAATACGTACCGCAAGGTTGTCTTTGCTACCATCCTGGTGGTGTTTCTTGGGCATTTGGGTTGCGCTCTCTCACTCATTTTTGCCTGCCACCCCGTCGACAAGTCTTGGAACCCCTTGAAGGCTGGAACTTGCCTGCCCGCTGGGCCGTCTTTTACTGCCTACGCGGTGGTCACCATCGTTTCCGACATTATTGTCGCCATCATTCCCCTGCCGGTTCTCCTCAAGCTTAATGTTCAGCTGGGTAAGAAGCTCGGCCTCATTGGCATTTTCTTGCTCGGGCTCTTCACGACAATCTGCTCGATCCTACGATACACACAAATCAATCGAATCTCGAACGGCGATGGCAACTCCACGATGCTTGTTCTTTGGGGGACCATTGAGTTCAATGTCGGCGTAAGTACCTTGTCTCCCTTATGGCTTGGCATGCAGATACAGTAGCTAATCCTCTGGTCTAGAACATGGTTTCCTCGCTGCCATTCTTAGCACCCGTCTTCATGAGGAAGGCCAAGGAATACCGCACCAAGAACTCGTACAACAATGGATCATCTCACCAGAACAGTCGAGGAGGTCCCAAGGGCGAGCACATCAAGCTTAGTGATGTGACCAACAGCCGTGATCACGATAAAGACAAGAGTGTCATCTTGTCCACCGGCAAGTCCTCGAGCGAGGAAAATATCCTTCAGGGGGCGGGAATCATGAAGTCCGTCACATACAGCGTGCGAGTGGATGACGACAGCAATCAGCCTAGGCGGCGGAACGACAGTTTCGAAGATAATGTCTAGATGATTGATGCTATGTGGGAGCCTGCATCATAGGCCTGGATTCTCTTCTTCTTCCTTTGTATTTCCTTTGTCCTAATTTTCCTTTGTTTACTTAAGAACTGTGATGCCCTTGAATTCTGTACACAAATTCTCTTCGTTTCTACCGCACGGAATGCTTGCAACGCTTTGGATTGATGCTTTGGAATGACTATTTGCTTTCTTCCAGTTTCTTCTTCTATCTTGCGAGGTGTTTTACCAGGGGCTCAAGGGGGGGACAATCAAAAAGCAAAATATTGGAGCACTAGGACTTAGGACAGCCACGGAGGCAATGAATAGCCGCGGCCTCGGAGGATATTCCCAGATATTGTTTGATGCGACCTCTCACTCAACATTTGAAAGAGTCTTTTCCGTATATCGAGCTCGTGAAACCTACTAAAGCAGCCACTGCGTGCAGCTCCTTCAAATCCTTCTTGATACTTCAACCACCTAGGTATAAAGTAGAGGAAACGACTTAAGAAGACGGCATGAACGACGGTCAATATCCGGAACCTTTCGAGTTTCCGACCATGCCATGCAGAACATGGCGAAAGCGACCTTGCCAGAGGGAGGCGGGCAAGGGGTAGCAACTTCGCCTTGGCACTAATGGTCGGCAGGAAACACACACAAAAAAAAACGGACAAGCCTCATATACGGAGCACAAGGTACGAGTCGGAGGAGCCTCCTTCTCCGTTTCGGATCCCGTCCCCGGAGCAGGTTTCTTGCATAGGGGGATCTGGAATCCTCACAGACGGGCTAGGCAAGCTAAGCTGGGGTCGTGATAGCGCGGGAGGTTCCAAGGGTTGGGATTGGGCTGAATATATTAAACACGTCTATGACCCTGCTCACACTATATTGGGCGAGTGAGCATCAGGCCATGGGACGATGCTCCCACTGGTTCTTTTGTGATTTCTTAATATAATGTTTCCCACCGTCCATGTACATGGTTCATATACAAGTACGAAGTACATGGATTGATCCGCGGTGCCTTTCCATGTCAATGCACCAGCAGGGGTATCAACACTGGGACGAGATTCCGGAAGCAAGGCCTAGTGGCCTTGTGTTGGCCCGCCGATGCCCGGGACAGTCCGTGTCCGTGATACAAAGGGTCGGCGGTTGTATATTGATGATAATCTCATTTTCCATCGCGTCACACGCCAGCTTCTGCAGGCGGGCGGAACCTTGCAAACGTGAATCAGATTCGATTTGGAGAGTGCTTCGCTGTATTCTCCACCTTAGGTAGGCAGAATATAGTACGTGGTTTGTCGCGCTCGCTCTGAGAAGCTGATGTGCTAAGCTACATCCATCAGCTCCGTCGATTCGTCGTCAAACTGAAGCATCATCTCGCGTTTGCTCAGCAGCGGACTGATGCCAGTCGCATTCTCGCCAAACAGCCTGGAAAAGGCGTGTGCATCTAAGCATGCCCTGCGCGAGGCCAGTACCCCCGGACGGGCCCGAGAGACGACGGCGTCTTCATAGCTATCTAGCGCCTGACGCAGAGCTCGCCGGAAATCTAGGCCTTGGTTCTGATCAATAACCTGTTGCGAGTCCGAGTCCGCCCTTGAGCTGAAGCCACGATCGGGTGACAGTAGCGGAACGACGTGCGTCGCAAAGTCGTGAACATCGACAATGGCATGGTTGGCGCCCTCGCCTCGGTCTGAGATAGAGTAAGCAGGCGTCACAATGTGTTACGATTGGCCGAGGTATGGGAAGAACAGCAGTACTCGCAGGAGCTATCAAGCCGAAGGATATCAAGGGCAGGGATGGTTTGACAAGACGGGAGCAGAATCTCTCCGAGCAAAGGAAACAGGGGGGTGACGACTTACACATCGACATTAGATGAAACGCATCGCCCATCAGCACCACTTGTCCCTTGGAGCGCAAGCCTAGAGGCGGCGCCCAGTCAAGCACATCCAGGCGCTTGATCTCCGTATCGGGGTGCACATTGTTCAAGACAAGAGAGCGAAAAGGCTCCGACCATGTCTTTGCAAAGGCGTGCATCAGCTCATACCGTTCCTTGTTGGTGGTGGGCACGTCCACGGACGTTCCGCTGCCCGGGTACGGCCATGAGACGTGCAGCTGGCAGCTGAAAATGCTGGGGTCGCTGTCGACCTGATTTCCAGGAACATCGAGAACTGTAAGTGCAATACAGAGCGATATGTTAGCAGAATGCGTGGGTCTAACGGCATATTCCTGTGGCTTTCTTTCTCTTCCGAGTTCTAGAAGCGCTGCAGATGAGATTATCTCTCCAGGTGCCTCGTCATATCTCGTCACTGATCTTGCGGCTGCCGCCACGGGAGAGGGGTGATCGCCAGATCCGCGACGGCGGCCGCCGCTCCCGCTAGTACTCCGATACGTCGAGGATGGATACGAGCAAGGGCTTGGAATCGTATTGCGAGCTCCACAAGACGAATTGACGATAGCAGATCAAAGCCCTCATAAGCACTCGACATCGCAAGGCATGAACGACAGTATTAGGGCCTGTAAGGATAACGCCGAGAGCTGGAAGAGGCCTTTGCCGTGGTGGAAGAAGCACAAACAAATTGGGGGCTGAGGGTGTAGAAATTGCACAAGGGGTTTCGGCGTCACTCACCGCTGAAGTACGTGAAGGAACTGTTGCTCGGCGAGGCGCCCTGAAGGAAGTATAGATCTAGCTTTCGCATTGGCTCGATCTGGTCCGCCGTCAACAAGATCTTAACGCCCATGGTTCGCACGGGCAACTGGACCATCAGCTTGGACTCGTCCGGGAACAAGACGCGGCGCACTCGCGACTGGCCGCCATCGCACGCCACAAGCAGCGTGCCATCGCACGAGGAGCCGTCTTCAAAGCGAGCACTGACGATGCCGTTGTCGCTGGTATGAATCTCGCTGAGTGTTTTCCCCCACTTGAAAAGAGGCGATGTTAGCGAAGATGTACCAGGAAGGTTGTCACGATCAGGTACGATACGAGAAGAGTGTGCGGTTGTTGAGTGAAGCAGCAACAATCATTGGGGGCGAGCAAAGATGGAAGACAAAGATATCGTAGTAGTGAGAACGGAAGGAGAATTGCAGTAGGAAAACCATGTCGTGGATGCTTGTACTGCAGCTGTCTGCAAGTACCTCCAGAGGTAAGGTAGGTACGGAAAGCAGCAAGACTTGGAAGGTGCAAGAGACATCGTCCATGACATCAGATTCGCCATCTTCATCGACCGCAGCCATGGAAAGCACAGCAACTGCAGCTTCTCTCACCTCGATATCGATGCCTTCTGCCAGCAATCTGCGCAGCCTCTGGCGAGTCACTCGGATTCTCGCACTCTTCACGGCTCCTGGCGTCTGCGCCTTGAGCTCTCCGCTGTCGAGGTCGAAGAAGGGAAATCTCGATGCTTCACCCCGTCGATCTGCCCATCGATCCACGCTGGACTCATCGCAGATGCGCTGCGCCAGCTCGGACGGCAGCAGGCTCTGAAGCGCTGGCAGCGACCAGTGCAGCGTCAGGCCCCAGCCCGCGCCGCGAGTCTGCAAATCAGCGTCTCGCTCGAATATGCGGTACGAGATGCCCTCGCGCTTGAGCTGCTGGGCGAGCAGCAGTCCGCTGATGCCGGCCCCGATAATGAGCACCAGCGGCTGGGCGTTTGCTGGGGTCATGGTGGTCCCAGGGCCACAGCTGTCAGTGCTGATGGTCATCGATGGTCGGTCTCTACTCCCGTATCTTTCGTTGCCTGGTCGCCTGGATTCCCCGCGGTGCAAGGATAGCAAGCGTCACAGGCTTGTACAATCCTTGTTCGGCCAAAGACAGCTGACGCTCGTCTGCTTGTAAGTGGCAGCGTTTAGCAAGCCACACAATTCTCTGGAAATGTAGGTTGGGAAGAAAAACGCAAAACACCGGTGGTGGAGAGTTTCCAATGCAAATTGTTAAGAGACAAAGTTAGACTACCTGGGTACGAGTACAGCTCTTGAGTCGCTCCGAGTCCCCGCTGTTCTACGACCAACGTCTTTCGCACTCTTCAACACAGCATACAGGCATCGTAACTGCTTCACGTCAGATCAATAGTCTGGCTGCTTCGGAAATTGCAATTCCGGTGACTGCAACAATAGCGAGCAACAAGATAGACAGAAGGAGAGAAGCTGCGTCATTACAGGCAGCGAAAGGCAAACTTGCCTATGTGATAGCTCTAGCATGCGGATTGCCCGAGACATTCCCCAGCTTTTTTTCCCTCTTCTCCCTCGTCTTTGCCCTCTTTCAGCCATGCTGCATATACCGCAGCGGTCCTTTCAGCTACTACTAGACCTCTTCTAGTGAAGCTTCGAGCAACCAAGGTTGCATCCGTCAGCACTCAATGGCTCTATGAAGCCCCGTGCAGCAGGAGAACAGGAACAAGGGGGATACTAGTCTGCCTTTCAGCCTCGGGTAAAGAAGCCTGCATGCAGCGCATTTTATGCCAAGAGCAGAATGGTCTGTGATGATATCAAATACGGGAGCCACACACGCTGTCGATTCAATGCGAGACTGCGAACACCTTATATTCACCTGAGCATCGGAGATGGAATTCAGGTTTGATGCTCCTTTACCGTACTGTTGTACTCGGAATGCTAAGACTACTGGGTAAGTACCTGGATATGAAAGAAATTCCTGCCCACCAGATCTTCCGTGCTGCCTCTTGTGACATCAGTTCCGCCAGCAGGATCAAGCCATGGGCAGTAGCTCGCTTGCTCTCCGCTGCACAGATCGTTCGATTTCAATCAATTCGGAACAGGAAATGATTGCCCTCGACATGCAGAAGAGACCCCGTCAATTAATATCGGTCGGCCGGTTACCGAGCGCAGGGCCGTCAACTCCGGATACTGGTCCATGGGCTGCCTGGGACTTGGAGAGACACTATGCTGAGGGATCCAATGCCCGTTTCTTCTCGCTTACAGGCGTCTCAGGGCTTCTTCAAGGGTACTTTCATGGGACACATGTGGCTGGCTGGCTGGCCGGCCAAGCAGGGTTCCCTCTGGTCGCGAACGCGGATTGATGTCCCGGGAACGACTCCAGTTTGGATGACCATCAAGCACCACCGGCCAAGTGGGACGCCGGCTTGTAAGGAGTCCCTTGCCGGGACCCATCTGACGGCCTCGAACGGTTGGTATGGCCCAGCACATCTCAAGGTACTTGTGCCGTCTTCGACACGCACTGTGGCCCACCGTTCCAGTGTGAGCAAGCTGGCCGCTGGAGACAGAGACAGCAACAGGGGTCAAAATATTGTTGACGGCGTCCGCTAGCAGCAACCTGTGTGGGCTCTTGGCCCCCAAACACTCAAAACTTCTCGCTTTTGGCATGCTTGACTGGCACAAGAAAGAGCAGTACCAGCAACCTCAATCAAAATTGTCTTAATAGCTTTGTCTGCAGAACCCCATATGGATTATCGTATGCAGCTTCAGCGGATTTGTTGTCTGCCCGATCAACGAGTCCGGGTAGCCTGCAACACGACTTCTGTGCAGGTGGCTGAACACCCTCTTGACCCATCACGAGTAGGTAGTCTGTTCTCGCTTGTATTGGTACTCGCTGATCGGACCAAGAACAGTCTGGGCCAAACCACTCCGTTGGAAGAGATGGAATAGTAGCCTGACCATACCTGAGGCGGATCAATCAAGTCAAAGAGATTAACAGATACAAGTCTTCCTTTCTTCATCTGGGAAACCTGTCGTTGGTACCTGCTATACAACGGGTCTGGCGAGCGTTCCTTGCTCTGCCTCCAGCAGCTTCCTCTGCACGATTCGTCTCTCAGCGGGTTGCCCATGAGATCCCGTTATGTCTGTTTACACCGTATCAGAGAGCTAACCATCCTTCCGCCCTGAGCCTCCCGTTAGCTCAATCTCCCACCAGCAGGGAACTTGTGTCAACACGACATACCTGGCGAGCATAGCCTTTCCGACGGCCTCCGCGGTGTCCACACTTCATCTGAGTCTAGTTGAGCACTTTATTCAGGTATCACTCGAGGCCGAAATGATGGCAATCATGCCATGATACCGCCCCTTGTGCTCGAGCCTTACGTTCGGTTTCAGAAACGAGATATGGACGAGGCAATGCTTTTAGTTCGTCTGGCGGCGTGTCAGCCAGGCCTGTCCGGCCATGCACTCTTGTGTGCTACCTGTCGAGAACGCAGCTTATCATTATCATTCAGTGGACATACCTGTCCACGACTACCCTGAGCCATAGGTGCTGGTTACCGCTCACTCAATTCACACATGTGCATGGAACCGTCATATTTGGGATACACAACTGTGCTGGAAATTCATTCATTTTTTGCCATGCCCTGAACCCTTGAACACCGATGATAATCCCTTGAATCCCAAAGCAACCCGGGTATTTAGAAAGCTTAAATCTTGGTAGCAGCCTCAAGAGCCTTCTGCTTCTTGATAATGCGCATCTGGGCCTTGGCGCCCATGATGCCACCACCCCACTGTCGGCGGACCTGGTCGTGCTTCTCCAGGTAGCCATCCTTGATGGCAGAGACGAGCTTGGACAGCTCAGTCTTGTCCTCGGAACGGACCTCAGTCAGGGCCAGGACAGCGGCAGTCTGCATTCCAGTTAGCTTTCTATATGCACCTCAACCAGACACTCTCTGGAGACGCCAAGACTGACCTTCTTGTGGACGACAGTGCCGAGACGGGCCTTGCCCTTGATGATGGCGTAGGGGATGCCCATCTTCTTGCAGAGAGAAGGAAGGAAGACAACCAGCTCAATGGGGTCAACATCGTTGGGGATGAGGACCAGGGAAGCCTTCTTGTTCTCAATCAGGCCGACGACGTGGTTGAGACCGTACTTGACGGTGTAGGGCTTCTTGCTGACGTCCTCCTTCTTCTTGCCCTCCTTGACGGCGGTAGCCTCCTTCAGGAGACGCTCCTTCTTCTCGACCTTGGTCTCAGGGCGGTACTTGTTGAGGAGCTTGAAAGCCTGGGCGGCGGTGTTGCGGTCAAGGACGTGCTGGAACTGGGCCAGAGAGGGAGGGACCTTGAGGCGCATGCGGAGGATCTTGCGCTGGCGCTGGAGGCGGACATACTCGGGCCACTTCACCATGCGAGACAGGTTTCGCTTGGGCTGGATGTCCTGGCCGATGCCATAGTTGCGAGGGCGCTTCTCGATGAGGGGGTTCTGCAGCGGTTGGTTAGACATCGATAAAACTTCTTCACACACGAGGCGGAATCATCATCTCAGGATTTTTTTTCTTTACTAACCTTGGGTCCCTTCTTGCCAGCCTTGCTCTGAGGGAACGGAGCAGGGGCGACCTTCTTGCCAGATTTGGGAGGCTGTCATTGAGAAAAGAAGACATCAGCGAGGGGCTCAAGCCAAAAAGTCTTCTCTGAACTCTAACGAGAACGCATTGCGGCATGTTCCAGCACGACAATGAACGTCTCCAGCCAAGTCTTCACCGTCCGATTCCACACACGCAGAAGGTGTGCGAAACCGTCGGGCGGAAAGTTCCAACAGTTGCTTTGCATTGAAGAGGAAGCAAAAGAATTTCTTCTTCTTCAAGCAGGCGCCTGCGGTTTTATCAATTGCGCTTTCGCGCATTTGACTCACAAACTGTGGCCATTTCGAGTCCCTAATGTTGTCAGACTGTGTTTCAACTTACCATCTTGTTCGTTGGGCGGATGGCGATTGTTCGTTGAACGAAATTTCCTTGAGATGCCGGAGAGGGATGGGTTGCAAAAGAAAAAGGCGAGAAAAGTTCGTCTGCATGTGGTGGGCGGAAAATTAGGGCTTTGGCGTCCCGCGAGTGTGGGGGCGCTAAGAGCTGCTTTCCTAGCTAGAGGCTGAGGGAGCTGTGGCTGCTGAGGCGTAGCAGCACGTGACGTTATCAAATCTTCGAAAACGGATTATCGATAAGAGATAAAGAAGTACTTTGTACCCCGGAGTCATTTTCAATGGGTGGCGTTGAGATTGTCTGTCAAGAAGTTCTCCATTGATGTTGTTGTGATATTGCGAAAGTCCTCCCTCTTTTTAAGGTCTCATTTCCGTTCTTGAACCTAGGGACATAGTGTTTACAAAGCAGACCTAATCAACTTGCATACGACATTGTTGCAAGCGCTATAACCGTCGGCGACCAGCGGCCTCATTTGTTCGCAACTCATCTCTCAAACAGAGTTCCTACAAGATGCCGCCTATCACATGCGTGCGGTGTCAGACAAACAAGGCAGTTGTCAAGCGGCCAAAGAATCACCATAAGCTATGCCGCGAATGCTTCATAAACGTCTTTGAGGACGAGGTGCACCATACCATCGTCTCGTCCAAGCTATTCTATCCCGGAGAAAAGGTCGCTATCGGAGCATCAGGAGGCAAGGACTCGACAGTTCTGGCGTCTGTTCTCAAGACGCTCAACGAGCGCCACAAATATGAGCTCGATCTCGTACTTCTCAGCATAGACGAAGGCATCAAAGGCTATAGAGATGATTCTCTGGAAACAGTGAAGCGAAATGCAGTTCAGTACGACATGCCTCTGAAGATTGTGGGATACGATGAACTCTATGGCTGGACCATGGATCAGGTCGTGGAGACGATTGGGAAAAAGGGCAACTGCACATACTGCGGTGTCTTTCGTCGACAGGCGCTGGATCGGGGCGCAAAGACGCTGGGGATCAAGCACGTCGTTACAGGCCACAATGCGGACGACGTTGCAGAGACGGTCCTCATGAATCTCCTTAGGGGAGACTTGCCTCGACTATCACGAAGCACCAGCATTGTCACCGGAGGCTCGCTGAACGACGTCAAGAGGAGCAAGCCACTAAAGTACGCCTACGAGAAGGAGATTGTGCTCTATGCGCACCACAAGAAGTTGGATTATTTCAGCACCGAATGCATATACAGCCCCGAGGCATTCCGGGGCACCGCGCGAAGCCTCATTAAGAATCTGGAAAAGGTTCGGCCAAGTGCAATATTGGATATCGTCCGGAGCGGCGAAGACATGGCTCGTCTTACGCCGGACAAGGGACAGGGGGCGTGCGCCTGTGACGAGAGCGAGGGGATGGGTGGTTGCGGATCAGCCAACGCTCGAACATCCGGGAACGAGCTGGCGCAGATGGAGTCGGATATCAAGAAGCAGCACTCGCACGATGGTCTTGAGACTGAGATCACTTCGGATGGCACACCCAAGGCCAGTGGCGATGATGTGGTAAAGCTCCCTGTAAGGCAGCGCCGCTCCAAAGACCCAGGCCCTGTCCAGTTGCAGACGCTTGGGAAGTGCGTCAAGTGCGGCTACATGTCCAGCCAGTCCATGTGCCAGGCGTGTACCTTGCTGGAAAGCCTCAACAAGAATCGGCCAGAGATATCAATAGAGGGCTAGCTGTTGATTAATATTGTCGCCACAACACAAGTCGTCATTCACAATTCTCAACAGTGTTAACCATCCTTCCAGCAAAGCTGAACCCGTGTTTTGAAGCTGTGGCCCACCATTCCGTGAAGCCAAATCGTAGATTTGTAGTATGGTATATACACTTTCGTTCTTTCGGATTTCTATGCCTCCCTTTCTGATGTGTCTCGATTGCATGATGTGGCTCCTTAGTTGAATCTTTTTTCCAGCTGTAGGCAGTATCAGCAATTGTCTGTTGAATGGCCATGCGCCAATTGACGTTACCTTCCATCCGTTGCTGAATTCGAATCCCAACGGAGCCTGTGGATTGTCCGTCTGCCCTCTCAGGGTTCCTGTAAGCCGTCGGTCTCGCTCCATCACTTTGAGCGCTCGTCAGTATCTTGGTTCGGTGGCAATATATGCTGAAGAAACGGTTTGTATCCGGGTGATCTGAACGAGAGGTCCTTACTTTGCTGTACTCGCGTCGTTAGCTATCGCACCAAAAGCACCGCAATGTCCCGCCTGGAGCTGACTGACCTTGTCCCACTGATCCAATGAGTAGCGCGGTCGCTTGCCCTCGTTCTGCCATGTCTTGAAGGCCGCAAGTCCGGTACCCGTGGCGCCGAACATCTAACAACAAGCTGTGAGCCGTCCCGGATCTCCCTGTGGTGAATTCTCGCTCGGACCGGTACATACGACAATCATGATGCCATACGGCAGCAGGGTTTCGAAGGGGACGGGCATCGTTGTGAAGGGCCGCCTCGAAGGTCTTTTGCCTAGGTGCCGATTGAGTCGAAAATTACAACAAAAGCGCTGGAGTCCAGCTGGAGGGTTGGCCGCGATGTCGTTCTCAATACTGAGGCTGCACGTCAGTGAGCAGGAGCACCAATTGGAGCCGTCGGATTTGATGCCTGAGGCCTCAGCGGGACATCCCTGCGCCAACGGCATAGTTTAGCGCGAGATCTATACGCACTGTGCCACGGCAAATTCTTGGCCGCAACACGCGATTGACGGCGGCGCACGCACTGTGACTCCTGCTTCCGCGACTTCGGCACCAGCTTGGGAGAACGCGACTGTGGTGGCTGTTGTCGCAACATTTCTGGCAGCAAAGTCAACAGAAATCGCTGTGGCAACATGCAACTTTCTAGGTGAGAAACGAGTGCACCTCGCTGGGGCGTGTTGATGTGCCCAGAGCCTGCTGAAGCCACTTCCATGACCTGCCTGAAGCTGACCTGAGAGCAGCATCATCTAGCGAGCTTGCTGCTTCACGAAGCCTACAACGATCACTGAGGGGCGCCATACATGCCGTCCGACTCCAGTCTCTGAGTGTACCCGGTCACAAACGCTCGGCCCCGATCGATATGCCCTCGTCCGGCCCATTTACTGTACCAGACAGTCCTACTACGCAGCGATAACCATGGCAAGCGCGCAGTCGATGGAGGAAGAGCTGCAGCAGAGCGTCATGCTCTCTGATGAGGATGCTGGTTTTGAGACCGCAGATTCGGCCGGTGAGGACGCGCATACCCTCGGGGCTGTGAGGATGGGGACTACGAGCACGGACATTGCTGAGAATGACACAGGTGGTAACGACGGCATGGAGGTGGACGAAGATGACGACGAGCTGAGCGATCGCGACGCTTCTGGAGAGGAAATCGACGAGGAGATGGATCAAGATGCAGAGGGAGAGGAATATACCGAGCTTGTGGACCAACAAATTGTCGTCAGCAACGGCCATCATCTGCAAAGGAACGACGAAGATGAAGAAGACGAAGACGACAACGATGAGGCCGACGAAGATGGAGACGAAGGGGTCGGCGCTGTCAAGATCAAGCCGGGAGATACGGATGAGGAAGATGACGACGACGAGGACGACGATGCGGATGACGATGCGGAGAGTGACGTATCAGATCTGCTGAGCGTGGCCGAAGACGACTCTGACGAAGAGCCCGCCTGGGAAGAGGCAAGAGGCGTAGAAGAGGATGATGATGATGAATCGGAGACAGCTCCCTCGAATGTTTGCATGTTTTGTCGACAGGACGAGGAAAACGATCCAAGCGAAGATTTCGAGGCATTCCTCACGTGCATCAGATGTAATGAAAATGGTGGGTGCTCGAAGCGTCTGGAAAGAATGTCAGGACAGACTTGGCTGACAGATATCCCAGCTCACCAGCAATGCGCACGAGATGCAGCGGCCATGAGCGAACAGAACAGTAAGTCCCCCATCAAATAACCCCACGGCGAGAAAAGTTCGCTAACCTGAGTCAAGATGCAAAACGCTGGAAATGCCCAGAGTGTGATAACGGCGACTCTGACCATGAGGAACCAGAGGACGAACGCGAGAGAGGGGCCAGCATTGATGGTGAAGCAAGGAATGAGTCGCGGCTCTCTGACGCCCCTGTCGACGCATCCCCCGGACGGGGGATACAGGATGGTGTAGAGTCAACAGGTGACCAGACAACCCACGCAGAGGCTTTGGGTGAGCCTCGCATGTTGCGGAAGAGGAAGACTTCGTCTGCAGAGCCAGAAGAGGCTACTGTTACCCTGCGAAGACGACGGCGCGGCCTCTCGACAGATGCCACGTCGGCCAACGAAGATACTGACAGCAGGTCGGCAGAGCAGGCGAGGGGGAGCTCTCGCGCGGTTCGGCTGAAGATCTCTCGCCCGTCCCTCGTCACCGTCGACAAGAAGCTGCCAGCGTCTCTGGTTGTGACGATGCGTGTTCGACCGGGAAATCTTAAGGAGATACTTTCCCGCAGGCGGAGAGAAAGGAGGCGTTCTGGAACCAGCGGACGACGGCCGCGGACACCAGTTGCCTCATCAGCCGGCCGGCGCAACTCTACGGCTGTTGCAACAACGCCGAGCGTACTTCAGACGCCCTTCACCACCGACTTCTACTCGACACCATTCTACTCTCTTTTTGACAAGGAAACCGAAGATATGAAGGGAAAGCCCTATGGAGGCATCTTGACGGAAGCAGAAGCAGACACGTCAAAGACGCTGCCGCAGCCCGAGGATCGGAAACGGTTCGACCAGGCCAAGCAACGCGCAGAAGACGAGTGGAGGGCTCGTGTTCTGCAGATGCAGGCCGAGGTTGACGTGCCCGTTCGCAAGTCCAAGAAGTCGAGCGACAACGCGAGCCAGATCGAGTGTATCGAGTTTGGCGGCTGGGAGATTGATACCTGGTATGCAGCGCCATATCCAGCCGAGTACAGCAGGAATCGCGTGCTGTACATTTGCGAGTTCTGTCTCAAATACATGAACTCGGACTATGTGGCGTGGCGGCATAAGCTCAAATGCGCTGCGAAACACCCCCCGGGCGATGAAATCTATCGACACGGGTCAGTGTCGGTATTCGAGGTTGACGGCCGGAAGAACCCGGTCTACTGTCAGAACCTGTGTCTGCTGGCAAAGCTATTTCTGGGGTCCAAGACGCTGTACTACGACGTGGAGCCGTTCTTGTTCTACGTCTTGTGCGAGTACGACGACTGCGGTTATCATTTCGTCGGCTACTTTTCCAAGGAGAAGCGCGCAAGCAGTCAGAATAACGTGTCGTGCATCTTAACCCTGCCAATCCACCAGAGGAAGGGATACGGCAACCTACTTATCGATTTCTCCTACCTCCTCACGAAAGTAGAGGAGAAGACGGGGTCACCCGAGAAGCCACTCTCGGACATGGGGCTTGTTTCCTATAGAAATTACTGGCGCCTGCGGCTTTGCCGATACTTTATCGAGACGATGAAGGATGACCAGCACAAGCAAACGGGCCTCAGCATCCGGCAGATATCAGATGATACGGGCATGACGCCCGACGACGTGATTGCTGCTCTGGAAGGTCTTCGAGCGCTGGTGCGAGATCCGCAGACAAAGGTATACGCCTTCCGGATCGATCTAGAGTACTGCCGACAGTATGTGGCCAAGTGGGAGTCAAAGGGCTATGTGCAGCTGAAGCCCGAGGCTCTCGCATGGACGCCATACGTGATGGGCCGAAGCAACGCCGTCAACTTTGAGCTGGGGCCACCCATTAACACGATTGCCCCTCGAGAAGACGACGAGGCCAAGCTCGAGGAGGGTGTGAATGGCATATCAGGAGGAGGCCACTCAATGATTATGAATGGCGACATGAACGAAGACTCACAGCCGAGAGTCGGTTCTGCGTCGGAGATGGGCGACTCAGCCAACAGCCACCCCGGGTTCACGCCACTCATGTCGATTGAGAACAAGACGGGTGCCGAAGACAAGGAGAACGCGGAGCCGCGAGACGAAGCCATGGATGATGTGCATTCGCAGCCGGACTGGATGTTACCATACCGCGATATACCACCGAGCCGCTTCGAGGTCTTCCCGCCTGTAGCTGGTGGCCGCCGCGCTGACCGCTCGCGCCAAAGCGTAAGCAGACCATTGGCGCCTCGCACTGGAGCAACCAGCTCTCGACCACGGCCAAAGAGGGCGGGCGGCAGTAGCCGGCGACCAACCACCAGCCGCCCCAGAAGCTCCGGGACCAGGAGAAAGACGGGCGGCACTGGTCGCGGCCCCGGCAGGTGGCCCAAGGGGACGAAGAAGTCGGACTACGGCAACGCGGATAGCGGGCCGGGGTTGCCCCCTGGCTGGAGAGACAAGATCACCCACGCGCCGGAAAAGGGCACGGACGGTGACCGCAGCGTCACGGCGTCGATGGGCGAGGAAGAGCCGGCCAAGGACGAAGTTCGGGTCATGACGCCTCAGCCGTCGAGCAATGGGTTTGCGCACGGCGTGCAGCTGGGCGGTCAGGCGATTGAGCGGTCCGGTAGCCGCGGTGTGAACGGCAGAGGCGCAGATGGCGAGGTGGGGGAAGAAGAGGATGAACTGGACGTTGATGCCGAAGGTGAAGACGAGTAATAAGGGAGGGGCTGTGGGGGTTTTTTTTTTTCACAGAGCACAACGATTTGCTGGCTGGGCTGCCCTTTTACACGTTGCTTTCTACTGGCTACCTTTTTATTTGCCCCGGCTTGTGTTGAGGTCTGGGGAAGAGGGCTCTATGTGCAGGAGGGCGTTGGAAGGACTCGGAGACTGGATCTTTGCCCGTGTTTCTATTTAATTCGCTGCTTTTTCACTGGTATTCGATTGGGAAAAGGCCGGCGCCTAGGGACAATCAGGTTGGGGGTCTTATGGTATACCTCTCTCTATCTTGTAGCTTGATACTTTTGCGTTTCCGTGACTAGGAGGACAAGAAGTGTAGCTTGAGAAACGCGTAAGGGGGGAAAGGGGATAAATCTGTTCCTTTTCCGATACGGACGCGGTTGGTTCTATATAATACATCACGACAGTTGACCCTCACCCCTTTGACTTTCATCATGATTGTCACCTTCGCCGTCGCCATCGCCCTCATCATATTCACCACCACCTTCCCTCCTCCTCTCCTCCCAAAACCCCTTTCCGTAGCTTACAAGAATCTCCTCCCCCTTTCTTATCCCCCCTTCACCCCCCTTTTTCTTCTTCCCCTTCTTCCCTCCACCAGCACCAGAACACCCCCCAACCGCCCAAACACCCACACAAACCTCTCCCCACCTCTCACAAAACGCATTCCCAAACCTCGCATTCGGCCTCCCCTTGCCCCTTCCCCCACCACCACCACCACCGCCGCCGCCAGCAAAAGAAGAAGAAGAAGAAGTAGGAGAAAAAGAAACAACGGGAACGCCGCGATAATCATTCACAAACCGCCCCTCGTTGCCCCCCAGCGCCGCATCCACCGCGACATCCATCTCCCTCTCCAGCCAAATATCATAGTCGCTCTCCTCGCTCGTCGTCCCCTTACCGTGCAGCCTGCCTAGGTACGCCACGATGAGCTCGCCAGGGAGGATGTTTGCTGCCGCAAAGAGGCCGAATTGGCCGTGGGCCGGGTGCAGCGGGTTCGTGATGGGGAGGATCTTGACGCGCGGGCAGGGGGTTTCGGTTGCGGGGGATGAGGCTGGGATGAGGGGGAGGAGGGTGTCTTCGTGGAGGTGGTACTGAGGTTGAGGTTGATGCTTGCTGTTGCTGTTGCTGGTGGTGGTGGAAGTGGTGGTTTTGGTGGTGATGATGTTGGGTTTTGTGCGGAGGAATTGCAGTTGGGTGGGTGTTAGGTCTTTGCCGTGCTGGGGGGCTTTGAAGTAGGGCAGCGAAGGGGGCCAGTTTTTGGGTTTGGACATGGTTGGATATGGTGCTTGGGTATGTGTATATTGCGTAAATAAGAGTGTGTTTGAATGGTTTTGATGTTGTTCGGTTGCAGCAAGATATTCTTCAGCGTCTAGGTAGGCGTTGAAGGGAAAGGAATCCACCGAAGATTTGGCGTTAAGCCAGTAATACCGGCCGTTTGGTTCAACACCAACAAAATCATCACCTTCACCTGCATCTGCATTGCGTACGACGACAGATTGTGCCAATTTGGATGAAAAACAGCAATTATACTACAGTACTAGTTAAGCCTCTGCCAGGCTTTTCCTCTCCCTACCTTTCCACGCCACGGTTCGACCTCAACCCTCCGCCACCGGTCTGCATATCCTCCCTCCTTCGTCTCTTTGTATAGCAACAAAAGGAAAGAGATAAGAGAGGAAGAAGAAAAAAAGAAACAGAAACAACATTAAAGATCAAATCACTCCATCGCAGCAGGTATTTCCAGGTCCTACTCGTCTCATCTCGTCCCGTCTGGTTTCCTGCTCGTTCTTCATTCGCAATCCCACTGCCTAATGCGACATGACCTCTCTGTAGCGGTCAAGGCTCAGGTCAACCGAGTATGCGAGCAGCCGATCTTGGGTAAGAGGAAGGCTCAAGATTCTGGAGCGAAGTTCCATATCCTGCGATAGTGTTAGTGGCAGATGACAGGAAGACGGGTGTACATCAAGCCAGTTTCCACATACCTGTTTCTGCCGTGTCAACTTGACAATCTCACGGGCAGTCTCGTCCGCCATGTCGGAAATGGCAGCATATCGAGTAATGTTGCTCTCCACTCCCGCATCCTTCATCGCGTTCAAGCCAGCGAGGAGCCTGTCCAGCAGGGCAGGAGTTGCGCTTTCTCCTCTGCTGCGGGACTCCATCAGCTGGAGGAAGTGGCTGTAAATCTCACCACCCTGAGTCCATTCTGCAATGTCTTGTTGACGGTCCTGGAACTGCGAGATGAGAGAGGACAGGCCGGCGTAGTCACGCTCAACGATGGCCTGAGGAGCCACGTGCTGGACCAAGATGCGGTGGGCCTCGACGTGCGATCCCGCTCGCAAGAGGCACTGCACTTCGGCCACGGCATCTTTCTTGACACACCGCATGTAAAGCGCGAGCGCTTCCCAGACCCACGCTGCCGGGACGCGATACTTGTCCGTGAGCGTGACAAAGTTGGCATCGGATTCGAATCCGATCAGGTCGGCGTGCTGGCAGAGATGCTCCTGGAGAGCCTTCTTGCGTGCCGCCGTGTGGTGCAGGTGCAGCAGCACAAAGGCGGCCTCAAGCCACTCTCCTGCTCGGGTAAGCTGGGCGGCATATGCAAGGGTAGCTGCATCGGCCTTTTCGATTCCGTCTGCGCCGTACGAGACCTTGCCCGTCGAGGTCAGGGCAAGGCCCAGCTGCCATCGAAGTCTCGCCTCAAGAGGAGACAGCTGCGAGTTCTCGGGGCGGAGAACAGCCTCCAGATCGGCGTCGGCGTCGGCATACAGCTGCAACAGACCCCATAGGAGGTCCTGGCGGGAGTCGATGTTGGCGTCGTCCCAGAGAGGGGCGATGCCCTGCTCAACGTACCAAGGGCGAGGTAAGTCTTCCTTATCCTGGGCGATGTCGTCCTTGAAGCTGTCGACAGCGACGGACAAGTCATCGTGACTCGAGATGGCATACCACAATCGCAAGCCAAACGATTGTTTCCAGTCCAGACCAAACTTCTTCGAGATGACAAACGAATCGACCCGATCCTCGTTGGGCACGCCCTTCAGACCTTCGCACACACACACATTTCCACCCAACAATTCGTAAATGGTACGAATAGCCTCGGAGAACTCGGACAGCATCTTGGAGTCCAGCCACGACTTGATCTGCTCTCTCATTTCCCTCTTCGCGACTTCGCTAGTGCCGATCATGGGGAGCAGAGTGGCAAGGCGGAAGTTTTTGCCATCCAGGAGATGCTTACAGGCCTCGGGAATCCGGTGACCAGCGAGGCATGCGAGCGCCTTCTCTTCGCTGGTGGCCGCCAATCCGACGGCCGTGGATGAAGCCTGTTCCACCAAGTCGGACCAGAACTGAGACAGCTTGTTCCGGCGCACCAAATACTCCTCGTCAGTCGAGCCAAGGTTGTCCAGGTCGTCGAACAAGATGCTGGCAAGCTCCCAGACCTGCTTCTCGTGGATGCTGGCCGCGTCGTTCGTACTCTTGTGATGGTACAGGCTCTTGAGGCTTGTGACATGCAGGGTGGCCTGGGGCACTCCTTCAACAAGGCGAATCTCGGTTACGACATCCTGGGATTGCAGATACTTCTTGGATGGCTGGAATGAAGACGTTAGTTGTTGTCACTGCGCTCATCAGGACCAGAAAGACGACGAACCTCAGCAGCGAACGTAGCAAGACGAATCTCCTGTTCATCGGTTTGTATACTGGATCGCTGAAACGTAAGGATATCCGTCATGTCGCGTATAGACCGACGCGAATGTGAGCCGTCAAGCGATCGAACCAAGACAAGGGTCTCGTCCGGCCCCCAAGTTGGCCTTGACGGAGCCGCTAGCTCGTTATCTTCGGGGGTGACGACCTTAGCCTGACGTTCGTAGGGGGACTATATTTGACACAAGTTTTTTTTTTAGCATTTTATTCGATTATAGTTTAAATACACACAGGGCCCGTATGAAATAAGCAGAGGAAAGGAAGGAAAACAAGTGGCGAAAACAGTGATCAAAGTTCAAAGGGATAAGTGTCAATATTACGAAACAGTGAGGGTACCGACCTTGGGAAGACCTTTGGCAGATGGAGAAGCGTTCAACTCCCGGCGCGCCGGCTTCGGCTTCGGCTTCTCAAACAAGGAGTTCATCAGGTCGATACTCGTGGCAAATCCATGGCCTTGATCCATACCAATCTGGGCACTCATCGCAGCTCCATCTTTCCTGTCAGACCGGGTCAAGCTTTTGCCCCAGATGGACGACTTCCGAAAGTCCGCCTCATCGCCGAGATCAAACGAAACCGTCTTTCCCCCCTGCTTATAGGGAGACTCAGCCAGCTCTCTCAGCAGGTAGCGGTCCCGCTTCATGGGGCTGACCGTCTTCCTCAACATCTCCATCCAATCGTCACCGTCTGCGACTTCCAGTTTGACGGGGCCAGCCGAGTCCTTGATGGCTCTCATTCTGGCTCTGAGGATGCCACCAGGAGTTGCGGTCAACCGCTTGGTATCCTGGCCACCCTCGGACGAGGCATCGTCATGCTCCGCGGCGAGATGCTGTCCGATGGAAGACCTCGTCATGTCTTCATCCTCGGACATATCATACTCTGCGATGTCGTCGCCGGTCATCTCGTTTTCCAGCGACAGCTTGACATCATGTGTGGCAGAGTCCGCGGAGCTAACCCCTAAAAAAGACTGCTGTCCAGTCTGCTCAGTCGTAAACATTCCTTCCTCCTCGTCGAACGCCCCCGGCAGCATGTGCGATTGAGAGAACACCATCACATCGTCACCTTGCGACGACGCTGGTGCGTGGAATGCTGCCGACGGTGCGATGTTCGACAATGGGGCGGCAGCAGGAAGGTCGAGAGTCGTGTCAAACTCGGTCTCGTCGTCAGAGTCGTCCAGTCCGTAGGTCGTGAAGTGCTCGACTGAGAAGGTCCAGACGCCAGTCTCGGGATCGTAGCTTTCGAAAGTGGTATCGACAATGCGCTTGAGCCGCTCAATGTGCTTGTTGAAGCGCTTCGGGTCGTTGGCGATCCTCTTGTCTCGGCCACCACGAGGCCAGGACTGCTCCAGTGAGATTCTAGCAGGCACATTGAGACCCTTGCCGACAGGCGGCTTCTTCGCCGCAATGGGATAGACCGTCGCGGACCGAGGCTCCAGCTGGATGATACCGCCGCAGAGCTCATCCAGATCAATGCCACTGAGGTCGACCGGGACCTTGAAGGTAATGGAACCGACGTTCTCTCGGCCAACAGTAAAGTTGTCAACCCGCTGGCGCTGAACTCTATTCATGTTCTGGATTTCTTCCCGCGTGGGCTCCATCCAGTACTTCCCGGGCGCATTGTCAAATCCGTTGGCCGGGGGCTCGGGAGTGCCAGTCTCTTCCTCCTGGACGATGGCCAATTCCTTATCCTTGCCCTTGACTTGCTCCATGTCGGGAGTTCGGAGCCCGTTCGAAACGGGCGTCGCCTTGTCGGATCGAGGAGTCTCATCGCTGGGGGTCTCGGGCACATCTCCAGGGGCTGGCAGAGCCGCCCGAACAGGAGGAGAGTCCTCGCCGTCCACGTTGGTATCGAAGCTGACCCGCTTAGACAGCTTTCGCGGGCCGGTTCCATTATCGCCATTCTGCCTGTCCCTTTGCGGCGTGGAGAAGAGGTCGCTCCTCAGTTCGCGGTTAATAACCAGCTTCTTCGAGCCCGAGTTTCCATACCAGCGCGTGTTATTCGTGTTTGAAAAGGCACCGGGCAGAAGAATGCTGTCGTCGACATTGACAGTGCGGCGCAGGCTGTTCGAAGACACGCTCTTGGTAAGGGAGGTTCCGCTGCCGGTGCCGCCGAGCAAGCTACGACCCAGAGTGTTGGGAGTGCCAGAGAGTCCTGCAGGGCTTGCTCCTCCAGGAGTCCCATAGTTGCTGTAGGAAAAGCCAAAGCCCCTCTTCTGAGGAGTGCCGAAGCGGCCTGACGCCGCGGGGGTGAACTTGTACATGGGGAAGATTGACGGCCGCTTGGGCTTCGGCTGTCCGCTCAGGGGAACAGCGAGCGGACCTGGATTCGGGACCTCGCCTCCACTAACTCCAGAAAACAGGGACGGCGAGCCGTAGGCAGAGACGTCGTTGAGGTTCGCAGTCAGTCCCTGGGGCGCGTTGCTCACTTGCTGAGAGGCCCCCAGCAGAGAGCCACCGAGGCCAAGCCCCTGCTGCTGCTGCTGGCCACCAGCGTTGCCGAAAATGCCGCCCTGAGTTCCCGTTGCAGTGTTACCAAAGAGTCCTCCACCTGAAGCCGCCGGGGTCGATCCAAAGAGGCCCCCGGGCTTCTGCTGGTTCGCTGCTGACCCAAAAAGGCCTGTACCCCCAGCTTGTTGAGTCTGAGCTGTGGTGCCAGCACCTCCGAAGAGGCCTGTTCCGCCAGTGTTGCCTTGCCCAGCGGTGGTCCCTCCAAAGAGGCCGCCACCCGTAGCTGGCTTGGCTCCAAAAAGGCCTCCGGTGTTGGTGTTTGTGCCACCCAGGCCCGTCGATCCCTGCTGCTGAGTGCCGCCGAAGAGGCCGCCGCCGGTGTTGGTGGCAGCGGGCGTCGAGCCGAAGAGTCCACCCGTGGCTGGTTTCTGCTGAGCGTTTCCAAACAATCCTCCAGATTGCTGGGTCTGAGCCTGGCCAAACAGTCCTCCCGAGGGAGCCTGCTGCTGCTGAGCGGTGTTCCCAAAGAGACCTCCACTTGGCTGTGCGCTGGTGTTGGCGTTGCCAAAGAGCCCACCACCAGTGGTATTGGTGCCAGAGCCGAAAGCGTTGGTGGTGGCTCCTCCGAAGCCTGTCGATGTCGTGCTTGGGTTGTTCCCGAAGCTGAACCCAGTGCCTGCGGGTTTGTTCTGAGTGTTGCTGCCGAACAAGCCGCCGCCGGTGTTGGACGCAGCGGTATTCGCCGAGCCAAAGAGCCCACCACCAGCGGTGTTTGTCGAGCCAAAGCCAGACGTGGCGGTATTGGTGGTGCCGCTTCCAAACAGACCACCGGTTTGGTTCTGCTGGGTGGTGTTCCCAAAGAGTCCTCCGCTTGGCTTGTTGGCGTTGCCAAAGAGGCCACCACCAGTGTTGCTAGCAGCGGTGTTTGCACCAAAGCCGCCGCCGAATCCAGAGGTTGCGGTGTTGGTGTTGGTGTTGGATCCGAACAGTCCACCTGTGGTGTTTGTCGCTCCAAAACCACCAGTCGCAGGTGTGCTCGTCTGGTTGGCTGCGCCAAAGCCGCCGCCGAAACCTGAGCTCACTCCAAACGCGCCAGCGCCGCTGGGGTTGCCGTGTCGCCTCCCCTGGACGTAGTCGGCCAATCTCAGCTCATCAGCAGACCACTTCTTATAGGGGTCTTGGAACAGGATGTTCTGGAAGGCATTCGACTGATTGGTGCTGCTGTTGGGCTCTTTCTCGGTGAAGGCCTGGAACGGAGTGACAGCCGTGCCGGGAGGATCGCCACTGGCGCCGCCCCCCAGGGTATTTGTCGATCCAAAGTTGCCAAAGCCCGTGCCCGTAGTGGTGGTGTTGGAGCCGCCGCCAAAGAGAGACGAGCCCGTGTTCGCAGTTCCGAAACCGCCTGCTGGTTTATTAGCATTCCCGAATAGGCCCCCGCCAGTGGTGTTACTGCCAAAAGCAGAGGGGGTAGCAGTAGTGTTGGTGTTTGACCCAAAACCACCAAAGCCCGTACCGGTGCTGCTAGGGGTGCTGGAGGCTCCGAAGAGACCACCTGAAGCAGGAGTAGTAGTAGCTGTCGACCCGAAGGCAGGCTTGCTGCCAAAGCCGCCCGTGTTGGACCCAAACCCGCCTTCGTTACCTTGGTTAGTATCTGGGAATTGAAGAAGAGTCCAGGGCGACGTCAGGAGAGGGCATCGTCAAGGGCCGAGCAAAGCGACCCACGAGCCTCCGTGCGTGGGTCCACGCCGCCATTCAGTCACGGGAAAAGAAACTTACCGGCTGTCGAGCCAAAGCCGCCCGTGGTATTGGTGTTGCTGCCAAACATGCCGCCGCCGGTGTTGGTATTCGTGCCGAAGCCTCCGCCGGTGTTGGAGCCGAAGCCTATATGTCTCGTGGTTAGTGGCTGGTGTAACGCTCCGTCGTGATCGAGGTTGAATGTACCTGACGAGGTGGTGTTATTGTTGGCCCCAAAGCCACCGAATCCGCCCGTCGACTGCTGCTGGTTGTTGGAGCCGAAGCCCCCAAATCCGCCGAACGACATGGTGGGCGTCCGTGTGTCGCGGTATTCGGAGGAAGTGACTGATGCTGCGAGCTACCCCCTTGTAGTGGGATGCTGCCTTTGCTGTGGTGAAGTGGATGCTTCGCGAAAGAGGGACTCGAGATGGGCGCGATTCAGTACCGGCCACGAACAACAGATCAAGAATCGCAGGCGAAAGCGCGCATATGCGATGAAAAGGATATGGACGGTAGCAGAAGCCGCTTCGATTGCACAAGCCCAGCTGCGAGGCGATGAGTCGCTGATGGAAAAGTCGCGTTCTGGCGAGCTGATGGCCGTATTTTTCTCGTTTCCGAGGGCTGAGCCGCGACAAAGGGCGCCGCCGCAACGACGAGCCGGACGAACCGTCAATGAATCGAGCGCGAGACAGAGAAAGAAAACGAGGGAGAATGTGGACTATCAGTCAGAGACCCAAGAGGTGCAGCGGCCAAGGGCTGAGTGCCTCTTTAATACCTCTGGCGGGAAGGTCACCTTGAGCTGATGAGCAGCACACAGGGAGGCAAAAGTTGGAGGTCAAGGCAAAATGACGGCTTGCTTAGGTAGGTTTGCTTTGATCAGCTCAGCTTTTTTTTCGTGTCGCTGCTGCAGGCGCTAAAAAAGGTACCTCTGTGCTGGGCCAAGGCTGACTACTACATGTACGGCTGCTTCCAGGTTGGTGCCTCAGACCAGAAGCTTCCCCTCATTGGTCAAAGCGACCGTGCTGACTAACTTGAGCCAATCAGCGCTGCCAATTGCCCTGCCTGGCGGGTGCCTGGACCACTGCCTGGAAGCGACTGGACCTACTGCAGTACAGCGCATGGTCAGGTGCTGCTCCCCCCTGTGAGGCAGCACAGCAGTGCCCTCAGCAGCCAGGCGAAGGCGTCAGCGGGTGCGTTCGGGGAGCCTCAGAGCCTGAAGGCCGCTGGAATCGCGAGCGCAAGCCGCCCGCCAAACAGCGGCGCGTCAAGCTCCGTCGCGTCGCATCGATCCCTCGTCCGGCAAAATATTGACATCTGATCCCGCCTCAACCCAAGCAGAATCAGTCTCTCCGTACTTTCGTGATAGCTGCAGACGGGCCTCCTCTTTATTTCACTTATCCCTGTTATATCACGCATCGCGCATCTCTGTACCAATTTTCTTTCCGTCCTCCTACTGCGCCATTATCTACAGCTTGGGCTCCTTTCCCACGCCTGATCGAACCCCGTATAAGCTTCTAAGAGAGAGAGAGAGAGAAAAAAAAAGAAACGACGAAAAATTAAGGCCCAATCCTCTTTGGATACGGTATCGCATACGCAACGCGCAACTCCACGGCTCGCTCGCTTGGCTTCACGAGAACAACACACACACGGCTTGACATCCCGCCTCGAGTATGAACTCTCACACGCCTCGCCCATTCCCAGGGCGATCAATACCAGGAGGGTCCAACCAGCACTCGCAGCAACGGAACCCCCCCGCGCCGCAGGTCTCTTCGAACGAGGACTACGGCAACATCGCCGACGAGGATCGCGAACACATTGACGAAGTCGTAAGTCGCTGCCACAGACTGATCAAGTTCCGCATGCTCGTTTTCTCCTTCTCACACGTGCGGGCGCTCTGCCACGCCGCCGCCGCTGCTCTAGTTCGACCTGATGGACATGAAGAAGAAAGGCTGGCTCAACAGCTACGAATTCAAACACTCCCTCGCCGCGCTGGGCTTCGACATGCCCAAGCCCGACTACTGCAGAGAACTCGAACACTACGGCACGGTGCCGCCCGACTGGCGAGATCCCCACAGCTGTCCCGTCAACCGCCTGCTCATCTACCCCGACCAGTTCCGGTTATGCGCCGCGAAGCTCATCGCCAGGCGGGACCCGCGCGAGGAGGCGATCAAGGTGTTCAACATGTTCGACTACGACCAGGACGGCATCATCTCGGTCGAGGACATGCGGCATCTCGCTCAGGACATCAAGGAAGAGCGCACAATGACGGACGAAGAGATACAGACCATGATAGAACACCTCGACCACGACGGCAAAGGCGGAGTGAACTTGGAAGAGTTCATACAGATGATGGAGGAGGCTGGTTAGTTGGGGCCAGAGGAAGGAAGCCGAAACAAGCCATTTGACTACACAAGATGCTCCATCCCAAGCCCCTGCCAGCCTCGTCGACAAGATCATGACGTTCACAGCGCAGAGCTATGCTCGCCATAGCAGACATGGCTCGCCTTCTCGAGCGTTCGCCCTTGTCAGGATGTATGGCAGCTTGATCGATTCTCTCAGCAGCCCACGATTTCGAAATGTTGCCGAGTTCTAGTCAAAGGACAATGGATCACATATAATGCGCACATGGTCTCTTACAAAACCCCATCTCTCTTGTTTATTTCTCTTTCTTTTGGCGTATCGGTAGTTTTCTGTTTCTACATCTATTTTAGTCTTCCCCTCTCTTGTTCTTTTAGGATTATCTTATGTATAACGAGACAAATGGCAGCAGGAGTTGCTTTCGGCTTCACGAGTAGAACAGACAGAGTGCTACGATGATACATCTACCTTATGCGAGCATTCATGAGGAGGGGGATTGGACAAAGGGTTATCAGAAAGGTCAAAGTCAGATCTACAATTTTTTTTATTTCCAGAGGCGCGTTGTCTAAATGGAACATACCACGTGGTTCGGACGAGGAAATAGGGAAGGAAAAGCAGAGAGGTAAAGGAGAGGTAGAGAAATCCAGTTTGATTCCACCGTGGCCACCCAAACGAATAGTATCTCATTCCCTTCCCCTGGCAAAGTCAAGAAAACAGAATTGGTACCAAGCCAAGACGCAACCGTTGCTGCAGGGAATAGAGACGGCTTTCAATTTCAAAAGGGGAAAAAATGAGAAAAGGTATAAGTCCATGAAAAAGGAGAATAGGAAGAAGCGGCAATATTAGAGAGTGACAAGAACAACAAGAGTCCCACAGTGCCATCATTGGTATATAAGAATTATTCCATGATTTTCTTTCTTTAAACTCCTTCGCCTTAAAACTGAATCAAGTCTTGCGCCTGGCCCTGCTGCTGCGGTCGTTGCTGGGCTCCAAATGGATTGCTGTTCATCTGAGGCTGGCTACCATAGGTGATGCTCGGCATGCCCGTGAATTGCTGTCGCAAAAAGGGGTTGTTGCCGGTGGCTTCTGGGTTGAGGCGGCCAAGGCCCGCGCCGGCGCTGTTGACGAACGTTCCCGGAGCCGTGTGCTGTGAAGGGATTCGCAAGTCTCCCGTGTTTCCGTATGTGTCCATGCCGTCTCCAGAAGCCAGCAAAGCGTTCAGCTTCCTCTCGTGCTCACTAAGCTCCCGCTGAGGGGCGGTATAATTGAGCCTCTGCTGCTGCTGCTGTTGCTGCTGCTGCAAACCAAACTGGGGCTGGGGCTGGTTGAAGTTGGAAAGAGTCTTTTGCTCTGGCAGAGGGCTGAGAGAAGTAAGAGAAGATGTCGCAGGTCTTGCTGATTGAGGCCTGTTCTGAGCAAACGGGTTGTTGGAACCGGTCGGCGTGGGTTGAAGAGACTGCTGCTGCAGGTGATTGGTCGCCCAAGGATTGTTGCTTCCAGGCTGGACGGCCAAGTCCAGAGCCGGTGAAGGCTGGAGGTGCTGTTGTTGACCAAACTGCTGCGGCTGCAGAAACTGTTGCTGCTGCTGCGCAAGCAGATTACCCGTCGGCATCGGGGCAAAGGCGTCAACGCCAAAACCGGTGTTGTAATTTGGCTGCCAGCCAGTCGGTTGCGGCTGCTGGTATCCGGTATAGGCATTTCCCAAATAGCCAGTCGGTTGGGGAATCTGCGCGGCCTGCTGATCAATAGGGTTGGCCCAGAAATCCACGGCGTTGCCTTGCTGGTATCCCTGGTTGAAGCCAGTGTGCTGTGGCTGAGATGTCGCGGGAGTATCGTCGTCGAACAGAGAGGCGGCATTTGCGTCTTCCAGCTCACGGCGCCTTCTCTCCTCCTCCTCCTGGCTCAGCTTGATGGCCTTTGCGAGATCGTCGTCGTTGTCGCCGTTGGAGCGGTTCTGCCTCCTCTTTCTGTCCTCCTCCTCCTGGTATTTGCTGGCTTCGATGGCGAGGCGATATTCAGTGTCGTCTTCGTCCGCCGCCGGGGCTCTCCGTTCGGACCGAGGCTGTCGTCGCTGGGATTGCTCGGCGTACTGCGGGCCGAAGTCAGAGTCGAGACCCATGACACGCGATTTCCACGACTTCCGGTCGCTTCGCTCTGCTCGCAATCGTTCGTCATTGAGGATGAGGGCGGTCAATTCCTTTGCCGCGACACGGACTGCGCACCACGTTAGATTTTGATAAGACCGCCAACTAGGAACAAGTAAAGAGAGCCTAGAAACCCACCATTTTGCCCGACATCGCGACCTTCTTCGTCAATGTACTGAAATTCTCGCAACGTCTTGATAATGTAGATGCTCTGGCGCGCCCATGTGACGACGAGCTCTGAGCCCTCGTGCAGGCAGTAGTCGAGGACTTTGAGCGCCTTAAGGACGTGGCGCCAATTCTTTCCTTTATCGTTGAGTCTCTTGTCGAGCATATCCATAATATCGTAGAACTCGGTGGACCTGCAGTTGAGCTCACAGTTAGTGTGACGCCATGATACCTGCTTGTTCAGAGCGTGACATACGTGCTGAACGTCATCTGAGCGATCTCGCTCATCTGCGTGCCCGTCGGGCCCCATGGATCATTGCTGGTGGCTGTGCGAAGAAGCTGCGGTTAGCATCGCGAAACTGAGACTGGGGAGCGGCGATTCTGGCGGTGACCAACCCTCTCGGACCTTGACCTGGGCGTGAGAGTACCCTTTGGTCACGTTTTTCACGCTGCGCATAACCTTGGACATGGTGGGCGAGCTGTAGTGTTCACGACTGGAGGAGTAGAGAAGTAAAAAAAGAAGCAAGAAAAGGAGAAGTGCGTGCGGCTACCCTGGATAGCCGGCGCACGAGAGGCTTGATGGGGGGAAGTTGTCAGAGAGGTCGCAGCTAGTCGCCGGAAAGGAGTGAGGAGGGAAATGAGATGAGATCGGACGACGGCCCGGGGGTCGCGCAGCGAACTCAGCCGCTGAAGCTGGACGCTGCGAGCGTAAATCGCGGGCAAACAGCTGCTGCAGCTGTACAAACAAGAGGCATCCAGATGCCTGATGAGCGTCACAGAGAAAGGCGATCGCCAGTTCGGACTCAGCAGCGGCAGAAGCTGTGGTGCGCTCTGGACCTGGAGGTGCTTGGCGTGGGGCGGCTGATCGCAATCTATTCGTGGCGCTTGACAAAGGGGAGACGACGCAGTTCAAGAGAGAGCCGTCAGTCGTGCGAGCGAGAGCGACGACGAGGTGAGGCGGGATTGCGCGGCGCACCGGGTAGAGGAAGAGAGAGAGGGGAGGAGGAGGCGGATTGACGTTCGCAGAGAGAAGAAGAATGGAAGGGCCTCGTCCGGGAAGATGGATGGCTGGATGAACAAGCTACCTTATGGCTGGTCGACAGGCGCCTCGCCTCGCCTTGGTTTCCAGCTAGCTCGAGTCGGTTTACGTACGCTCCCTGGCCTGATTACGTTAGGACCGGGAGGAGAAGCGAAGGAAGACTGGAAAGCAGAGTGCATAAAACAAGGATTCACAGGCTGCATGGACAAAAATACCCGGGCATGCCGAGGCGGAGGTTCGGAGCTCTGCTCTCGGCGCCTGTGGCCGGCTTTTTGTCAGTTGCCTGTGACGCCTCAAAGCTGCATGTCTCTCCGGTGCAATGTACTGTTCCTTACGTCACGGGCGTGGCGCCGCCCCATCACCAGCCACGCAGCAGCTAAAAGCTGAGGGAAATACCGTAGCACTTCTCGAACGCCTTGGAGGTATCCTACGGAAAAGCCCGTCAGCCCAGGCTTACCCTACATTATCACTATTTGATAGGTCGCCAGCTGGGAAATGAAGACAAAAGAGTCATGGCAATGACATATTTGGGGGGCCAGAGCTGCATGTGTGGTTCATGCGTGTTTCCACTGCCTCGACTGGGGCCTCCTGAAGCCGCAGCAAAGGCAAAAGCAGCCAAGGCACAGCAAGCTTTCCACCCGCCTGTGCCCAATCAGCCCTCATGTACATATGTACAGATACCTTGCTTGGATAGGTAGCCAAGAGGGCAGCTCCGATTCGGCCGGATATCCCAACCCTGCGTCAGTGCCAGTTCGGCCACAGCGGTCCCTGCCGCCGGCGTTCCGGCGCTCGGTGTTTGCCCGGCTGAGATGGGCTTCCAAGGCTTCGTCACGACCTTGTCAAATGTGTCAAGCCTGTCAAACCTGTTGATCAACTCCAGGGGCCTTGTCTCGAATTGCTCTGTTCGGTTGAACAGGGTGACGTCAATTCAGGTACACAACTGGCCTCGAAGCATTGCAGGTGGTCAAGGGCGCGTTCATCTCGTTGGCAGGTATCCCAACACACGCTTGATTTGTCATTGAATGCAAGCTCTCAACTCCCAGCAACCAAGCGCTCCTCGGGGCAGCATACCATTTTTGCACGCATCGGGCCTATTCGATGAACATGATACCCGATCAAAGCAGTTTGCTAGAGCCGTTTCTTTAAGAGAAAAAATATCACGATATGGAGAGGTAGAGCAAGCGAGTGAGTACAGGGTAAATTGCGCCAAAGCGTCTAGTTCAAGAGATCTTGTCGTCTACCTGTATCTGCCCATGCACTCATTGCAAAATCGATAATATGAAGCGCTAGAACCTCCCGTATATGTCTAAGCCCCGAAAAACTACCTACAGGTCATCGCTCTTTTAGTCACGAAACAAAAGCAGGAAGATATAATACCCGTCTATCCAAGAGAAAATCATCAAACTGCTCAGCTTCAACCCCAGAGGTATAGTGCTCTAGGATCGGTGTGAGAAGTTAGACGTATCAGTCTAGTCGACGCTCCAATGCTGCTTGTCGGACTTATGACTGCCACTTGCGGAAAGTGTCCATGACGGTGGTGAACACGACCAAAAGGATACCACCTCCTGGTCCAAGACGGAGGACCTGCCAAGGCATTAGCGCATGCAAACTGTCCACCAACGGGCAAAAACTCACCTTGGGCAAAAAGCCCTTGTACAAAGCACCGAACCCTTCTTCCTTGAAGACAGTGACCACGGAGGGGAAGGCCCAGTTGTACTTGCGAACTTGACCTGCAACTTTGGGGGTGTTCTGGATCCTGCTCTTGACCACGTCCAGCGGGGTGTTGAGGATGGTTCCCACAGTTCCACCGATGGCACCAGAGATCAAGTCGTTCATCATCTTGCCCTTGCTGGTCTCAGACTTGGGCAGCAGTTGCCGGACCTGGAAGATACAGCCAAAGTAGCCAGCGTTCCAGAGGATGTGGCGCCACATTGTGCTCTCGAGGCCCTGGTAAAGGGCGAGGGGGCCCTCGTTCTTGACCGTCTTGACAACGCAGTCGACCATGCCGTTGTATTTTCCAGCCGACGCCTTGTCCTGCAGACGAATCTTGACCAGCTCAAAGGGAACGACGACGAAGGACTCGGTGGCGCCTGCGGTAGCGCCAGTAAGGACCGACAGGGACTGGTTCATCTTGTCGACGCCAAACATCTTGCGGTAGACCTTGCCCCATTCGTCGTTGGCAGCAAACTTGGTGGCTCGCTTGGGAGCTTCCATCAGGATCGGGGCAGAGATGCCACGGTAGAGTCGAGAAAAGCTGCACCTTTGTGAGACGAGAGCGTGAACGGAGACATGGGCGGACGGTGTATGGCATACCCTTCATTCTTGATGATCTTCTTGAAGCAATCAAGCATGCCGTTGTAAGCTTCGGCACCGGTGCCTGTGCCAGTCTGCAGCTGGACTCGCGTCTTGACCACATCCAGAGGATACCTGGCCGGGTGTTTGGTCAGTATGGCGGTCTATGCTGGCGGAAATGGAGACTGTAGAGGAACGCACATGACCAGGATCTATCAGTGTAGGCATCGATCGTCAGCTGAAGCGTTTGTCAAGGGATCTGGGACCATATCGCACCTCCGAGACGCCCGCAATTGCGCCTGAGCGATATCATCAGTCAGCCATTCGTGCCATTGCACAATGCGAGTAGTATCTGCGCCCTACCTGCGGCGAACTGGTACTGGAAAGCAAGGGGCTTTTCTTCGGCCATCTTGAGGGGATTGCTGGGTCGGTCAATTGCGATGCTGAAGCGATTCCGAGGCACAGGCGCCGAGCACAGATGCGGTCGTCACTTTGTCAGTGATTTGCGGAGGAGGATCGGAGCGTCACTCTGGAGGGGATTTTTTTCGTTCTTTAGTGGCGGGCGGGCAATTCTAATGGGCTGAGAGACGCCGGCTATAAGCGAATGGCCCCCACAGGCGCTAGCAGAAACCCCTGTGGACGTTCTTAGCGGCTCAAGGTTGTTTGAGCTGCCACCTCAGGAACTGGACGAGGAACACGCGACACCTCAATGCAAGCAGGCTGTGGACGTGTGATGGCTCTACATCCAATGTATAATTACATGTATAAAAAAAGCCCAAGAGGCGACTACTAGATAGGTACACAGACCCTTGGGCAAGCGTCATGCCCAATGCTTAAGGGATCGGACCAGTATTCCCCCCAATCTTGCAATTGATGGGCGCCTGTTTGTGCGTATAAGGTATACATCTCCGACGGCGGGAATTCGGGCATACCAGGCAAGGTAGAGAAATATTCTTCGACTTGATATTGCTACCTACCTTTCCCGAAATACCTCCAATATTCACGATACGGCTACGTCAAGAAGTGTTACTTGCATGGGATCATCAAAGGTGCATCCTCTGACCTCTCGAAGGCTCCAGCATCCTGCTCGCCATCTTCAAAGGGTTGTTTCCTCGGGACACAACAGGTAGGGGTGGTACTTCAAAACTTACATTCGACGTTGCTCTCAAAGCCATTCAAAGCCAACAGTGGTTTGTTGGTATAGGTACTATCAGATGAATTCTGCAAGGAAGAGACAGACTCCCCCAACTGCCTTGGAATGGCGGGGTTCAACATGCTCCCCACAAACTGGAGATTATGCACGCGCTGGCGGCCTTCGGCATGGCCCGGCTTCTTGGTGCGTGTCCGTTTCAAGGTCCCTGTAGCCATGCTGAAACTCCCCTTTTGCTCCAGTATCAGAATCCATAGCACTTTCGCTGCCCAGGCTCGAATCAGATCACTGCCATTACTAGCACAACCATTACCGGTGCTCTGGCTCAGGCGTGGTGTTAGAAGCACCAAACACTCGTGCCTCGTGATACATGTCCAGCAAATAAAAGCCGCGCAACGTCGACATGTGCTGTCTCAGCACCGCCGTATCTGGAAGCTGGAGGTATCGAAGCGATTGGGCACAGGCTGCAGTTGGGCGCTGCGATTGGCCACGGCCTTCAGAGAGCAAAAAGAGCCATCCCAGGGCTATCCGCCTTATCGGCGTAGGTGCTCCGTGGGCCGGATCTAAAACCCCGCCATCGCCAACCGTCAAGGCCAAAAGGAGGAATCGGCGGTACATCTTGAGAGAGTCGAAATGCTAAGAATCTACATCAGCTGTGGAATGCCTTTCCATCATGAGAGGCTTTTGAGTATCAGAGTCAACTCGTTGGAGACTATGATTGCACCTGACGGCTCTAGTTCCAGATCTCAGACTTATTATCTTCTCTCGCACCCTCTTGGTGCCCCGCTTCTTGCACTACGTCCATGAGCCTCGGAGTTTCGATCTAGCCTCTGCCGCGACTGATTCAGGTCTTTTCCGCCACCAGGGACCACGTTCACGGAGCTTGGAAGCCTTGGGGAGATATAATCATCACCAACCAGCTTTTCATTCTTCCAACGTCACGTCCTCCCTCGCGCTGAAACCCATCTTGAGGATCCAACCTCACTGCTTCCTCCTCGAGCCTCGACACAGCATACCGGCGACGACGATTTCTCAGCTGTTCAACGACAATCGCATCCTGCTTGCAAACCTGGCGATAAGGCTCGTCGAGTCCCCCACACGCACGCCTGCTGCCGCCACGTCGAGTCGCACAACGTCCCAGCGGATCTGCAAACTTTTCCGGCACGAGAGAGCTGTTCGACTGTGGTGACAGAGGCGTCTGCAACTCTCCGGCGCTTCGAATCGCACCTTTAAACAAGCCGTGAGCCTGCGAGACTCACAGCGAGGTGCCTTTTCAGGCGTCTGGGCCTCACCTCCGTCCTGCAGCTGCGTTATCCCCGGCCGATGAGTCATTTGCTGTGGAAATACTTCTGGGAAAACGATGTCGACAAGTTTCGGCGTCTGCTGGCCCCGGCCGGCCCCAATTCCCAGGCGGCGGCGGTGAGGAGTCCAGCCGTGGGCGCTGCGTCGCATCTTGGAGCGAGTCCCGGTAGTGTCGGGACATCGCCGAGAGCTACCGTCAAGTCGCGCAAGCCGTCGGGCTATGCTCCCGGTCTTGGGAAGGCAAGAGACGGAAGTTCTGGGTTGAGCAAAGCGGAAGTCAACAGCCGGGACCATGCCGGCCTGACGCTGCTGTTGCGCGCATCCTCATCGACCGATCCAAACGCTCTGGCCTTTGTCCAGGCTCTGCTGGATCACCCCCAAATCGACTTATACGCCCAGGACCCCGAGAGTGGCTGGAACGCCCTCCACAGGTCGCTGTACGCTGGAAATGCATCAATAGCTCGAGCATTGCTGGCCAAGGAGCGTGACGATTTGGTCAACCACGCCCTTGGGGCCGTGAACAAGGTCGGCCAGCTGATCAAGACCAAGGATCACGAGGGCAACAGCCCGTTTGACCTGTATAACTCGACAATTGCTGCGAGATCGTTGCGCCATACGCTGGTCCAATCTCTAAACGATGATGATTCGGACTATGGCGACGGCGACTTTGAGCAAATGTTCGTAACGGCCTTCCAAGTCTCATTATTTTGTATCCGCTTCTAACGCTGACCTTGACCCATTTAGCTCGACGAAACTCTCCCATGCCAACAAGCATTACGCCGAGGGAGACGAGTTGTTCATGTTTGGCAGCAACAAAAACCTGTCCCTCGGAGTTGGGGACGAAGACGACCGGCAATATCCCGAGCGCATCATGCTTCAGCGGTCAGATCAGCTGATACGCCGATTCTTCGAAGATTATCTGACGCAGAAACATGTCGATGCGCCACTAAACGTCACGACAGATCTGGAGGCCATCCCCACTCTTGTTCAAAATCGATCCCTAGTCATCCAGGACGTGGCCATGTCGAAGCTGCATAGCGCGATTCTTACCGACGATCCGATATCCAACCTTTACGTCTGTGGAGTTGGTCGCGGCGGAAGGCTAGGCCTTGGCGACGAGAACACACAGTTCAAGTTTACTCCTCTCCATGGTCCCTTTGCGGACAAAAAGGTCAGCCAGGTGGCACTGGGGCAAAACCACTCAATGGCCGTCGTAGGGAACGGTGAACTGTGGACTTGGGGTCTCAATTCCGACTCGCAACTCGGCTACGTGCTGCCTCCTCCTCTGAGGACGGATGAGGAGCCAATGAGCCTCGTCCCACGCCAAGTATTCGGTCCTCTCAAGAAAGAGGTTGTCCTCGGCGTCGCCGCTTCGTCCATCCACTCGGTGGCGCACACAGGCTCGTCACTGTATACCTGGGGCCGTAATGTAGGCCAGCTTGCCCTGATGGATTCCGACTCTAGATCTCTTGACCTGCAGCAGACTCCTCGAAAGGTTGCTGCGTCTCTACTATCGGCCCCGATCGAGATGGTCTCGGCGATTGACAGGGCCACTATTTGCTTGTTATCGAATCACCAAGTCTGGGTGTTCACAAACTATGGTTACAACCTGATACGATTTCCCTTTCCCGATGCGGCTCTCCACCGGAGGCTTAACGCAAGCCTCTATTCGGCCATGTCCGAAGTGTCGCGGAGGGACATTCGGTACATCACATCTGGAGGCGACACCATCGCGGCAGTCACAGCTCGTGGCGATTTGTTCACCATGCAAGTGAGCAACAAGGGTGATTTAGGAGCCCCTTCCGGCTCTACGACCAACCCTGTTAAGATCAAGAGTGCCGTGACGCAGCCGCAGTGCATATGGGACTCAGGAAAAGACGGCGTTCTCTCAGTTGGCGTTGGGGAACATGGATCTGTCATCATTTGCACAGAATCGGGCGCTGTCTGGAGGAGAATCAAGCGCCTCAAGGGCAAGTTTGAGTCTTCTGTGGATGCAAGGAGGAAAGATTTCAAGTTCCAGCGCGTTCCCTACATCACCGATTGTGTGGCTGTCCGCAGCTCTACTTTTGGTGCGTTCGCCGCCATCCGAAAAGATTGCAAAGTCATGTCTCAGGAAATTCCCATTGCCGAGCAGGGCCTCTGGAAGGACATTGGCGCGCTTCTTTGCCTGAAAGATTTCCATGCTCCTGGCACCGACGATGAGAGAGATTCGTCACGAAAAGCCTGGAACGCTTCCATTAGGAGAGAGGGTCCTGGCACTGTGGCACACCAGCTCCTAAGCTCCGCAGACATCGAAACGGACTTGCTCCGCTGGCTACAAGGCAACTACTCCTTGTACGACACCGACCTTGAGATCCGCACTTCTGCGGCCCCAGACATCAGGATACCGGTCCACGGGTGGCTTCTCTCCGCAAGAAGCTCCATCCTCCGCGCGGCTTTGTCTGACTTCCGGCTGGATGGCTCTCAAGCCCAATCGGAGACCTTTGTCATCGAATGCCTCGACGACAAGATGGTGCTGACCCTGCTCCATGTTGATATCTTTACAATGCTCAACGTTGTGGTATATGCCTACCTGGACAACATCGTCCCCGTTTGGAAGTACACCCGTGAAGCCCCGGCGATGGCCCATCGCTTCCGTCAAGTTCGGACGGATCTGATGAAGGTCGCTACAAAGCTCAATATGCCCAAGCTGGAAGCCGCTGCCCGGTTACAGGCAGGGTTGGAACGAACGCTCGATGCTGATATGCAGGGAGCCATCAACGATCCGATGTTCTTCGATGACGGTGACGTCGTGTTGGAGTTGGATGGCGACGAGGTGACGGTCCACAGCCATCTTCTCTGCCAACGCTGTCCCTTTTTCGACGGCATGTTCAATGGCAGGTCGCAAGGCCAGTGGCTGACTGAACGTCGTCATGGAGCACAGCAGGCAGAACCGGTTCGGATCGACCTCAAACACATCCACCCAGAAACTCTTTCTTATGTGCTCAAGTACTTGTACGGAGACGTTGGCGAGGAAATCTTCGATGATGTGACGGCTGCGTCTCTTGATGAGTTCTCGGAGCTCGTCTTGGATGTGCTCAGCGTGGCCAACGAGCTCATGATCGACCGATTGTCGCAGATATGCCAGTCCTTGATTGGCAAATTCGTGACAACGCGCAACATTTCCAATCTCCTCAACGTAATCAGCGCCTGTGCAGTTGCGGAGTTTAAGGATACTGGTCTGGAGTACTTGTGCCTGCAGCTTGAATCCATGCTCGAGAATCACCTCTTGGATGGCCTCGACGAAGAGCTCCTGTATGAGCTAGATTGCAAGATTCGGGACAATCAGCTCGCGTGCTTCCCATTTGCAAAGAGCGGCAGAGCGGAGCTACTGCTCCACGAGAAGCATCCTGACCTGGCGGCGGATATTGAAGAAGAAAGGCGGCGCCGCGTCAAGGAGATGGCATTTAGACATGCACAGAGGGAAGAGGAGAAGAGGTTGAATACTGCGTACAAAGCGCGCTTTGGAAGCTTGGATGACCCTACCCGAGGACCACCAACTCCGGAGAAGAACAGCAGGCAGCCTCGACTGGGCAGAAACGAGCCATCAAGCCCGGCTTTAAGGGCAAAGGACTCCCTTACCGACATGATCTTTGACATGGAGGAGGTAGGGCACTCGGGAGGAAGCAGTGTTGTATCTCCACAATTGTCACCACCACTTACCCGCGTTCATGTCGATGATGTGGCGACGTCAAAGGCCCCGGCGGAATGGAAGAAGTCAAAGGGCAAAGAAAAAGCAGAGATACCTCAGTCACCCGCTGCAAGTGGCATTTCTCGCCAGCAGCCGACGATGGACCCTGTGATACTCAGGAGTGAAGCAGGGTCCCCTTACTCGGCAAACAACTCCCCATGGGCTCCTGCGGCGCTGTCTACCGCTAAGCTAGATTTGAAGGACATCATGTCTGAGGCTTCCGGGAAGTCGGCATTGTCAGCCGCTCTATCAGCAGCCCAGACGACAAAGGAATCGGCCAGCAAGCCGCAGCCGCTGTCCAAGATGTCACAAAAGGAACGCAAGAGACAGATGCAGATGCAGCTCGAAACCCAAGTCGCAGCACAGGAGGAGCAGGCAAGGGCGGTTCCGTGGGAAACAGCATCATCCAACAAGAAGCAGCAGCCGCCGCCGTGGAAAGCTGCAGCTCCCGTTCCAAAAACTTCACTGCAGCAAGCCATGGCATCTGACGTTGCGCAGCGGAATGCGATTTCTACCAATGCCAAACCCTTGGTGGCGTCTGAATCTAACGTTCAGTCCGCACAAATACGGACAGCATCTCCAGACACTCGCTTCCCAGGCCAAGGGCGGCCTGGAAACTCCCCAGCAGCGACGCCGCAAGCAGGCTCTGGAGGAGGATTGGGGAAGCAGCCGCCTAGCAAGCCTCTGATACCGCACTCGAAATCTTACATCAAGCCGGCGCAGAAGACGGAACCGACGTTGGGGCTGAGCATGGCGGATATCATCGGACAGCAGCAGAGAGAACAGCAGCTGGTCAAGGAGGCGGTGGCAAAGCGATCACTTCAAGAGATTCAACAAGAGCAAGCTTTCCAAGAGTGGTGGGACCAAGAGAGCCGTCGTGCACAGGAAGAGGAGGCCAGGCGACAAAATAGAGCAAAGGGCAAGGAAGAGCAGCAGGGGGGAGGAGGCGGAGGAGGAGGAGGAGGAAGAGGTGGTGGTAGTGGTAGTGGTGGTGGTGGTGCAGGAGGAGGGAGACGTGGCCGTCGGGGCAGAGGCGGAAAGGCCCGAGGCAATGAGCCGTCGAGCAATCAGCAGCAGTCGGGCGTTGCTGAAGGCACGAGTTCCAGGGAAGCACCCAAGACTGGTGGTAATGCGTCCCGGGGTGGCAGAGGCAGAGGGAAGGCCGGCAGAGGCGGGGCATAGGTTTTGCGCATTATCTGTTGGGTTATGATTACTATGCTTGGCTTACCGGATTAACAGTATTTGACGGCTGGATCGGCGGCGGTTCATATTCTAGAATATCCCATCCTACCTACATGCAATTCTTTGTACATGGATGCGCTGTTTGTAACAATACCAATCATGATATGGCACGTTTCTCCCAGCACCGCAGGTGTACCTTTTGTATGTGACTGACCCGTTCCAACGCCGTAGGAGGAGTTCCGACAGCCGTCCGGAACCGGCACCCAGAACTGCGGAGACGGCCAATTCATCAATTCCCTTCTGAATACCAGGTAGGTACGTTGACGAGGAACTGCCAGCGCATCTTGCTACGTGACACCACAAGCAGCCATTCAGAAGCTGGCCGGGGCCTCACCGACAACGGATTGCGCGTGTAGCAGTTGTTCAGTAGGGCTTGTGAGAGGAGCGTGCTGTACGACGCCAATCCCGAGACTTGTCTTGTCCTACCCACGGGCTAGAGGTAGTAGCTGTGAGAGGACGGCCAGGACCTGGAGGGTGATTGTATTGTTGCGGCTGGAGAATGAGAGGTGGCTGTTTTGTGATTACATGTACCTAGTAGGTGTCGATAGATGCATGTGATATATCGATATATGAGGTACCTACCTTATGTAGGGGCCCTGCTCTCTGGAATGGGCTATGGAAGATGTCCACTGCTGTCGGGTTCCAAATTGTCAGGATGCTCCAACAGTAGTACTCACTGCAATAATCTATACACCCATGTACGGCACATGTTGACTCCCTCTTCCTTCACCTGGATTTCACCATCTCCACGGCGTTTGCGTGCTGCGCGCCTAGGATTCGTAGATCTCGAAATCTCACCCGTCCACACCAAGAGGTGAATGGCGTGCAAGGACGTGCACCTTTGCTTGAATACTAGTACCTTAGGTAATCCCTTATGTGCCTTATGTATTATCACGTCGTCTTGTCTCTTAGCTGTACGGATGATATTACTTGTTGACCCCCATCAGCTGCGTTGTTATGCCAGGTACCGCAACAGTACATACTACTACTACTACAGTACTACTACCTAGGTACGACGCCTCGAGAGTGTCTGGCCAGCGCGGAGGGGAAATCGGAGTGCATATTGATGCCCTTGGCGACGTCAACGACAAAGCGGCCAACCACGGAGCCGCGATAGGGGCCGCCGCTCTCCGCTGTTCGGCATTGACGGCCCCCTTTGGGGTCGAGGCGCTGAATCACTACTACTAAGATACCAACTGTAGTCGATCAAGTAATCAATCCATCAATGAGATGGATGATACATAGCGTGCCAGGTAAAGGTGCTAAAACCTGCCCTGCAGCGGCTCGTTTTGGGCCTTCATCAGCGGTGTGATGGGACTGTGCGCGTCTCATTCATAGGTAGGTACTCCATGTAATTGAGTGTTTCTGAGCGTCAAAGTGTTGGTGGCTGCGCCAGAGTCGGGAGAATGCCCGTACGTGTGGCAGCAGCACCACATGTCCCGAGGTCCTGTTTCGGCTACAGCGATCCAGACGATACCGTATAGGTACTACCTACTCATTGGAACAGGTCCATACTATTACCACCTGGCGTTTCTTACCTCAGTGCCCAGGTACATTACATAGCAGCTTGGGCGCATCATGCATGCTGCCAATCGACATTCATTCCTTCGATATCGCGGGCATGAGCACGAGACCAAGCATCGCGAGCTGGCTCTCGTACCAACACTGTAGCATCAAGTAGCGTCGGAACTTGCGCGTTTCAGGCTCCAAGCCCCTAGCCCACTGTAGCCCACTGTTGCCCACTGTTGCCCACTGTAGTCCAGCACGTCAGTGCCTCGTGCCGCCTGTTATCGCGGTGGCTGATACCGCGCTACCTCGTGAGTACTTGTGCGGCACCTGGCGGCTGGACCTCAGCTGTGTGCCTCCGGCTCTAACAACCCCGGCTCTCTCCAAAACCTTAATCAGCATCAGTCTTATGCTGACGAGAGAGAGAGAGAGAGAGAGAGAGAAGAGAACCTCGAAGCATCCAAGTTTCACATTTCGAATTGTCTTTCTCCGTTCCCCAGACCTAAGCCGTCCTTGAGCCAGCATCTCCGTCTCCCGCGGTACTACATGTTAGTACTTGCGGGCTACTTACCTCAAAGCTCACCGCTTGTAAGGGCATCGGCACACCTTATAGCACTTTACGCGCTGGCGGATGTGTGACGAAAGGGCGCTGTAAGAGGCAAAAGAGGTCCACGGTACCTGACCCGATAGCGCTCCAGCTTCCCCCTTCAGGGTACCGGCAGTACTTGTACAGTACCTAGGTTACCTACAGCACGCAGCCCACTCCCCTGGCCTCTGGCCTCCAGCCGCTATCACGGGGTCGGACGGGTGCCGGGGCGAGTGACTCTGTGCTAAAAGGAGCTCGCGTCCTGTGACGATACTCGTCTCCACAGACTTTATCGATTCGCAGTCGGTGGCTGCAGCTGGGAATAGCAGCACAGCACAGCACAGCACAGCGCGGCACGGCACGGCACTCTGTCCTGTTGTCGTCCATCTTCCCCGACTTCTGCGTCTCCTCGTCCGCCTCGCCGTCCTGGGCACTGCGATGCTGTAACGCTGCTGCTCTGCCCGTTCGTCCTCTCGTTGGCCCGCCGAGCCCATCAAGGCCCTTTTCATCCCATCTGCTCGCGCTTCCTCCCATCCCCCCCCCTCTGCTGCCTGGCCAAGCTAGCCCAAGGTTGCCTTCATCCGCGGACCACGATTGACCAGTCATCGGCCTCAGGAGCCGTCCGGATTGACTGCATCGCATCCGCTGGGAATTGGGTTGGATTTCCGCTGGCTGCCTTGCTGCCCGTATCGCCCGGCATCAGTCTGCCTCGAAGCGCGAGCGCCGGCCTGGACGGGCCTCTCATCCCTTACCAACACGACAAGCTCTTGGAGTCGACGCTCACGTTCAACGATGGAAGAGCAGTCTCAGTTCCAGCCCGACACCCCCATCCGAGTTTGATCGACCGCCGCCTGCTTGTTTGCTCTCTCCTGCTTTGGGAGAGCCGATATAAGCTACGAAGCACCCCATCCCAGCCTCTTACACCCCTTGCCTTCCCTTGACCAGATATGCATCAGCAAGCCCGTGTGCCCCCGAGGCTCGCCTCGCCGGCGAGGTCACCCATGCGGTCCAACAGCCTACGAGAAGGTATGGTGGGATCTCGGCCGCGCGCGGGATCGAACCTCTCGACCCGGGAGTCTGCGAGCTCGCCAACCATGGAACAGCCCGGACCCCCGGCCGAGTCAATAAAGAAGTTGGATCAGATTGTCCAGGTCCGTTGGATTGAGTGCTCTCTGTCCGAGATATACCTGCGTATATGAAGCTGACTTGTTTCGTTTCTGGCAGAATTTCCACACCAAGATTGCTTCGGTCGTCGTCGCTTCGCGTATGAAGGTCAAGCCTGTCCACGGCGCCAACGGAGCGCCAAGAATCAACAAATGGGTACGTTGCGGATTGCTTGTGAAGATGGAAGAAACTGTCGGGGTTCTGACATGATTACAACACAACAGTTTCAGATCGAAACCGAGGAAATTGACGATTTCAAGGAAGAGCTGAGGATATGGAAGGCCTGCGGCAGCCTCGAGAACCACCCTCCGCCAATGATCATCGAAGTGTATTTGGATGCGTCGACGCTCAAGGAAAGCCAGAGCCTTGTCATCATTGACGAGGACGGCAAGCGCTGGGACGTCATAGAGCAGCTCACCGCATCGACATCCTCCAATGACAGCGACTCGCTCACCACGATCCGAAAACCCACCGAGGTGATACTCGAACGATGGCGGGTGGAACTCAAGGGCATCACCGACAAGCCCGTAGACGACTTTGGACCGATCCTGCCGACCATCTACAAGAAGGCCATTGTCTTCTTCCGATCCCTCTTCGTCGCCACAAAGCTACTCCCCGCCTGGAAGTTTGCCAGCCAAGGCGCCGTCAAGAACTCTCACCCTGCTCTGATCCCTCAGTGCCGTATCCGAATGTCCGACCCGGACAGGTCACGGCCCGACCTGTTGAAGAATCCGATCGATGGGAGGAGGGATGCAGTCACAGAGTACATGTTTGGAGACCTCGACGTGCCTGTGGGGAGGCTGTGCACATCCGTGATCTATCGCAATGACTGCACGTTCCGCGTTGACGACTCAGAGTCCCTCCTGAGCTCCCGCTTTATGGGAGTAGACGAAAACTTCTTCAAGCCATCATTGCCCCAGCGACACATGGCCGAGGTAGGCTCGCTGCGGGACCACCGCCGGGGAGTGAGCGTGAATGACGTTCACCAGACATATGGTAGCCTGTCGACATTCCACGGTGATGGCCCCATGGGAACAAGTCCCATTTCTGCTCTTCGTGCTGTTAAGCCGCCCGGTTCAGACACGAGCTCGCCTCCGGCATCATTTCCTCACCAGACCGATCCGGGAGCTGCAGTGCCTCATTCACTGCCCATGTCAGGGCGAGCGTCTGCGGCGAGACCCGCGGTTCGGATTGGGGAGGACCGAAGAAGACCATCCATATCTTTCCAGCCATTCAAAGCTGGCTCGCTCTCGGGGTCTCCCGTTCCGCGGCAGAGCGACCCTGAATCGCCTGCGTCGCTCACCAGGCCCAGTTTGCCGTCTCTTCGACAGCCGGGGAACAGATCTTCGCTGACCGCGGGCATGCCGGCCTCCCTCCGCGGCGGGCCAGCCTCCGTCAACGCCACCGAGTCGCCCATCGCAGGATCCCCACGGCCCGCCTCGGCCAGCCGGTACAGCAGCAGCTTCACGCACCGCAGAGGTCGCCTGTCCATTAGCAGCACGAGCCGGGCGGGTGACGAGGAGCAGAGCAGCAGCGGAAGGCAGAGCTTAGCTTCCTCAACAGTGCAGCCAGGGTCAGGATTCCTCGCAGAGGTTGGAGCGGGAAGCTACAGCTCGCTTCAGACTGAGGAGGACGACATTTCCGACTTTCTAAAGGCACTGGACAGCAAGAAGACGCTCAAATCCTTCGAACCGACCAAGAAGGGAGAGTCTGCGACTAGTAGGACAGTCGCCCAGTTGTCCAAGTTCCAGATGATGAGGGAATCCAACGCCGCGTTGACCGAGTCCATGACTTCTTCCATGCAGCTCAACCGCTCCTCTACCGTTTCAAGCCGGCAGCTGGCGAATCTCACTGGCATCGGCGGGACGATATCGCTATCCACCTCTACCTCGCCCGGAAAGCCAGTGTCGCCGCACACGCCGCACACACCGGCAATTCCATCCCGCCTGAGCGAGAACTCGATTATCGATTATGCTCCGACTTACAAGCGGGTGGAACCGCCTGAGCGGGAGAATCAGCAATCTCGAACAACAGGAGGAACTCAAGGGCGGGGCACCACAACCCATGATGGAGTGACCGCGATTGATATCCCTCTATCCCCTAGACTGGACGTCTACCACCGCCGATCAAGCTCAGTCGCCCAGCAGGTTCGAACTGTGGCGGATGATGAAGAAGCTGACCTCCCGTTTGCTACGCACCGAAGCATCAGTCTCGGGGCCAACGACCGGGAGCCGCCGACGCTGAGCACACTCCTCGGCCGGCAAATGCGCTTGGAAGACGAGTGTTCCGGGCAGCAGGAAGAGGCGTCCAGCCCGCTTCGGCCGGCCACCGGCATTCAGACTGCCGAGTCGTCTGACGTGATACAGCGAGGCTCGGTGAGCGACACACCTCCCGATGGCTTCATCTCTTCGGCGCAACCGAGTTCTCCCTTCCAGCGCCGGCGGTATCCGGGCATGGCGAGCGGCCGCCGGAGCACTCCTCCGCACTCCTCCCGAGGCAGTTTCGCTGGGTCGACCAGTAGGCTTGGCCGCCCAGACGACGAGGCCGTTGGCGAGGAGCCGCTGGTGTTTACGCTCTCCGAGATGGACGCGCTGGGAAGGCGGAGCATGGAAGAAGGTCGCGGCAGTGGATCCGTTGACCGACCATCCTTTGAGCCACGAGGCACGACTCGAAGAGGATGGGCCGAGTGATTGGCACGTCAGAGGACATGACAAAACCTTTGTTCCCATCAAGCCAAGACTAACTGACTGACTCGATTGATTCGTTACACAGATTGTTGATAGATTGGTCATCTTTTGCTTCTCCAAAACCCGCAGTGCCGGGAAATATTCTCTTTTTTCTTCTGGAGACAGCAGCTTGTTTTAACGATTGATTTGGATATTTTGAATTGGCGGCGTCGACGGTTTCTCTCATAAACATCTTGCTTCATCCCCTCTCCTTTTCTTTTTTTTAATTTCCATCTGCTCTTTGTCATCTTTCCGCTTTGCTTTCTTATATCATCCTTTATCTTTTCTTTGGGCAGTGGTGACTCAAGAAGCCCCCACGACGGCATGGGTGCTTGGAGTTGCACCTTCATCATGCTCTATCGACTTTCTTCATCCTTTCTCCTGCTTGACTGGCGAGCGGTTTTGTTTATTTCTTGCTGTGTTTCTATCATTATCTACGGCCAGGGAGAGAGAGAAAGGATGTGTGTATATATCGTCTGGTCAATGACGGAATTGGTTGGAAAGGCACCACTGGGGAGACAGATGGTTTCTGGCAATGGTTTTCTTCTATTTTGGATCTACGATGAGTGCTGCATTGGAGGGCATATGGAGCCTCGAGGCAATGTACAAAGTAGACGGTTTCTATCGAAAAAGCTGGGATTCAGACTCTTTCACGTGATGGCTCATGGACATTTAAGACACAAAGTGTTGTTGACTGATGAGCTGTATGCTTATACGTGATATGAAGGATCCTACGGATTGGGCTTACGTACTTGTTCCTCTAGCATCTTTATAAAGACCTTTCGCGGCCTACGAAGCAACAATCTGCCTAATTCTCCATTATACGACTAACAACGTGAATGCTAGGTAGGGAGCCAGCCCAGGCGTCGACACTCCATGTCCTGCGAATTCAACCTTATGTATGTATGGATCGACACGGCGAGAGGAGGGCGATTGAGATTGAGGGACGCGAAGGAGTGGCGTAGGAGTGGCGCGGCCAACCACGTAATCAGATGCTGAGCCTCTGCAGGAAGAGCTTCCTTTCTACCTAGTACCTACTAGCAGACCGCTCTCTGGATATTGGAAGAGGAGTCTAATACAAGTCTCTGCCTATTCAGATGATCATGATGCTGTTTTATTTTTTTTTACTAGGATTAGAGTCGTGAAACAGGTGAAAAAGCCTACGGAAATGCCCTACCTTATAATAGGTAGGTACGATATGCTTGTTGAGGGACTTACAAAGAAACGGTCCATCTGCTGGCAAGAGGTACATGTACAGAGATGCTGCGGGTACGGAGGCCTGAAAGCCTTGCCGGGGGATGACGAGGCACGCCGCCTTAACACTGCGTATGAAGTACTGCAAAGAATAGCCAATGCTGCAGACTGCAGGCTGCGTGAACCCATCCATGTGCTGCATTCGCCGCAATACAAGGCACACGTACCCTGCCATTGGATCCCTAGGAACAGAGACAGAGCTTCCGCTGTCGCAACTCCAATACCCAAAGCGGCACAAACGAGGAGGTACTGCACTGTATTGCATCACAGGTACCTGTACCTCTGTACGTTAGTAAGTACCTGTACCCGCACCTGCCTGTCCATGCGACCGCCAGCCAGGGCCTTACGACTTAAGCTTAGCACCTGCTGCTCCAACCCAGACTCGACAAACTCCCCACGATCCTCTCGCTCCTCTTCCACAACTTGGCACTCCATCGTCGACTTGCTTCGTCCTCGATCGATAAAACGATTTCTTTTTCTCCTCCGTCCGTCCGAACATTAATCACCGATTCTCCCTCCTGCGACTTCCCGCGATCGCATCTCGAGCAGGTGCCTTTTAGCCTCCAGCGTTAGCACCTCGAACAAACAACGTCATACCTCTAGAACTAGTCGTCAGCAACAGCAGCAGCAGCAGCCATGTTCCGAGCGGCGGCGGCTGGGCCGTTTGACGAGGTCGTCAGTAAGTTTCTCAGCCTCGCCGCCAAAGGGAGACGCCTTTTAGCATCGGAAGAGCTTCCATCTGCGTCTTCATTTCCCCCTGTTCCGCTTTCGCTAACGGCATCCTCGCAGCCAAGGCGACTGACGAGAACCTGACGTCGGAGGACTGGGGCGCCATCATCGAGGTATGCGACAAGGTGTCTGGCGACCCCAACGGTTCCAAGGAAGCCGTCCAGAGCATGATCAAGCGACTCGCCCATCGCAACGCCAATGTCCAGCTCTACACCCTCGAGGTTTGTCCATCTGTCCATCTGTTGTCCCCCCATCCCTTCTGATCTCCCCCGCTCGCAGCAGCGCCGAGGCCGAAGAGGCAATTGAAGAACACGCAAACTAAATTCCTCTGTCTTCCAACCAGCTTGCGCACGCCCTCTGCCAGAACTGCGGCAAGCAGATGCACCGCGAAATCGCCAGCCGTGCCTTCACCGAGGCCCTGCTGAAGCTGGCAAACGACCGCAACACCCACCAGCAGGTCAAGAGCAAGATTCTCGAGAAGATGCATGAGTGGACCGACATGTTCAGCAGCGACGCCGACCTGGGCATCATGAGCGACGCCTTCCACAGGCTGAAGCAGAGCAACCCCTCGCTGCAGCCGCCCAGCGCGCCTCGGAAACAGGGCCTGACCGACCAAGACCGCCAGAAGGAGGACGACGAGCTGCAGATGGCTCTCCGGCTCAGCTTGCAGGATGAGGAACGCAAGAAGCCGGCCCAGGCCACGCCCGCCTCACAGGCCTCATCCAGCAGTCAGCAACAGCAGCAGCAGCAGCAGACTACTCCTGGGTCTACAGCGGTGCCTTCCGGTACAACGGCTGCCACGGTCAGCAGGGTTCGCGCCCTCTTCGACTTTGTGCCCACCGAGCCCGGCGAGCTGGAGTTCAAGAAGGGAGATGTCATTGCTGTGTTGGAGAGCGTGTACAAGGACTGGTGGCGCGGCTCACTTAGGGGAAAGACGGGTATCTTCCCTCTGAATTACGTCGAGAAGCTGGCGGATCCTACGCCCGAGGAGATGCAACGGGAGGCTCAGATGGAGGCGGAGGTCTTTGCCGAGATCAAGAACGTGGAGAAGCTGCTTACGCTGCTGAGCGCCTCGAACACGGGGCCGCGAGAGGAAGACAATGAGGAGATATCGGTACGCATTGCACTCGCCTCGCAACCAAGGCCGTTGTTTGGCTAACATGGTTCATGCAGAAACTATATCATCAGACGCTTGCCATCCGTCCAAAGCTGATCAAACTGATTGAAAAGTACTCGCAGAAGAAGGGTTCGCAATGTCCTGTTCCTTGCGTGTCGTTGAGCACGGACTAACAATCAACGCAGATGACTTCACCCAACTGAATGAGAAATTCATCAAGGCGCGAAGAGACTATGAGGCGCTTCTGGAATCGTCCATGTCTCACCCTCCTCAGCACAACTACCAGCAGTATGCTATGCGGCCTGCTCAGGCGTATCCTCCCCCAGGAGGCAACTACCCGCCCCAGCCCCAGCCGCAGGATCCCCAGAGATTCTACACTCCTGGGCCCCAAGGTTCGATTCCACGCACGCTCTCGCACTGATCAAATCGATCCTTCTGTCAGCTCGAGTCGCTAACCGTTGGCATAAGGCCGTCCACAGTTTCAACAGACTTCTTCCCCGCCACCTAACTTTCCGCAGTCTGGCGTTCCCCCACAGGCGTCTTCCCACCCAGCGCCCTTTTACGTAGCAGGGACCGAGGTGCCAACTCATGCTGCTGCTGGCCAGCCGCCTGCTCCTCAACAGCAGCAGTATCCTCCGAGTGACCACGGTCCTAGAATACCCGCCAATGGCAACCAGCCTCCTCCTCTCAACACTTCAGCATCGCCGTCCCAGAACTTCAATCCTTTCAAACAGCCTCCGAACCAAGGGCCACCAAGCACCCATGGCGCCCAGGAACTAGCCACGTCTGTCTACGACTCTCCCATTGCTCCCAACAACCCGACCTCTGCCGCTACGTACTCCAGCTCCGTCTATTCTCAAGAAGGCCCTGGGATACCCCATCCCAAGGACAATGAGCCAATAGCTCCATACACCACTCAACAACCAGCATATCAAAGCTATCAGCCTCCTCAGCAAAACTCCTCTGCTCCCCCCAACCAGGCGTCACAACGCCCTCCCAACGTCATGAGCCCGCCGCCTCTGCAGCCCAGCGGCGCTGCGTACGACGCCCGCCAGGGGCTACCCAGTCAGTCAGGCCCTGGTTCAGGGCAGCAGTACAGGCCGTATGTGCCCCCCGGCTCGTCGGAACCTAGTGCTCCGGCTCCAAACGACTACTATCGCCAATCCGGCGTCTACTAAGTTGGTAATGCGTGTACGTGATTTGGATGGAGAGCGCGGCATGTTGATGAGTGGGATAATGACAACAAAACAATATGGGAGCGAGTTTCAATGTCTTTTGTATCTCTTGACGGGGAAGAAGGATGTGTCTTGTTGTTGCTTCAATGTTTCTGGTTATTACATGAATGAATCGTTCCACCTAGCGTGGATATGGATGGAGGAAGACGATTGTAGCAACATCCTCAATTTAAAACTACATTATCCTCTGGCGTGTTGATGAGCGTTCAAGATGCATTGTAGATAACCCCGTAGGCATTGCACAATCCGAAAGCAGTCTATACACTCGATATACTGTCTGATGATGCTCTATATATCCCAGTCAGAGCCAAAAGCGACAATCTCGCCCAATGCCGTGATATCATTACGTGTTCATACAATCTTTTTTCTCATAAATCATAACACTCATACCAATGCTTTTTGCAATTTCACCCCTCGTCCTCCCCTTTCACCTTACCCCCCTAATACTACCAGCGTCTCCCATACGCTCCATCCTCCACCCTCTTCCCCGCCGTCTGCTTCACACCCTTCCTCATCAAATTCGCCGCCGCCGCCCTCCTCCTCCTCTCCTCATCCCCATCATAATGCACACCACCACCACCACCCGCCCCAGCATCATACGCCCCGTCATTGCCAAAGCGAGACGTGTGAATCGGACGAAACAGATCAATGATTTCGTTGAGCCCCAGCTTCAGCGCGCCCTTTTTGGAACTTCCCTCAATGGTCTGCTCGGCGAGGAGCCGCTTCTTGTCCTGCAGGTCGAGGATGCCTTCTTCCACGGTTTGCTTGACGGTGAGCTTGTAGACGACTACGTCGACGGTTTGGGTGAGGCGGTGGACGCGGTCGATGGCTTGCTCCTCGACGAACTATTGTCGTTTTACGATATATATCAGCATCAAAGAACACCCTCATCATGAGAACAAAAAAAAGTTAAGAGAGTGGGAAAGGGAGGGAGGTGTCTTTAGAAAGACTTACAGGATTCCAAAACGGCTCAATGATGATGACCCTCGTCGCGGCAGTCAGGTTCAGCCCCAGGCTGCCGCACTTGAGGCTGCACAGCAGCACCCGCGTCTTCTTGTCCTCGCGCAGCCGCCGCAGGCTCTCCTCGCGCGCGTCGTTGCGCATGCTGCCGTCGTAGCGCGTGAAGGCGAAGCCCTCCTTGCGCAGGAACGGCTCCACCAGGTCCAGCATCGAGGTGAACTGCGAGAAGACGATGAACTTGTGCTCGTGCGCCTCGGCGCGCAGGAGCTTGGTGAGCTCCCGGATCTTGGCGGACGAGAAGAGGGGTTTCTTGCTCGTGGAGAGCTCGTTGCCCTCTTCTTCTTCTGACTCCTCCTCTTCATCGTCCTCTTCTTCTTCTTCCTCGTCCTCGTCTTCATCGTCCGACGACGTCGCTTCCGAGTCTTCAAACGAGGCCTCTGAATCCTCTTCAGATTCAGAACCAGCTTGGGAATCGTCGTCAGAAACGGAAATGGCTCGTCTAGAGTTCGTCGGGCCGGCCTTTTTCTTCTTCTTCTCGCCAAGCGTCTGCGCCGCAAAGCTCTTCGTCATGTCAGCAATGGACAACAGCGAATCCTCGTCCGACGACGCCTCGTCCACAGACTTGTAGCCTTTTTCCTTTCGGGCCACCGAATCATCCACCACGAAGCTGTCGAGGTTGCTTGCGCCTTCATCCCCATCCTCATCGTCCTCGGTCTCCGAGTCCTCTGACCCCAGCGAGTCTCCGCCACCCTCTGCGTTCTCGTCTTCCTCCCCTCCAGCCTTGCCAAGGCGTAGAGCTCCCCGTTCGCTGCCCGAGACGAGCCAGCTACCTTCCTCTTCCTCCTCTTCTTCTTCTTCGTCGTCGCTGTCAATGACGGCTCTGCGATTCCGATTACGGCGAGCCTTTTGCTTCGGCTCTTCATCTGACTCGTCTGCCTGGCTGGTATCGTCTTCATCATCACTGTCAATGACAGTCTTGCGGCTTCGTGGTCTACGTGACTTCCGTCCGGATTTATCTTCAACCTCCTCTGCCTTCTGACGTCTGCCATGCTTCTGGCTTGCTCCCTTCTTCTTGGACTTGGAGGTCGTGGATTTTGTAGTCTCCTTGGCTGGCTTCTTCTTCTTCTTTGCATTGTTGGTCTCCTCATCACCGCCGTAAAAGTATGCCAAATCTGAAGCACATTCAGCGCAGTTGTCGCTGCCAGCTTGACGCTCCTTCTTTTCAATCGGCCGACCGCAGATGCTGCATTCTTTAGTGCTGATGCCCATACCAGAGAGTAGATCGGCCACCGAATCGACATCGGTATCCTGCTGCTTCGTGCTCCCAACATCTGTGGACATTGCATCCTTGTCCTCCCCCAGCTTGCCTTCGAGCAGCTTCGGGTGGTTGCAGGCCTGCCTCAAGCGAAGCAGCAGCGTAAAGGCGTTGGCGTAGCTAATCTTCTCCTTCATCATCCTCGTCATGCTCTGATCGGCACGAGCCTCCAGCTTTTGATAGAACTTGCGCTCCGCAGGAGACAGCTCCGTGGCGACAGTGACCACCTTGCGGTTCGTGTGTCTGAACCCGCCGATCGGGGCTGCGCCCTCGCCTGACGGCACTCCGCCAGGCGTGAGTGCGCCATCGACTTTCAAGATCTCCTTTGTGCGCCTCTTCATAAAGCAGCGCAGGAAGCTGTGAAGCCTCCGGAGGGCGATGTGGCCTTTGCCGCCCTTCATGGGAAGCTCAATCTGCTCTTTCCACGCCTTGATGTCGTCGTAGGGCCTGATGCGGAGAAAGCGGACGAGTGACTGCAGTTCCTCGAGATTGTTCTGCATGGGTGTTCCTGATAGGCACCAGCGATACTCGGATCGGAGGGCGTAGCAGGCCTTGGTGGCCTTTGCATTGCGGTTCTTGATGGTGTGCGCCTCATCGAGGATGAGTCGCCACCAGTGAAATCCAAAGCAGCCCATCTGGTCATCGCCCTGCGACTTTCCGTGTTCGGAGACGAGGATCTGGTAAGTCGTGATGACAACATCGTACTGCTTCAGGTCTTTGGAATCCTTTGTCCGTTGCGGTCCGTGATGTACCAGCACCTTGAGCCCCTGGGCCTTGTCGACCCTTTCGTTGAGCTCCGACTCCCATTGCCTGATCAATGCCAGAGGTGCAACAACGAGGGTTGTCTTGTCGATGCCCGAATAGTGCTTCTTCCAACCCGGTTCGTCTTTCCTTGGCTTCTGATTGAGGAGAATGAGGGCAATCGACTGCAGCGTCTTGCCCAGCCCCATGTCGTCGGCAAGCAGTCCGCCCTTGGGCACGGTACCCTTCTTGACGGGGCCAAGCTCGCGGCCACGCATCCAATTGACGCCCTCTACCTGATGAGGGAGCAGCTGCACCTTGAGACCAACCACGACGCCGTCCTTGGCTATGACCTTGGGGTCCTTGGGCGCTGTGTCGGCCTTGGGCTTCTTTTCCTGTGCTGACGGCGCTTTTTTCCCATCAGACTCGACGCCTTCGTCGTCATCGCCCTCTATGCCTCCCTCCAGCAAGGCTTTCAATTCCTCATTAGCCTTTGTTGGGTCCGTATAGAAGACCTCGTCTCCTCCATACCGCGCTGCTGCTGCTGGTGGTGGTATAATCCTCGAGGCCGCAGTCGTCGTCGTCGTCGTCGTCGTCGTCGAACTGGATGTAGGTGTCGACCCGACAGAGCTGAACATGGGCGGCGGCGGCGCCTTTCGAGCCTGATACGTCGGCGCCCTGGGGCCGGCAACCGGGGTGTCGAGATGGTGCTCGGGGCGCGTCTTCTGACGGATGAAGATGTCGGCTTTCTGCTTACGAGAGGACATCAACTTGGTCGGGTGCCCAAAGGTGGGATGCGTCGTTGCGGCAGCGCTGCTGCCTCCCTGGGCCGACGACGACGCCCAGCCGCCGATGACGGCCGAGATGTCCGTGTCGCTCTCGCCATCGTCGTCGGCGCGCTGCTTGGGCGCAGCTCGTTCCTTGACCATTGCTGGTGGGAGGGTTGTGTGTTGGTGGGATGGACTTGGTGATGGCGGGGCAAGGCTTCAAGGGTCCCCTCGTTGCTACAGATGTCATCGATTGGGCCTCGGCTTTGCGTCATGCGAGGGCTGGTTCTGAATCGAAATAGAAGAGTAATGAAAAAAATGTCAATTTCAACGGATGAAAGGAACAACCTTCGGGAGCGCCTTTATATAGGTAGGTAGGTAAGGTAGGTTCATGATACAGAGGAATCTGGTTGGGCTCTGACTGCTGCATTCACGCAACTCGTGCTGGTTCGAGACACGCCTCTTCACTCACACCCACTCCAATTCACTTGTCACAACTCGCGGAGGGACTAGAATGCATGCCAACACAGCAAATCAATGCCAGCCAGCCATGACATAATTGCCCCAGCAACTGACACACACTAAAAGACGCAGCCTAGCCAGACACTGTGGGCAGCAAGCGGATGCCTGCGGCTCACACAGTGTTTTACAGTCTGGGCTCGACGACTGGAGGAGTGGCCTGCCAGCACATTGATTGACTTGTTGGCTATCCTCAGCTAACAGTGGCAGCTCGGATTGGGTGGGAATACGTCTTTGTATCTGAATACAGTTGCAACTCTTGATTCTAATACCAAAGACCGATAGTAATCTTGATATGTAGCAAGAGGAATAAGTAGTATGTAAGGTAGCCGTCCAGTATACGATAGCCAAGTAGTATCTCGGGGACGCTGGTCAAAGGTAGGCAAGCCATCACTTGGTTGAATGCCAACAAAGTTGCATTGGACTATGCCTAAAAGCTTGAAATTTTCCGGCGAGAAATCTGTCTAAGGAGCTCATGACCCATAGACACGAGAAATGCAAATCACATCTCTAACCATTTATCTGCACTCCCACTCCGGGCCCATGTCCGTATCCCCATCTTCCTGCTAAAGCTCTTCTACCGGCCATTACGCTCGCCACCTCCACAAGCAACGTTTTTTTTTTCTCTTCTCTTCGTCAAAGGGGTGGGTTCTCAGAGCTTAGTAAACCAGCTTGAAGATGTCGTTGTTGACGGTGAAGCCAGTGATTTCGCCGCCAGGGCCCTGGGCGACGCTGACCTTGAAGTTCTGGACAAAGTTTATCAGGTTCTCGTCCTCGTCAACCTAGAACCGGCCATGTCAGTACTTCCCTTTCCCCCTGCACACAACACTCCCTCTTCTTTCTTCTTCTTCTCGAATTCGGTACCTTGAGCTTTCCTGTGACCAGGATCAGGAGATCGCCAGAGGCGAGCTGGGCGTCGAGGGTGGAGAGCTGGTGGCCGCTCATCTTGAAGGGGAGGCTCTACACGGCAGTTAGACATCTGCTCTTTCGGCGCATCCAAATCGCGGGGGGAAGTTTGTGTGTATGCGCACCGTCAGCTTCTCCAGGATAGCCTGGACACCCTCAAACTTCTGAGACTCGAAAGTCATGACAGAGTTGGCATTCTATTGCACCCCCCAACGTCAGCGGAAAACGATCCTTCTTCGCAGTATCGCCCAACAAGCTGGATAGTCGCAACAACAACAACAACGTACGTAGACAGCGGCGAGGCCCTGGATGTTGGTGCTCATTCCCATGAAGAAGCCATTGACGAACTGCTCTGCCACAGGAGGAAGTTTTCCGCGTTAGAAAAACGAAGCTTCCCCAAGCCCCCAAAGCTGCAGGGCGACAACGGCGCAAAACCGGGGCCGCGAAAGGGTTACATACTGGCGATATCCTCGACTGTTTATGCGGGCATGCGTGATTAGTACCGCTCCTGGCGCGCATCAGTGGCGGGGTTGATGCATGTCTTACTGGACATTTTGGCGGTTTGTGTGCTTTACTCGGAAGAGGGGGGGGCGGAGGAGGAGAAACTGGCGAGCGAGTGTGAGCGTTTTTTTTCGGTATTACAGGCGGCGACCGCAGCTGGACGAGCAGACAGGAGATCGGGAGAGACGAACGGTGGAATAGCGGCGGGATGTTGTTTCGCAGGTGAGTCTGTCGCAAAATGTTGCCCAAAGGCTTTCGGGGGACGATAGACGTTTTGGAGGATGGAATGGTGGGGTAGGGAGAGAGGGACAGCACAGTGCCAGCATCATTTTTTCCCTCTCGCGGGCGCGAATAATGCGGCTTATACGCATACAGCTCTCCGGTAGCTGGGTAAGCGCATAGTGGGTAGGCATGGAGCTCTAATAAGGGGGTTCATGCCCTTAAACGGATGCAGCTCCATATCTTGAGCCGCAGAAATTTTGACGGCTTCATCTCAACACTTCCTTTCCACACTCTGGGTTCCAGTAGGGCCAGAACACACAAAGTTCCGATTTTGCAATCACTTTTCTAAACCTCCATCGTGCAGATACTCGCTGATGGATAGACGGTGACCCATATGGTAAGTCAATTGGCAGCATCTGGTGCTCGAAAACCAGCTCAACTCCCTCTTCTTCTATCCTGATGATAAAACTTAAGAACGGCCAACTGAACTTCATGTTGAATTCTTAATCACCAACTTTTTTGTCTGACACACATACACACACTCAACTTTCTCTTAATCATGATCCTTTCCACATCTACTATGCTCTGCACTCCAATGTCCAGCCGCTAACAGGATCACAAGACAGGTTTCCATACGCTCCTTCACGCCACCCGTTTATACAGCACTGTTCCCTCAGGCATGGGATCCGTCCGACTCTCCATGAGCACCTCAACCCCCCACGCCTTGCCATCCGCGCCCACCTTGAACTCTGCGGCGTAAAAGTCCTTGAACTTGGTGCCGCTGTATATCGGCGCATCTAGGTACGCGATCCAATGGTCGGCGCTGACATGGTAAAAGTGCATCGAGTACTTCCACGTCGTCTCCGGGCGATCGGCAACGAGAATCGTCTCGCCCGGCTTATCTGGGTGAGGCTCCTCTCGAAGCGTAATCCTGCCGTAGCCCCGGTCGTAGTATGTGCCCGCCAATTCACTCGTGTTCAACGTAGACGGCAGTACGGGATCCGGCCTCTCGGGGTAGAGCACGTCCACGGCGTTTTCGTACAGCCAAGTCAGCTTGTCCCGGCCCTCCTTCCACCTAGTAGAGAAAGCATTGTTAGCGACTCCATCGTACGCATCTCAGCGATGTGCATGTGAAAACTCACTTCTTGGCGTAATCAAAGCGATCCTCCTCAGGAACACCAAGCTTGTCGTCAATGAGCTTCCACCCAACAATCTCCTCCACGACATGGCACGTCGCGGTGTTGCCAAACACAACCACCCCGTACTTGGCCTCGGGGAACCAATACACCTCGGTTCCGTAGGCGTGCATCCCTCCGGAATGGGTATACACCACATGGCCCTTGTGCAGAGTTCTGATCCAGCCAAGCCCATACAGCTCCAGGTCGTAGCCCTTGTCGGGAGAGCCACCCCAGAACGCCCTCGGCGTCCGGATGTCCTTGTGAACCTCCTCGGACAGAGGTCCAGTCTGCTGGATCAAGCTCTTAATCCATTTCGCATAGTCCAGAGCATTCGATATAACAGATCCCGCACCACTGACCTCCGTCAGGGTCATGTACGGAATCTCCTTATACTCCCCCCTCTCATCATCCCACGCATACCCCGACGCCATATGCCCAGTCGCATCCAAAGCGCTCTGCAAATCGAAAAACGTCGAGTCCATTCCCAACGGGCCCCAAATCACCTCCCTCAGCACCTGTCCAAGCCACTTCCCCGTCACAGTCTCCACGACATGCGACAGCGTCGCATACATCAAGTTGCAGTAGTAGCTCACTTGCCTCGGCTCCGCCGCCAGCGGCAGGTTCCTCAGGTTGCGCACCACGTCCTTCGGCGTCGTGGGCCTGCTGCCGCCGTCACCGTTACCGTTACCGTCGCCATCCACGACGCTGCGAAGCGACCCGTCGTGCCGCGGCATGCCCGTCCGGTGGCTCACGGCGTCGTCCAGCGTGACGTGGTTCGTCGCCCACTCGTCCTGCAGGACAAAGTCGTCGCGGATGATGGATGAAATGGGCGTCGACCAGCCTCTCGAAAACAAGGCTGAGTGGTTGCCCGAGTGGATGAGCGCCGACAGGACGGCTGCGACGTGAGCCTTTGTCGTTGACGCACCGTACCAGAGCGTCTCGGGGGTAGCTGGGACATCTGGCAGCGTCGCATATCCATAGCCCTATATTCATACACAGCATTTAGAAACAGTCCTCGAATCGCTACCAAAAGGAAAGAGAAAAAGAAAGAAAGAAAGACAACATGACACAAATATCACCATATGCCACACAGCAATGAGATAATAAGAAAAGGGACTCAAAAAGGGGAAAGGAAGAAGAAGAAGAAGAAAACGCACCTCGGCATACACCTCATCCCCATCAACAACCGCCACCGCAATACCAGGAACCTTCCACTTGTCTAGCTGCTCCCTCACAAAATCCCCAAACTCCGCCGTCAGGGGATTCTCCTTTGTAGCAGCAGCAGGCTTGTGCTCTGACGAAAACGGCTTCTGCTCGCTCCGTTGCCGCGCATCGACCTCATGGGAGTAGTATGCCGCTGCTGCCTTTACATGATCCCCGGCAGCAGATCCCACCACGGCCAAGGCGAGAAGGGCTGGGAAGAAGCGTGATAGTCGTCGGCCCATGCTTCCTAGGAGGTAGTCACTTGCTCCAAAGGAAGACCTATGGTGTGACTTCTTGTGGTTTTACTTTTTTCCCTTTAGAGCTCTCTTCTTCTCACAGCTTTGAAAGTGCAAGTTCACGGCCATTTATTCCTACCTGAGAGTGACTTTACAGATGCCTATATAGAAGCTGGCGGCTGTAGTACCCCGCGCCTTGCGTACACCTCGAATCCTTCGCACGGCATTCACGCCGAGATGACGAACAGACTCGCTGTGTGTCAAAACCAGACATACCTGCTGACACAGCACGACGATGAAAATGCATCAGATTCGTAAGCTCATCGAAACACTGCTTGATCATTCCACAGAGTTCTGAATATATAAGAAGGGTACAAAACGGGAGGGAAAAAAGGGTCCGGCGCGTCGACGCTTGATAGCATCAATCGCCGAGAAACTACGCAAAAAGAGAAGAAGAAATCTTGATTCCTGACGCACTCCTCTAACCGGTTTTTTCTCTCTTCTTTTTTCTCGAGTAACCCCAGAAATTATACCCAACCCTCTCGAGCAATCTCGTAGAGTCGTGTACTAAGAAAGCACTGGGTTGAGCAAAGCGCCGCTCGTTAGGTCATCGCTGTTGTCTATAGCAAGGAGAATGCAACTCCAGTCGACATAGCCCAGCTCCCAGCTTAGCAACCCACGTATAAGGTCTCATCAAATGCCGCCGCGAGAGCATCATGCAGCACCAACGGACATCTCGAGCCTCCAGGCGCCCTCATTGTTTCCCGTCCACATTTTTTGTTTGTTCCGACTCTCCCTTATACCAAACCAGTGAAGGAGAGAAAAAAAAGAAAAATCAATATATTTGGCTTCAATCGCATCCAGCGGATCGTTCGTACATCATGGTCCATTCCCAAAAGGGCGTGATGGTCAAAGACTGGTTCATTGTTGTTCGGTCAAGGCCGGCTCGCTCCTGATGCATTCGCTTGGTCATTCCAATAACAAAGTAGTCATGGGATGGATGGTATTTGGTCTGGCCAGATCCCCCTCCCAAGTTATAGTGTGCTCTGGCCATTGGCCGCTGCCACTACAGCTCCTCCTCCTCCTCCACCTTGATTTCTGGCTTCGTAGCGGCAGCAACTTCTTTGTCTGGAGAGCCAGATTTGCTGGAAACGGCGGAGCCTAGGGCAGCACTCAAGCCATGCGCAGCAGAGAATTTGTCTCCGATATTGCTCTGCTCGGCGCTCGGCCGTGCCTTTTTAAGCGGACTGCCAACCATTGCCGCAGCGAGGGAGTCGAAGTTTGGCTGCAGGCTCGAGTTTGGTGCTGCCAGAAATGCTGGATCGGCAGGAGAGTCGGTTCGTTGGGAGGTCTCCGGGGTGGAGTTCGCATCTGGATCGGCCGAATGTGCCCTCTTAAGCTGTTTGTGAACCATCATGTCAGTATCCGCCTCGATCAAGTGTTCAGGAGGGTTGGTCATACGTGTATGCGGTTGACGCCATCTGCCAGTTCGCCCTGGAATTTCACATCCTCTGGTGCCAGCTTGGTGCTGGTTTCTTTGTCCGCCACTTCCTCCAACTTGCCAAGGAACTCGCTTTCCTCCTCGTCGTCATCGCTGTCGTCGGCGGCGTTGCCGTTGCTCTTCTTCCTGGCCTTTCTCCGTCGTGCTTCTTCGGCTCCTTGGTCTCGGAAGGCAGAGAATCCAACTGTGCCGCCGGCCTTCAGGGGCCCGAGGTTGGAGAAGTCTATCTGGCCTGATCGCCGTTTGGCAGCGAGAGCAGTCGCCTGGGAGTTGTTCTTGTTCGACTGGAGGACGCCAATCTTTTGCAGTTGTCCTACGCCCGGTGTTAGTCGGAGTGAAAGCGAATATATAGAGCGCAAAGACGAGTGTAAACCACGAAGAAAGCCACAAGTAAGAAAAAGAAAAAGAGAAAAAAAAAAGAGAAAAAAAAGTAAAACTTACTTTCGCCACGATAGAAAAATGTAAAGGTGGCATAAGGCTTGTCAGGGCCGTCGATTCCGGTAACGGTCTGGGTGCTGATAGTCTTGGGATCAAGCGTCTTGGGCTTGGCAAAACTCGTCGTGTGCTCAACATCTGCGTCGATTCCGTTCCCATTCTCGTACTCGTCATCTCCGTCGTGTGCGTCGAATTGGGGAGAGTATTCTCCCTTCTTGATCTCGCCCGAAGCCAGGACGCGGAACATGGCCACCTTGATCTGGCCAGTCGCCTCGGGAGGTTCGTCATCGTCGTCAGACCATGAGTCGGAATCGTCGTAGACAGGCTCGATGGGCGAGGCCTCGTCGCCGTATCTCAGAGTGCTCTTGCGTCCATCGGGATTTGTGCTCGCGTTCCCCTGCAGGGTGGCAGCTTGTCGCCGCCTTCTTCTCTCAAACTTTTGGCGTCGTTTCTCGAGCTTTTCCGCGGCGTCGTGACCCTTGAGGTCCAGGCCGTTGAGCCAACGCTCGAGGCCAACCTCGCGGAAGAGGAACTCGCGCTCGGCCAGGCCGCCACCTTCGGAGTCCGGCACCTGGACCCAGCGGCTGTTGACCCAGGTCTCCTCGCCGGGACGGAGCAAGGTGGCCACCTCTTCCTTGGCCCTCCCATCAAAGTAGATGTAGGCGGCGATCGTCTCGTTCTCGGAGTTGGTCAAGGGCATGTAGGGAGCCACGGCTCCGGCGACCCTGCCTCGCTCATTCTGGGAGCCGGGGTGGAGACCGCCGACGAACTGCGGCTTCGGGTACGGGTTGGACTCGGACGGCTTGGGAGCCGAGTAGGGAATGGGCAGGCCGGGCGTCAGCAGCGTGATGGAGATGGCGAACTTTGCGGGCTCGGGCTTGTTGCCCGGGGCGAGCGTCGGCTGCGGCACCGGGATGTAGGTGCTGATGCGGGACAGCCTCGACTGCTTCTGGATGCCGTATTCGGGGAGCGGAGCCGAGTTGGCATGGATGCTCACCGCAATACCCTTGAAGCAGGGCATCGTAGCGGCGACGACGAGGGCTTTTGTACGTGGTGGCTGGCGGCTGGGCGGTCAAAGAGCTGGTGGTTGTTGGGGAGACGAGGGAGAGAAGCTGTCCAGAGCGAGGGCGGTGGGGATATGGAGGAGGCGGGCTAAGCTTTGGCGACTTTGAAGCTCCGGCGTTCACCAGCTATCCATCGCCTGTGTCGAGCGAAGTGGCGTGAGTGCGGGCGTCGACCTTGCGCACAGTATATGGCGGCAGGGGGGCAGGGCAAAAGCAAGACAAGAGTGCCCGAGTTGGACGTGAGGCTCACGATGGTTTCGACACGCAAAAAAGGAATCACAGCCAGGTGTTGTTCATGCCTCTGCCAAGTAGGTACGTAGGGTGCCGTAAATAAGCACCCGAGAACGGGCTTCGTCAAGTGAATCGACTTGATAGCAGGCTAACAATGGGGGGGATTTGCCGTGTCCCGCCGCAGCGGATCATCTCTTGGTCCGGGGCATGGAACCTGGAACTCCCCAAAATGGATCCCCAGCCCTCTGTTTATTGCATTTTTTTCGGGCGCCAGCCACTGGCAGCTGGCCAGGTAAGGGTGAGGTACCTTACCGTACCTTGTAGTAGCGGGAAGTACTCCTACAGGTTTATCCCGCTCACGCATGAATGCCACGGCATCAAGGCCAGCTCACCAGGTACAACAAGTATCGATTGTTTCCCACCGCACACTGGCGCATGTGCTGGCACTCACTCGCAGGCTGCTAATGCGCTGTTTGTGCCCTAATCTACAGGGGTTGAATGTCTGTCACTCCTCCCTTCCATTGATAGCGGAGTATTCCTGCAGCGCCCACCAGCAAACTGTCCCGCGTCCCGTGGCTGGTACCCGTGGGATCATGCAGCCTAGCAGCGCCACTAATACAGCACATCACTGGCAACGGACAGCCAAGCAGGTACCTTGGTGATACCCCTTCCATGGAGCCCCGACGCCGCTTCCCGCAGGGTCCCATGGGGGTATACTCTGTCTGTCTCTCAGAGCCTTGCTTAGGAACTGTACCGACGAGCTCGCACTTAGGTACCTACATGTAGGTATTGGCAGACAGACGCTTCGCAATTCAGGCCATGATGATTCATTTTGATCTGGACGAGAGGGGAGAAAGCAGGAGAGTTTCACCGAAGTTATCATGAACAAAGAGCATCCGGCGCTTGGAGCAAAAGTTACGATTGTTCTGCGTCATGACTCTGCCTAGAGCGATATCGCGAGCCACTTACTTCATGGACCTTGTCAACTGCACACTCGCTCAACCACACGGTGGCTGACTCTTCCCGCCAAGGGGACGTTAAAATAGAGCGTGGCTACCCAGCTCTCCAGCCTATCTTACCCACCTAGGTACCTACTTAGTAGCTATCCGCTTCATGTACTGATATTACAGTATGCCTCTCATAGCCATGTGGTTATCCTTTGGACTCAGGGTGATACATGTAGTTTTCCTGTCAGGGTGCCGGCTGGCATTTCAAGCAGAACTCTACTACTTGCCTTCTATAAAGATCAAATGAATAACAACAACAAAGAGGGAAGTAAAGTCTATGCAGCAAAGGAAAGAGAAGGAAAACCATCGCATTTCTTCAAGATTCGGGGTATCCAGATCAAGAGTGACGCCATGCCGCAGACGCAGTACAGTACTCGCTAATGCCACTACTCCAACCGTGACCGTGACGGCCTCTTTCGAACGCTGCCGCTTGCCTCTCCGCTGTAACTCGTCCCAATACCAGAATCGAGAGCCGACCTACCACCGCCATCATCATCTTCGTCATCGGCCTCCTCTCCAGCAACGGGAATCTCGTGGAGCGGCTGCTTGTGCTCCTCCTCATCCTTGACGTCTGGCTCATGCTTCAAGGCGGGCTGGTTCCCATAGGTAGGGAACTGTTGCGGGTAATCAGATCCGTCATCCCCTTCGTAGTCCTCGCCAGAATCATCAAAGTCAGAGAAGCCTTTGGTTGTAGCACGGCGTTGGCCCTTGTGGCCCTTGAGCTCCATGTTGCCGGAAGACGCGCCCAGCAGAGAACTCAGGACGGCCCAAGCAACGCTCATGAACGCGAGCTCGCAGACCCAGAACAGCATCGTAAAAGTTATAAATGTCAAAAGACGATAATGGAACATGAGCCATCGGAGGCCGCTGAGCTGCGCAGTCATCGTCAGGGAAGCGCTGTAAATCTGGATCCCCTGCCCCGCCTCCACCTCCACGTACGCCCACGAGGGTATAGCAGAGTCTGAAGGAAAGGCGACGCGTTCCGCCACCGGCACTTTCAATACGCAAGTCTGCGCTGCCGGAACGATCAAGTGATAGAGCAGGAACAGAATGCGAGAAGCTAGAGACACCACGGGATCAATGTATGGCAGCAGAGCCGGTCTGCGCGAGCTGAATAGCACGTTGCTCTGCTCAAAGTCCGAATGGTCATTGGCGAACCTTCTCGCGTTCGTGGCCAGCGCGTCGCTATCCTTTGCATCCAGCAGATATAGGCTGATCATAAAGTTCCCTCGCTCGACATTCGGCGGAGACCGCGGCATCGACAGGGTGACGGAGATGTCGTAGTCTTGCTGCGATTTCAGCATTGGCGCAGCGAGCGCCGCAACGCCGTATGGATGAGAGCTCAGACTAGAGTCGCCAAAATTGTTAGCGATGGGCGCCGTGAGGCATCGCAGCACGCAATCGGATTCTTCTACGCACCCATATTGCAGATGGACCGGCGTCGTGACAAACTGGTCGGGCACAAAGTTCTGGAAGAAGAGCACAGACGCAACGGCGGCCAGGCAGAGCAGCGTCACAGCTCCAGACACGAGCAGCACAATGTTGACGACGGCCCTTTGGACAGGCTTCGAGGTGACGACGCGCGCAGTCTCCTGGAATGTTTCCTGGCGCACACAGCAAGCATTAGCCCGGGGCAAGAACAGCGCTTCGCAAGGGGGAGAGTAGGTATTACCATGGCTATCTTTGCCCGGGATGATCACTCCATAGACGATGCAAGCTTGATTCTAGAAGGGAGAGTCAATTTCCCCATGAAGCGCCAAAAGTGTGCGCAGTAACACGAGACAACTTCCCTCCAGCTTGGTTGATTGGTGTAGCAAGAGATTCAGGAATGTCGAAGTTACCTCTGTCGACATGAGCTTTGGTGCATGTGATCTACATGACGTCTTTAGCCTATCGGGACTACTTTCCCGGTACTTTCCCCTGTAATCTCTGTCGCGATTTCTGCACAGCAATAGGTGGGTAACAAAAGTGACCCCTTGGTACAACATGGTCATTACCACATTGGGCACACAACAACAGCTTCATTGATTCTTGAAGCACCAGCAATTGTGAACGATTCTGAACCGCGGTGACCTCGAATCATCATACAGGCGGACATTTATTGGTGTCGTATCTACAAATCTAATATAATGCTCGAGCCTGGGGGTTACAATTGGCTGAACCAAGCACCACAATGAGATATGAAGATAACGAGCGACAACTTATATTATCGAGCTGAACCATTATCAACGAAATAAGTCAAGCATAAACAGTCAGAAGTCGGACGTTTTTGCGAAAATTGCAAAAAACATCGTCGAATCATATACAATCCATCAAGCCATAAACAGACACGTCATGGTCATCATTTAGAATAAAAGGGTTGAGAGAAGGAAAGAAACGAAAAGAACAAGGCAAAGACGAAAGAATACCCGCCAAAAAGTCACAACAGCCATCCGTCGTGTCGTCGAACAATCAGCAAGGCTGGAGGTAGTTGCTTGGGACCAGCCCAACTTGGCCGTTTCCGCCGTGGACTTCTGCCTCCCACCAGCCGTCATCCTGATGACGGAAGACGGCTAGGTAGTCGCCTTTAGCGAAGCCAAGTTCCTCGGGAATAGCGGCCTGATACATATACATTGCGCGTGCTATAAACAGTTCGTTAGTCCACTTTGTTCTACGAACCATGCCGAGAGAGAACGAGATAGAGCGAGCAAGAAACATACCCATATGCAGAATTGGTCGGCCGTCGCGAGTATACTGCCGCGAAGGATCAGCGACGCTCTTGCTTCGCTGATGCCCTCCGTCGTATAGGCCCATGGCCCGAGAGCCGGGCCGCATGGAGCTTCGGCTTCTTGTCGAACCATATCGATCATCCCCGGCCAGCTGCATCGCCATTTCGGAGCCACTGTAGCTGCTCTGCGGACGGCTGTGAGACTGGTTGTAGTCGCCTTGATATGGGTTCGGCGAGGCACCCCTGGTCGAGCCTCGAGTTGATCCGTGGGGCGAGGCCCCGCGGTAGTATCCTTGATTCTGCTGCGCCAGACTGGTCTGAGAGCCGTTTCGGCGGTGGTCGTGGTAAGGGTTCGGCGACACGGAATTGCGACCCATCTGCCGAGGGTCGTTGCTCATGCGGCGCTGAGGTTGAGGTGACGCACCGCGGTTGCCGCCAGGAGAAACCGAGCCTGACGCATCGTTGCCTCGAGTGCCAGGACGAGATATCGGCGATGCAGGGTTGCTTACAGATCCCCGGCGACCATCATCGCCAAAAATGCTCCTTGCCTGGCCTGTGATCTTCTGGGTAGCCTCCTTCATTGCCCTAGACGTCACGGCCGGAGGCGGGACGCCCAGTCTCGTCACCTGAGTCTGTGCCTGATACGAGGGTGGAGGTGTTCCGCGAGTAGCTGCAGCAGCATCATGGCTCCCAGGGGCTGGGAAGGCCCGCGTCATGGCAGCCTCGGTGGTAGGAACTGGGGTGGAAATGCCATGATAGTGGTCCGCCGACATTCTCATCGAGGCTTGCTTGTTCACGTTAACATTCTTGAGCTCCGCCAAGGCAGCCGCGATTGGGTCAGCCGGCTCAGCCTTCTGCACCGGCTGCTGTGGCTTCTGTCGGTTGGTATCTGGCGTCGTCACCGGCAGAACATTCTGACCGACACCAAGGGCCAGGCTGGCATTGGCATCGATCGGTTCCGGGCTGGCGGTCCGTTCCTTGAGCAGATTCCTAGTCTGCGGCTCACTGTTGGCGCCGTAGGGCTGAGGCCGACGCACGGGGCTGGTTGAAGTCTGGGACTGAGACGGGTGCCAGGTATTTCTGTTGCCGGGCTGCGGACTACCGCCGGCGGCGGCAGCTTGCAAATCCTTGGTGCTCTTACGTCTAAAGGGGCTGTGGTTCTGGAAGAACCCACTCTTCTTTTTGAGCATCCGCTTATCGGGGCTCGCTGAGGTCGGCGGATCCTGCTTGGTTGGAGACATCTTGCCGGCTTGAGGCTCCTGACTGGACATCGACGTCGGATCGGAATACTCGCTGCGGGAATCTCGGCTAGAGGGCCTCGCAGACTGGATCTGGGGGCTGCCGGCCGATGGCGCTCCAGGGCGGCACAACATCGTCATTCCATCCTTTGGGTAAGGATCATGGTGGGCTGTCGGCTTTGGAGACTGGTGCCTATTATCGTATGGCGAGGGAGGCTGTGAGCCCGTCTGCGACCTTCGAAACTGATCCTCGGCCCCCGGTGGCTGTCTCCGATACTGGTCGTCGGCCCCCGGTTGCTGCCGACGATACGGGTCATCAGCAGCAGGTGGCTGCCTTCCATACGGTTGCTGCTGTTGGGTTTCCTCAGGCGGAGGAAGCTGTCGCCGATGCTGATCGTCTGGAGCAGGCGGCTGCTGTTGTTGCCGGCGATACTGATCCTCCACCGCCGGCGGCTGCTTTCGATATCGATCATCCATGCTTGGAGGTTGTTGTTTGCGATACGGGTCGTCCACGGATGGTCGTCCGGCAGGAAGCAACTTCTGGGGGCTCTTCTGAGGAGTCGCCGCGCCCTCACGACCAGTGGGCTTGGGGGGAGGTCTGTGGGCCAAGTCATTTGCCAGCGCAGAGTTGGGGTCATGGTGAGACTCGAACGTAGAAGGCTGGGGCGACGATGAGCGGAAGGCCGGGTTGATGCTCCGAGGAAACTGGGCCACGGTGTAGTTGTTTTCGTCTTCGGACGCCTCTGATTGGGTGTCGTGAACATCGCCGCGGACGAAGTTGATATACTTGGGGGCCTCGGGGATCTCTTGACCTGTACCACGCTCGGTTATGAAAGTGATGATGTCAGTCTCAACATCCATGTTCTCGAGGGAGAGCCGAATCTTCTCGCAAGAGGCGTCATCGCTGACACACACCGTCGAAGCGATGTTGGCAAAGGTCCAGAGGCTGTTCTTGGTGAAGTCGAGCCGCTCTTCCTCGAGGTCCTGGAATTTGTCGGCAGCGGCCTTCCACTCCCGGTTCCATCGAGTGGTGGTTTCCTCCAAAACCTTGACAGCGTTCTCGTACTCGGTGTTTGACGCCGCCAAGCTGACTTGCGTCTTCTCCAGCTTGGCCTTGTTTCGCCGCTCCTCCTGGCCCATGACCATGTGGCCTTGTGCGAGATAACCTTTAATTTTCAAGCATTCTTGTTCGTATTTGTCTCGAGTCTTGCGGCGGGGGTCAGTTATGGATGCGCCTTGCATGACTTATAGTATGACAACTGTGCCTGCCTCACCTTGTTGACATGATTCGTCTGCTGGATCTTGACCTTGAGCAGCTTCTCGACCGTGTTCTGAACAATCTTTCGTCGTTCCTTGATCCCTCCCGCGAACGCAGCCAGCGGTTCTTCGAGCTCCGTCTTCATCTGCGCGGCAATGTTCTGGTGTTGCTTGGCCATGGCCTCGAGCTCGCTGCGGACTGTGTCCAGGGAAGCCTTCAGCGTGCCGCTCTCCTGGGACCCCAGGTTTTTCTTGCTCAGGTTCAGCAGCTTTCGGGAGTACTCGTCTTCGATCGCGGCCCGGACTGTTTACATCACGGAGTCAGCACCACGTCCGGCTGCGTACGGGTCGGGTCGTGCGTCCTCACCGCCATAGAAGTTCTTGAGCTCATCGCAGGTCTGCTTCGAATTTATCATTCGCTCCAAAAGGGGGCCGACGCCAGCATCGTCTTTGCCCCAGAAATTGTTGGCAACTGCATCGAGACAACTGTCAGCAGGCTGTGCTCCAGGCGCGGGCTCGCGATGCACTGACATGACATGGCAACGGCCGGGCCGTCAGTAATGGCGGCAGGCATCTTGCCCTGCGGCCCAAGGGGGTGAGTGGATGCCAATTCGAAGGATGGAGGCCGAAGCCGTCGCTTGAGAGAGGAGAAGAGATTATGGCACTCGTGGTGACTTGAGGAGCCAAGACGCAGCCGGAACAGGCGTTGCAGATGCAAGATGCACGATGCGCGTAGGTATAGTTGTAGGTAGTTGCAGCGGTCTTGTTTGCGTATAAGAGGCTGTAAGTGCCCCTGGCAGCACCCAAAGCACCCAAATACGGCGGCCACAGCACTGCACCTGCCTTCACCTCAGGCGCCGAACTGGCGCTTGCTTGTGGGGCTTGGACGTTGGCCCAGCAACGCCAGTGCTGCATCACGTGACATTGCACGTACCTGATGGTCCAGCCCAACGCGGGCTGCCACCCTGTCATGACAAAGGCGGGCTACGATTCTTTCTGCGGCACTGCGACAGCCTCTCGCACTCCATCCTGCACCCAATCCCCAGTCTCGCCGACGCTCAGTCCCATCTCGACGCTTCCGCTCGCCTCGCCGCCCTGCCGCTGCCAGCTGCTGCTCCCGCTCTCCCTCTCCGAGCCTCTGTTCGAGCCTCTCTTCCCCTCCCTGCATCTGGCAATTCGGCCTCTTTTTCCGGCAATCACCTACGAGTCTTCACGTGAACCCACTTTGACTTTTGGTCGCCGTCCCGCACCAGCAAAGCTTCGCCTCAGCAGCCTTGACTTGACGAGTCTCGCCCACCTCCTCAGCGCCCTCGATCCCCCCCGCATGTAGGAGCACCTCTTGGCCCCTTCAGCTGATAGTCGTCCTGTTTCCCGCCTTCTCACGCCTACAGCCAGCCGCCCGACCTGCCGTGGGCCCTACCGCCGCCTCAAGATTCAGTCTCGACCGCTGTCTATTTCCCTCCATGGTCCCTCCACAAAGAGCGGGATCATTCTCACCAAATCCTGCGCAGACCCTTCAGACTGGCAGTAACCATTCACCCCATCCATCGCACACTGGCATCCTGACAGCTGGCGCAAGTCCTGGCATAAGCAGTCCAACGGGGGCCAACTCCCTGACGAAAATTGTCGTCGCCCAAGTCTATCTCTTGCTCAGCACCATTAAGGAGGATAAGGATCGTGCCAAGTGGGAGCTGCAAGTCGAGCAATTAAGAAAGGTGAGTGTCTGCAGCCCGCCAGGAAATCGTGCAGACCGGCAAAGCCTCTAACTGGACTCGCCGGTTACAGCTTATCGATGAACACGGCATGGAGGTCTTTTCCAAATACTTCACCCGGTTGGTGGCGGGCAATGCGCCCCAGATCTTCCCTGGCCTCAACAGGCCCGTCGCCAACCCCGGCAACTACCACATCCTCGTCGGCGAGATGCGCAAGATTGCACACGATCCCGATCAAGCAACGAAAATTGCAGAGTCGATCGAGAGTGGCACGGAAGACATATTTCGCGACTTTGACCTGTCGACCTTCATGGAGCATTTCAAGCTCGATGCATTGGAAAAGACATTGTTGGCTCTGGCATTCAAACTGGGCTCTCGTCCCGACTTGAAGACCAAAGGTATGGCAAAACCTACCTATCTGCTGTGGCTTGTACTAGCTTGATGCTTGTCTCAAACATCCTGCTTGTCCACTCCGTGACCTTTTCCGACTAACATTTCATCTTCACTGCAGCGGACGCTATCCTGTCGACTAACTTCCCCACCTTCATGGACATCATCTCTCGGCCGGACATCGAAGCCCACGCTGATTTGACGCCCGCCTTTGTTTCACTCATCATTGACAGGTTTCTGCAATACTATCCTCCGAGCTTCAATGCCGCCTCCCGCCGAGATCTTCAGAATGCCGTTGCAAAGCGATACCTATCCGTCGATCAAGCGCCTCCCTCCGAAGTGCTGGCGGCTCTCGATATCAGCAGAGTCCTGGCCGATCGGCCGGCCAACTCCTTGGCTCGCTACATCCAAAAGGCTGGGCCCGATTTCACCAAGGATGAAGAGTCATGCTTCCAGTTCCTGCGAGGGCGTCCCAGCAACATCCAGCTAGGTCCCGAGCAAGTCTCTGCCGCACTAACGTACACCACCATTAGCCAGAATCCTCCTCACGACCCTGCCGTCCTCGTCAAGGCCATCCAACGCCATGTACCCAAGACTTTTGACTGGACAGAGGTCGTTCTCTGTTTCGACCAGCCGTCGGCACGCATCTCGTCTGCCCAATTCTTGCGGCTCTACAAAGCTCTGCTGCCAATTGCCGAGGAGCCAGCTAATAACCTCGATATTCAGCGTCTCTGGGGTGGTTCGTGGAGTGAGCCGGAAGCGCAGCTGTCGTTCGTGAGCGCCTATGCTTCCCTGGGGCCCGATCAACTTGACGCGACCACGATTCCCGGCCTTCAACGGAGCATTACACTTGACGACTACGTAAACTCTGCACCAAACGTGCAGGAACGTGCCGCCGCCGTTGTCAAGCATCCTCTTGTATCCGTGGCCGCGCTGTCGGCAATTTTCAACGTCGCCCTCAACTCTGTTCACGCCTCGCAGAGCGTTGAGGCGAAGCGATTGTTCCAGGAAGTTGTCGTCCCGAACCTCGACATTTTCCTTGTCTCTGCCTTTGAGGTTCCCAGACAATCCTGGGCAGCCATGGCGATTGATACCCTGAATTCGCTCTTCGAGACGTTCCTGTACAAGCGCTCCCCCGAATACGACTTCGTCCTCGATAGCCTTTGGAAGAAGGACAAGGAGTGGGTTGTTCAGCGACTTATTGATGCTCATGCTATCAAGCCTGTTGATCTTCCCCTCATCTTCGATCATGCCGCCAAGCATAACTGGTTGGAGGAATTGGTCTACCTTCCCAATGGCTTTGGCATCGACCTGGCGGCCTTTGCTCACGCAGAGGGCTATCTGGATCTGTCAAAGTGGGCACAGTACAACGCCGATCGGAGCAACGAGATTGCTCGAACCCTTCTCCAGTTCCTCATGATCAAGGCCAATCTCGAGATCCAGTTCCAGCGACCCCCAGACGGTCAGCCACCTGTGAAAACTAGTACCAGTCTCCAGGTGCGGACCGTTTCAGCCCTGCTGCAGATACTCGAGGATTTCCTTCCCAAAGCGCCAGTCCTCGATCTCATTCTGGTTCAGCGTCACTGCATCACTGCGTACCCTCGTCTGATTAATTATGGAGAAGGATACGACGATATCATTGATGCGAACGGGAAGGACGGTAATGCTTTGCCGCAGGCCGCCAACAGCAAGATGGAGGAGCACTACAAGAAGATGTATGGCGATGAGATACAGGTCCGCACAATCGTCGAAATACTGGACCGCTACAAACATTCGCGCGATCCGCTCGACCAAGACGTGTTCGCCTGCATGATTCACGGTCTGTTTGATGAGTACAACCACTACGTCGACTATCCCCTCGAAGCCCTTGCCACCACCGCAGTCCTCTTTGGTGGCATCATATCACACAAACTCATTTCTGACCTGCCCTTGAAGATCGGTCTTGGCATGATTCTAGAGGCAGTGAGGGATCATACGCCTGACGATGCAATGTTCAAGTTTGGCTTGCAGGCGCTTATGCAGCTTTTGGTGCGTCTGAGGGAGTGGCCAGGTTTCTGCAAGCAGCTGCTGCAGATCCCCGGCCTTCAAGGGACTGAGGCATTCAAGAAGGCGGAGGAGATCGTTCGAGATCACGAAGAGGAGCTTGCGCGCGCTCGCAATGGTTCAGGCACGCCGCATGGAGGAGGCTTTACTAACGATGCTTTTGCAAACGGAACCGGTGATGAGCAAGCAAGCATTGACCGTCCTGCTCCGGCGTTCACAGCCATCAACGTCGACCCACCGCCTCCAGATGCTCAATTTGAGGATCCCGATGATGAGACCCAAGGCAAGATCCAGTTTGTCTTGAACAACATCACCGAAGGCACATTGCAGTCCATGTGCAGTGAGCTTCGCGACATGTTGGAACGGAAGTACCAGCAGTGGTTCGCGAGCCATCTTGTCGAAGAACGCGCAAAGATGCAGCCCAACTACCATCACGTGTATCTGGAGCTGGTGAAGCTGTTTGAAGACAAGACGCTTTGGGCCGAAGTTCTTCGCGAGACGTATATCAGTGTGTCTAGGATGCTCAACTCTGAAGCGACTCTGCAAAATTCGACGGAGAGGTCACACCTGAAGAACCTCGGAGGGTGGCTCGGTCTGCTTACCCTTGCCCGCGACTACCCGATAAAGCACAGAAACATTGCGTTCAAGCAGTTGCTTATCGAGGCTCACGATACGAAGCGGCTTATCGTCGTCATCCCGTTCGTCTGCAAGGTGCTCATTCAGGCGGCAAACTCGGCAGTTTTCAGACCTCCCAATCCTTGGCTTATGGACATCATCCATCTGCTGATCGAGCTCTATCACCACGCCGAGTTGAAGCTCAATCTCAAGTTCGAAATCGAGGTACTGTGCAAAGGCCTGAATCTCGATCACAAGAGCATTGAACCCTCTGGAGAGATTCTCAACCGTCCTGTCGCGGAGGAGTCAGACGCGCTTGTGCAGGAGCAGCTCGAAGCCTTTGACAGCTTGTCATTGAATGGAATGGGCTCGGCCGTCGGGCCCGGCCTGTCGCCTCAGGTCCCAACCATTCCAGACCTTGGACCGCTCATCACCATTCCTCCCACCAATGAAATGGTTGTCAGCACCAGCAGACTGCACGAGATTGTTCGGTCAGCCCTCACCCGTGCTCTCCAGGACATCATTCAGCCTGTTGTCGACAGATCCGTCACTATCGCTGCCATATCAACACAGCAGATGATCCGAAAAGACTTCATTGCCGAGCCCGATGAGAATCGCGTCCGGACGTCGGCTATTAACATGGTCAAGGCTACTGCTGGCAGCCTTGCTCTCGTCACGTCAAAGGAGCCACTTAGAGCAAACTTGACCAACTACATGAGGAGCCTTGCCAACGACTTGCCTTCAGGCCTTCCCGAGGGCACCATCATCATGTGCGTCAACTCCAATCTCGACTTGGCTTGCAGCATCATTGAGAAGCAAGCCGAAGAGCGAGCCGTGCCGGAAATTGAGGAGATGCTCGAGAGCGACATAGAGCACAGGAGGCGGCATCGCCTTCAGCATCCAAACGAGCCGTATCACCCAACCGGAATTAACCGATGGGCCATGACGATCCCAAGCCCGTACAAGATCCAGCCGAGGCCCGGTGGTCTCAACGCTGAGCAGATGGCCATTTACGAAGACTTCGCCAGACAGCCTCGCACCACTTCTTCCACGGTTGCCTCGCACACTCCATCTGCATCAGAGGCCACAAGGTCATTGGCAAATGAGGTCCTGCAGGAGACGTACACTGCCCTGCCGAACATTCCTACCCCCGCGGAGACTCCTTCGATCCAACAGCTGGGCGCACAGCTGCAACCCTATGCTCCGGTTCATAACCTTGCCGCTGCCAATGCGATGGGCAACGGACGAGCCGCTGGATTCCAGATGGACGTTCGAGGTCTGGCGGAGCGAGTCAACAAGCTGCTGCAGGAATTGTTGCGCGTGGCAGGCGAGGCTCGAGAGGATCACTTCGTGGGGCTGCCCAGGCCGCATCCTGTCCTCGACGTTGTCGATGCTCTTGTGCAGCTCATCATCAAGACCTCCCAGAACTCGGAAGAGTTTGCCATCTATGCCGCTGAGCAGATTAGCGCGCTCATCTTCCAGCAGGTTGAGGACAACTTGACGCTCGAGAGCCTTGTCCATGTGTTGGAGACACTGAGAAAGATCTCTGGTCCGGCCCTCAACAGTCGAGTCCGCTCCTTGTTCGCTCAGCAGCCAGGGCCCAGCTTCCTTAGCTTGCCTCTGCTCGCAGCATTGATCCGAACCGATCTGCTTGATTGGCGAAACATTGATCTCGCCATGTCCAAGGTCTTGGAAGCTCGCAAGGACAACTCGCTCGAGTTTCTTGAACACCTGCTTGACCTCACGATCCTGAACAACCGGCCGATTGCCTTGTACGCCGACTTCATACGCACACTTGAGGCGGCGTGGGCGTGGGTCAATGAAGACCCCAGCTCTGCTACCGGCCAGCGGCTGAAGAACAAGCTGATGGGCTCCATTCCTTCTCAGCCGCCTCAAGGCCTAGCCGAGTCTGAGGAACAAGCGATTCAACAGGACCAACTTGAATATGTCTTTGAGGAGTGGGTGCACCTTTGCAACAACCACAACGCGTCCAGCAAAGCTACGACCATGTTCATCCAGCAGCTGCAGGCAAGGCAAGTCATTCGCAACCGCGACGACTTCTTCTTCCTTGTTCGCATCGGCGTCGACGTCTCGGTGGAGCGTTACGAGCACATTCTGCACACCGGGGCTCTTGGGGATGCTTACATGGCGACGGATGCCTTGGCGAAGCTCATCGGCGCCTTTGCCAGCATGTCTTCCGAATCGCTGGTGGCACGCGCAGCCTTCTTGGACTCGGCTGTGGTGCTGGTGTCCCTGGTTCTGAACCATCATCACATCAATCGCCCCGACCATTTGAACCAAAGGGTCTTCTTCCGCCTGCTGTCGCTGCTTTTCCACGACATCCATTCCGTCTGCGAGGAGCTATCGGAAGACGACCGCCGCGACGTGATGCTGAGACTTGCCAGCAGACTGGAGAGCATTGGCCCCCAGGCTGTCCCCGGTTTCGCGTTCGGATGGCTGTCGCTCGTTCAGCATCGAGCCTTTCTGCCTGTCTTGCTGCAGCTGGCAGACAATGCGGGATGGAAGGCCTTTGCAGACCTTGTCTGCCAGCTGCTTCGCTGCGTGAGCGAGCTTCTCAAGTCACTTACTGTCTCGGATGCCGGCAAGGAGCTCTCCCGAGGAACGGTGAAGCTGTTTGTGATATTGCACCACGACTTCCCTGACTTCTTGGCAGCCAACCACGTTCGGTTCTGCGCCCTCATTCCGACGCACTGCATCCAGCTGATCAACACGGTTCTGACCGCCACTCCTCAGCAAAACTACGGAAAGCCCGTCGATAACCTCAAGGGCGATCGGGTAGACGAGCTGAGGACATATCCCGGCCTCGTTGATGAGGCCGTTGCCACTCTGACAGAAGCTGGGCTCTTGAGCGTGCTGGATCAAATCTTCCAGAACGGGCCAGCGGAGGAGGCAGTGGCGCAGATTGCGCACACCATTACGGCGTCGACCGAGACGACCTTTGGCCATGTGCCCGTCGCCGCGAATGCTCAGATCATCGGTGCCGTTGTGCTCTACGCCGGCCACCACGCCACTGAGCGGTCGCCGCCCACCGCCGGCTCGCCCATTTCAGGAAACGAGCCCGAGGCTGCCATGTTGTCCATGCTGGTGCACGAGCTGGCCCCCGACGCCAGATATTATCTGGTATCGAGTATGGTCAACCAGCTGAGGTTCCCCAATCCCCATACCGAGTTCTTCAGCCAGGTCATTCAGCACATCTTTGGGAAAGACATGAACGACCCTGAGGAAACGGAGATTCGCCAAGAGATTACTCGAATCCTTCTGGAACGACTGGTGGGATTCTGGCCGCAGCCCTGGGGGCTCATTTACACGGTCGTGGAACTTTGCAAAAATGAGAAGATCATGTTCTTTGACCTTCCCTTCATCAGATCAACTCCAGAGGTATGTACAATTCTACAATCAGCCGCCTCACAAATGACCGCACAAGATACAGACATGGCTAACATGTATTCTACCACGTAGGTTGCCGAGCGGTTTGCGTCAGTTATTCAACGAGTATAGTTTACGTCGACGGGAGTGATGGGGATTCGATACGAGGCCACGAAACTACTTTGGAGAGAGAGCTCCCTGAGCTTTATTGCATGATCTTGGTGCCGGCGGAGCAACGGGCTTGCTTGTTGTTCTTCCGCCCTTTGTTTCCTTTCTTTCTCTTTTCATACTTCCAAGCACCATTCTTGTTTTGTTGGCTCGTTAGGTACTTCGTTCTCGGCATTCTCTTTCGTTTGTACCCGTTTGTCCACTTCATTTTCTTTCTTCTTTGGGATTAGACGGCAAGGAAAATTGCGATTGTCCAAGAAAAGTTGGGATTCAGCTTTCTGCGGCCGGACACAAGAGAGGGCGCGGACCCGATCAGACGGCATCAATGTAATACTTTGTATTAATGTACGATAAAACAACATGACGGCAGGGAAGAGGGGTGAGAGCAGGTGACGATATCATGGCGCATATGGGAGCATCTAGGTTAATGGCCTGGCCGGATTACATTGGGATTAGGACGACAATTCATGATGGACAGTTTCAAAGACGCAAAAACTGTATGCAAGTATGCGAAGACACAAGTAAAGTTGTTTTCCTTCTTTTTCTTCTCCGTGACTCTCTGCCCCGAAAACATGTGCCTCTCTACTCAACGGTAATGGTGCCACGCATGACCTGGACTGCCGGGCCGGCCAGCAGAACAGTGTCGAGGGCGCCGTCCTTGAGGCTGACGTCGACGCGGATGGAGCTCTCCTTGCCCATCTCGACGCCCTGCGTGAAGTCGTACCTCCGCGTGGGCGTTGTCTGCTTGTCGCGGCCCTGTGTGCTGAGGTAGGCGGCCAGGCAGCTGGAGGCGGCACCGGTGGCGGGATCCTCGAAGCCCTCGGCAACCATGCGAGTGCGCAGGCGGACGACGGGGACGCCGTCGTCGTCGACGGTGGAGTCGCCGGTGCGGACGTAGTAGAAGCGGCCGATGAAGCCCTGCTGCCAGCCGTCGTCGAGGAAGCCCTCGGGCTTGAACTCGACGGGGCCGACGGCGACGTGGGCGAGCATCTCGAGGGAGGGCAGCTCGACGAGGGCGAAGGTGACGCCCTTGACGAGGCTGAAGACGGGGGCGTCGAGCTCGAGGCGGCGGACGTCCTCGCTGGGCTGCAGGTCGGCGGCGAAGATGCCGGCGTGGGCGGTGAGGGTCTTTGCGTGCAGGTGGACGTTGTGCGGGACGGTGGCGGAGGCGGAGTCGGCTCCGGTGCGGACGACGGCGATGCGGCCGGCCTTTGTGACGAGCTCGGTGACCGGGGGCTGCTGGTTCTCAGAGTCATGGTCGGCGGCGCCGGAGCGGAGCAGGGCGACGGCGGCGCCGATGGTGGGGTGGCCGGCAAAGGGGATCTCGGCCGAGGTGAGGAAGATGTCGATGCGGCGGGAGCGGTCGGCGGCCGGGTCGGGGACGTCGTGGATGAAGACGGTCTCGGAGAGGTTGAACTCGCGGGCAATGGCCTGCTTTTGCTGCTGGGTGGGCTTGTTGGGGAGGGAGGCGGGGATGGTGACGACGGCGAGGGGGTTGCCGCGGAAGCGGGTGCGGGTGAAGACGTCGAGGGTGATGAAGGGGAGCTCCATTATGGCGGTGGGTGAAGATATTGGGAGTGGTGGTGGTGGTGATGATGATGATGGTGATGAGGGCGTTGGAGGTGCAAAGGTTGTCTTTTATATGTAGACGCCTTGAATCTTGTACTGCGTCTACCTACTTATTTATATGGTGTGATTTATCGAATCATGTTACTCACAGCTCTGCTCCGGACACGGGAGTTTGGATTGATATTAGTCGATGTCCTTCTTGTATGACTACAGCTGTAGCTTTGGCTTGTGTAAGAGAGAGCAGCGGGTAACAAGTCTGCCTATTCCGTATGCGGTTCACGGAGGTGTATCGCGCGCCCTTTGAGTGACTCTTCTTTGCGTTTTGACAACAGATGCTTTGGTAAGCTGCATGACATATTGAGGCTAGCTGGGGAATTGGTAACTGCTAGACATGGAGCTATCAAGTTGACAAACATTGGATCGAACACGCGATATCGCAATCAAAGCTTTTGCAGATGAATCATTGTCGATGAAGCTGCCTGCGAATTGATTTGTAACATGGCATTATTCTCTGTTGGACGTAGATTGAAGCCTCGGGATACACATAGAGGTGTCGAGTTGTAGGGTAACTTTCCCGATGATTTAGTGCTGTCGACAACAGCTCAAGCTAGGTCTACCTATGTAATCCTCCGTCTCCACCCCCTCCTCACCCATCAGAATGTCTTGAATCTTGCCCTCCAGCAGCAGCAGCACAGCAATGACCGACACCGGCTTCAGCCTCGACTCGCACACCCACAGCCGCAACCGCAGTCACGACAAGGACCACGACGACGACAGCAGCAGCAGCACCAGCAGCGACAAGCTTCGAGACGACGGCCATGGCCACTCCAAGCCCTTCTTCAGCCACGCCGTGACGGCCCGCGCCCGCAGCCGCATCGCGATGCTCATCCGCCACCTTGGGCGCTTCCACCACGTCTACCTGGTGGCGCTGCCTGCGCTCTACTTCCGCGTCTCGCCTCTCCTCTTCACGCACAACTCGACGCCGCTCAGCATATACCTCGCCCTCGTGCTCGTCTACATACCCGCCAGCGTCGTCCTCGCCGCGTGGCAGCACTTCTCTCCGTCTGACGCAGCGACGAGGCGCAAGAGGAGGAGGAGGAGCTTTCTGCTGCCGTCCAATGGCTCGTCTTCGTCGTCCCCGAGGGCCAGCAGACAGGGGGCGGCCCAATTGCTGCTCTGGCTGAGCGGTGCCCTTCTCAGCCTGTGGGCTTACACAAAGGGCCTCTCATCGCCGTTCCCCACGGCGTCGTCCCTCGTGGCCTCTTCGCCAACGCTGCAGGCGCACCGGGCGCGCAACGCGAGCTACTTCATCGCCGCGTCCTTCTGGAACAATGACGAGGTGCTAGACTCGTGGACAGCGCAGACGCTCGAGCTCATCGATGTGCTGGGGCGCCCCAACGTCTACGTCTCCCTGACGGAGAACGACAGCGAGGACAACACGGCCAGCAAGCTGCTGCATTTTGGTCGCGAACTCACCAGGCGCGGCGTGGCGCACAGCGTCAACATCACGACGGATTTGCGCGGCGATCCGCCCGAGAACCCTTGGCACAGCATCCGACACAGGATGGGCTACATGGCTAACCTGCGCAACGGCGCCCTGGAGCCGCTCGGCCAGCTCAACCGGCGATTCGAAAACGTGGTGCTGCTCAACGATGTCGTCTATCACCACACCGACGTGCTCAAGCTGGTGGCAGCGGTCGGGGGAGATGATGTCAACGTCAATGGTGCACACGCGACCAGGCCGGGCAAGAGACGGATGGCGTGCAGCATCGACATGGACGGCGCAACGCTGTACGACACGTGGGTGCTCCGCGATCGCTGCGGGCGGACAGCTAGCGGCTTCTGGCCCTTCTTCGCGTCCGAGAGAGACCGGCGAGCCGTGCGCGAGCAGCGCGTGCTCGAGGTCGGCACCTGCTGGAACGGCATCGTGGTGCTCGATGGAGACATGCTCCTCGAGCCGCCCCTGCGCAGCAGCGACGCGGGCTGGGACGCCGACACGCTGCGCTTCCAGCAGCCCCCGGAGTGCATCATCTCGGAATGCATGCTGCTGCCGCTGGCCATCACCAACGTTACAGGCGGCGCGCCGGTGGTCATGGACCCGTCCGTCATTGTGGGCTACAGCGTCAAGTGGTGGAGGTACTACGCCCTGTGGCTGCGCATGCCCGTTGTGCGGTTGTGGATGAAGCTGTTTGAGGAGGGATACTGGGGCCTCTGGTGGAGGCTGGGGATGGGCAACGGGCTACGCTGGAACGGCCTGGACGGCGGCAAGGAGAAGAACGAGTGCGTCGTCACAGGCTGGCCCAGCTGCGACGCAGACGAATACGCCGTCAAGGGCGCGTTGAGGTTGAGCAACTGAGACACGCGTGGAGAGGGCGTTTTGATTGACTGACTGCAACGAGGCTGTGAGACCCCAGTGAGACACTTTGCTACAGATGTCTCTCCATCCCGCGACGGAGCAGTTCGTCCAGTTATTACGGGCCACCTGTGGAGAGAGGGAGGGATGTCTTTTCAGGGTCCTTGCGGAGAATCGCGGCTGGTCAATGCAACCGGCCTGTCTCTGCCTCTTGTCTCTCTGCCCCTTGTCTCAAGCATTTGGCCTAATTAGGTCCTATATGGTCGTATGGAGGACAGCGGCACAGCACAGCACAAGGTGGACGCGCAGAAAGGCACAACTGGGCCCGGTCGACGGACATTTGCAAGTACAACTACTATCTACAGGACTTCACACACGCTGCAGGCCTTGTACCGACCTGCTCGACTGAGGCGAGAGCAATGAATGCTTGGGTAACATTGAGCGGGAAGCTATTCTCGGCTCGGAATGCATGTACCGAATACCGAATACTGCCGGGGCGCCACAAAAAGAAGAAGCAGAACCGTGCACACAGAAGCCACATGGACCGGGTGCCTCAAGACAAAAGGGACAGCGGTGTATTAATGCATCAGGTGACTGGCCGACTAACTCAGTAACTGACTTGACTGCCGGTCCGGCTGTTCTATGGTGCGTCTCGTTATTAGCACGAGCGCGAAGCGGTAATAATAGCAGCAGCAGCAGCAGCAGCACGCGTCGATTTTCCAACGAATTTGTCCAAGCTCCTCGGACAGCGGGCAATCATACGAGCGACAAAATGGCTCAATGGCCGTCCTGGTCGGCTCTGCTTGCTTCGTGACCACCGCTCCCTTCAGCTACGAGTATTAGAACACGGCACTCCGTACCTCAAAGACGGCAGAACATCATCGTCATCGACACAAACAGTCCGCTCTCATCTCGGCAAAGGCCTGTCCGGTCAGCGCATTGAGCTCCATATCTCATATCAATCGAACACGTCTCCTCCCTCCCTCCCGCCCTCTCTCTCTCTCTCTCTCCTCTCGCGATGAACCACGTCCAGACTGACTCTCGTGACCCGTCCGTCCTGTCTGTTGTTCTGTGTCATTATTCCTCCACTGGCCCTTGCGTCTTTATCGCTTAGGGCGCCTTTTTTTTTCTCTTTTCTTTTTTTCTCTCTTTGTCTCGCAGCGGGCCCCCCACAACACGTCCGGACCCTTGACAGAAGAGGGGCCCCCCATGCCCATGTCCATGCGGTGCTTCTCCAATCGCCAGGGGTTGGAAGAAAAAAAAAAGGCACGTAGCGAACGAAGAAAAATCGACAGCGGGGGAGGCACCTTGCTGTAAGTAAAAATCATGCCCTGTCATGAATGAACCCTTGTCCGAAAATATGTGAGCGAGAAATGGAGTACGTATTACTCCATCCTCCATGATTTGCCAATGGCCACGCCAGGCGGCATTTGGTGGCACGAGGCCTTTTTCCCTTTTCCCCTCTGATGATCCTCGGTATGTTTTGCTTTTTCCTTGTCTCTTGTCGTCGTTCACATACCGTTCACATACCTACGGAGCTGACTACAGTACTAATGGTTCGGTCTAATAACCCGGTTGCATCATGATTAGCGACCCTGAATCTTGCCTCTCCCTTTCCCCTTGTGGTGATTGATGTGCTGATGATGTGCTGCGTGTTCTAGAAGCCTTTCTCCAATCTGGCTTGGTTGCTCGAGAGGGGGATCGATTACCTATGAACTGTTCATTATGCAATCGATCCAATACCATTCCTCCCAATTGCCATGACGTCCATACGCTCCAACCGACCGGCCTACAAAGGCGCTAGACCTCAGCGATACCGAAGCTCCGTATCGTTCGCGTCTTGCCTCTTGGTTCTAGAAGCAAGTCGGCGACCCAAAAAGATCAATTTCGAATTGTCTCCATTGGATCAATGTGGTCCCAGGCCCTCTCTCCTACAAGGTACACCAGGTACATACGATACCTAAGGTACCTAGGTACATCATCCTCCCAGGAACATGAACCTGAGGGACCCTCTGAAAATAAGACCCCTTCTTTCCTTCTTCGTCCATTTCTCATGTTTTTTTCAATTTCTTATTTCTTTTACCTCATCGAACCAGGGGGGCGATCTAAACGAAAAGAGAAAAAATATGTGGGAGCAGGAGAAAAAAAAAAAAAAAAAAAAGGAAACTGTGGAAAGCAAAACCCACTCGAGTTCGCAGTTTCCCTTGGATGTGCCGAGGCAGCGGACCAACCAGAGAGTGGCGATTGCTGCCAATCTTTCTCTGGCAGGCGCCCCCCCCCCGCCCCACCCGCTCTCATGCCCACTTCTTTCTTCTTTTCTCAAACCCCACTACCTATGAACAGTACTGTACCCGCAAGAAAGGCATGCCAGCCACCAGCCACCAGCCACCAGCCTATGTACATATATGACATCCGCTTCTTGCCATTTTCGTCAAAGGACCCGGCGCCTCGGAGGACTTGAAGCGGGGACCCTCCATTCCCCTCTCCTCCCTGCCTGCCTGCCTTCCCAGCAGCAAAGTTGCAGCAAAGCAAAGCAAAGCAAAGCAAAAAGCAAATGGGGCTCTTTTTTTCTTTTCTCTTTGAGGCAAAGCACGACCCCACCTGCTGCTGCTGCTGCTGCTGCTTGCTGCAACAGTTAAAAGTGGTCCGTGCGACACAACTGACGTTTAGCGCCCCCCACTTCGGCAGCCGTGACAGGGCCCCTCTGGCCAATAGGGTTCTCGGGGAAGGAAAAAAAGAAGGAAAAAAAAGGCAGCAAGCACGAGAGCTTGAACTTTTTTTTTCGATTTTTTTCTGGCCTGGCCCGCCAACGCCAGCAAAAAAAAAAAAAAAAAAAAAAAAAAAAAAGTTCGAAAAATCGCCTGAGCTTTTTGGACCGGTCCTCCTCCTCCTCGTCGTGGTCGTCGTCGTCGTCGGTGGCTCGCTCTTCTCTCTCCCCCCCCTCCCAATCACTCATCCTCATTCCCCGTCCACATCGTAGACCGCCCTCCTCCTCTTCTCCGAGTTCGATCTCCTCCTTATTATTATTATTTCATTTTATTCTTGTTATTTTTGCCCGCCCCTCGAGAGACCATCGTGCCCGTCTTGCCTCGGGCACTTGTGATCGGAGAGACTCCTTCGTGCAAACTGAAACCCCCCCAAACCCAAACAACAGCACCATCGTCATCATCCCATCCACTCTCTCTCCCCTCCCGTGACTCTTGTCGTCTGCTGCCTGTCCTGTCCTTGTGCGAGCCAGCCTGTAGTCGATCCGTGTCTCTCCTCCTCCTTGCCTCCCTCTTACATACATACCTTACCTTGCTTCTCTCCGTCGATCTCCTTCTTCGCCACCACCGGTTCACCTGCAACTGCATTATTACGTCTTTCCTCCAATCCAATTACATCCGTATCTTAATACCTGATTCTTTTCATAACCTCATATCCCGAGAATAATACAACCAACAACCCTCACCTCATCCATCACCATGCCTTACAACACGCGCCGCAAATCGCTGTCCCTGCCCAGCCTGGGCATTCACATCCCCGTCACGCACGCCTCTCGCGCCGCCGCATCCAAGAGCAGCTCCCGCGCCGCCTCAGCGTCCTCAGCCTCAGCCACGCCGGCGTCATCGAGTTCCTCGCGCTCGGAATCGCCAGAAGCACACCCCAACAAGCGCACCAAGAGATCACATACCGCGACAGAACCCTCCTCCTCCTCCTCCTCGATGGCCATTGAGAATACCCCGCCTCCGTCGCCTACCCGCGCCATCAGCGAGGAGATGGCCGATGCCGACGAGGCGCACAAGATCGATCTCGAGAGCATCAAGGACGACATTGTCGAGGCTGTTGTTGTCCAGCTGCAGTCAACCGGCAACCGCCCCCATTTGATTAAGGAGTTGGCGACTGTCCTTGCACAGTCCCTGACGTCTGTACAGCAGTATGTTATCCCTCTCTCGCTGTCCAGTTTCTCGCGCGCGCCTTGCTAATACCGTCGCTTCACAGGTCTGCGAACCAGTGCGCCATCATCTCATCCCGCCTCGCCTCGTACATGAAGCGGCCTTGCTGGTCTGCCTCGAACCCCTGTCCGTTGGCTAAGGAGCTCGAGACAGTACATCCCCGACGCACTTACTATTTCCTCACCACTCAGCCCAGACAAGCGCTTCCCGACTTCAACGCAAGTCTCCAGGCTGCTTCTGTCACCCCATCAGTCTCCCTTACGGAGGATTCTGGTTCCGATGATATCGAGGCCAGACGGCGAGAACTGAGCCCTTCTCCAGAGGTGGATCTGTCAGCTACCGAATATGACAATGCCGATGACGATGTGGCGATGCCCATGACGCCCATCGGATCCTTTTCTTCACACCGGAGGCCCATTTTGGGTCCTCGCAACAACTCTCCGCCTCTCGAGAAGGATGAGCGGGAGTTCACACAGACTGCTGGCCATCTGCAGAAGCGCAAACTCAACGCAGAGGCCCCCCAGTCTGAAACCGTCGAGCGTCAGAACGTCGCCATGATGGACTACTACAGAGACGACGCGTGGTTTGCTGATAATCGCACCAACGCAGCTACCATATTCCTGGCTAGCCCCTCCATCAAGCCGAGCATACCCGCTGGTCGGAAAGAAGACGATGCCGACGCTTGGTTGAGGTTAAACAACTTGTTCGAATGGGGCAAGGGCGCCGAAAGCATTGAGATCGACGAGCTCGATTGTTTGCTGGACGCCTGCTGATTTCTCTCCTCTTCTATTGTTTCTTCAGCTTTTTTTTTATTATCATTGGGATGGCGCAGGGAACCGGGTATACTCAAAGGAAAAGGAGCTGGCGTTGGATGGTTTTGTATTTGTATGAATGATGTGGATGGACATTTGCGGAGAGACAGACTCCCACTCCTGTAGATATACTAGATGACTCTCACTATACTTTGGGGATGATGAGAAGATGAGAAAGACGACACCAAAAAGGGAGCCATGAGAGGAGTGCTTGTGAAAAAGGGGCGTTTGGACAAAACCAGAAAAAGAAGAAGAGGAGTACATACAACAGAGCATGCCACTCATTCATAACAAGAAAGATTCCGCTTTCTATGCAACTCAAATCATCACGACACCATTGGAGTGTCAGGTCTTCTTGTCGTTGGCCGCCACTTTCAGCTCGACCCAAACCAGGGTCCCCATCTGAGTGATGTTTGGCCGTTCGATCTTGACCACCTCCAAGCCGGGCGTCGCGGCCACGGCATCTTCGACGATGCCTTCGATGTCCCTGTTCCACCAGCACCCGTACTTTGCAAAGTGCTTTCCCGCGTTCTTGTCCAGCAAGCCATTCACCAGGCCGTAGTAGCCTTTGCCGTGCTCGAGGAGGATTATGCGGCCGGTGCCGGGTCGGACGACGGTTGCGAGGTTGGACAGCACAGCGACCGGGTCGGAGACGGAGCAGAGGCCAAATGTTTGGATGACGGTGTCGTATTTGTCGGTGTGCGCGGGCGGCGGCAGCGGGTGGTGCGCGTCCGAGTTGACGAGGCGGACGTGGCCGTCCAGGAAGGAGAGCTGGCCGCCGGTGTGGTCGGCCATGGACGAGGCCTTGACGACGGGCGCGGAGGAGGCCATGGGCGGGACGGACTTTGCGAGCCGCTTGCGCGAGACGTCAAGCATGTCGACGGAGATGTCGAGCCCCGTGAAGGAGGTGATTCCCTGAGGCACCTTGGGAGGCGGGATGTTGCCGGTGCGGGCGGCCTCGACGGCGGTGCTCAGGGGCTCCCAGTTGTAGTACTCGAGGTTGCGGCCGGAACCCATGGCGAGCTCGAGGACGGCGCCCTTTGCGTGGGCGGCGAGCTTCTTGCGGAGCTTGGTGATGCCCATCCACCACTCGGGGAGGTTGAGCTCCTTGTCGAACTGCTCTGCGTTGTCGCCCGTCAGGGCGGGGGGACGGCCGGTGGGGGTGGCATGTTCGCAGGGATGGGATGATGAGGAGGAGGAGGGGGAGGACGGAGATGACTTGATGGTTGCGACTGTTGTGCCGAAGATGTAGAAGCCTAGGAAGCCAGCGAGGAGGGAGGCGCCTGTTAGAGGGAGCCAAGCACGGCGCCAGATGGTGAGGAGGGTGTCTGCTTTGGGAGGTTCAGGAGGAGGTGGTGGTGGTGGTGATGGTGATGATGGCGAAGAGAAGGGTTTCTGTGTGCTGTTATCGGCGGTTCGCGTCAGTGGGGAGTCATTAGGAGCTCAGAGGCAGAATGAAACAAGGACGGCATATGGAACAGAGAGAGAGACGGACGGTTTATATGATCTCGTCACGCGGGATGGAGGGGGAGGGGTCCCTTTTGCTGGAGGAGTTTTCACAGCTTGGCGCACAGCAGAAGAGCTTGCAAGGCGGCGTTGCAAGGGTGCTGAGAGCGAGAAGAGGTAAGAGCCCGCCACGGCCGTGGCATGGCGGCGGGTTAAGACGTTCATCGAGGAAGCATTGTTGAGGAAAAGGACGGACATCAAGGTTGATCTGTCAAATTTGCTCGAAGGTGGTTAGTAGCTAGTAGTGGAAAGGCGCCATCAGAGGCTATCGAGATATTAAGCATCATGTGGGCTCGAGGGCATTTGACCCGCTGCAGAAGGAGCTGGACAGCAGGTGCATGGGGGGGGTTGCAGGTGGGGCCAGCCCTCGCTATTAGTACCTTAGTATCGGCTATCAAGGTGCCCATCAGATGGCCAGAGCGGGAGACAACCAGCCGAGGTACAGTAGGTGCGGTGATGAAGCAGGATCAATCCTCTATATACAGAACCAGATCATGATATAGCATATCACAGGAGATGACAATGATGCGAGGAAGACGGTGATGATGGCTGGAGGTGGAGGAGTTGCAGCTACACAGCGTCTTGTCAAAGAGCTGTCGGCAACTAAACCACACTAGTAGCATCTCTCCCGTGGCCTTGCATACCCTGCAGCTCATCCCTCCACATCCTGGCTTCTCGGCTCAGCACGTCACGTCATCATTCATCTCAACTGCCCAGGATTGAACAAGCTGGTGACACGATCTCAACGGAGCGGCTGCTCGGCCACGTTACTCTGCAGTCAATCCATCTCGTTCATCGACCTCTTCGGCAACAATGGCGGGCCATGGCGACTTGCAGGAGATGCTGCGCATGCTGACGGCTCGCAAGGCATCCATGATGGCCGCCATGGGCTACATCAAGGCCCTGCAGGCCAAGAACCTCAAAAGGCGAGAATCTGGTGCCACCGACGCTTGGTGACCACGGGCTCCCGTAACTAACCTTTGGGAACAGCATTGACCAGATTGCCGAGGCACCCTTGTCCACTGTAGAGGCAGCCATCAGTGACGCGAAGTTGGCCAAGAGCTTCCACACGGCCTGCAAGTCGCACGGCAAGAAGAGCAACAAGCGCGCGGCCGAGGAGCCCGCTGCCGCAGAGAGGAAGAAGCCCAGGCTGGAGATGCACAAGCGGGACTTGGACTACGATTCCATGCCCCCCGAGGAGCTCGAGGCTTCATTAGCGCTGCCTCTGTGCGAGGACGAGGAGCTGATCAAGGAAACGACGCTGGTCACCAACAGAGCCCCCCTAGTGCTTGCGTTTGCGGTGGAACTGCTGCGCTTCACGATGCCGGAGCAGCCTCCAAGCAGTCGTCTCAGCCTAGCCCAGGCCGTGGTGAGCGCAAATTCGAAATCCAAGGCCATAAGTATAGGCATCGAAAAGGCGCCGGCCGGTGGAGAGACGCCAATACCAACCGGCCAGCCCAAGGTCTCGGTTCTGGGACGGGAGATTCCTGTCCTAAAACGAGGTGGCTATACGTGGTCTGATGAGAGCCAGCAGTCCTCGACCTCTGCAGAGGCGGCAAACTCATCCTCGTCAACGCCAGCATCCACAGCGCCCAACAGTGTGTGGGCAACGAGCAAGACGCTGTCCTCCAAGGGATCTGTCTTCGTCGCGCATGCGGCTTCTATAACGGCGCCGTCTATGCGCTCGGGGCTCATGAAGCTCCTGTTCAACCAATATCCCGAGCTAGAGAAGACGGCGGATCACGTTGCGTGGGCGGTACGCACAAGCTTCGGCGGTTCGTCTCTCGTGCAAGAAGCCTCGTTTGACGATGGCGAAGCAGGCTGCGGCAAGTTCATGCTGGAGCTCCTGCGCGAGTCAAACATCACAAACACAATCGTCGTGCTCGCTCGCTGGTATGGCGGAGTCATGCTGGGGCCTGATCGATGGCGCCTGATGCGCGAATGCCTCAACGACGCCCTTTCGGCCCAAAAGCGGACGTCGACGTTTTCCGGAGAGGCGCTCTGGGGGCTCGACGCCGAGGACAAGAAGCCATCCATGTCCACAATCGGCATGGCCATTCACCGGCCAGAAGGCGCGAGGAACTACCTGTTGAAGAGCTTCGCCTCTGCCGGTACCTCTGACGGTGGCGGGGGCAAGAAGTCGGCGGCTGCGCTGAACGATGAGAAACAAGAGAACCTCGGGAGGCTTCTTGGCGCCCTTCGGCTGCTGTTTGCGAGCTGGGCTGGCGTCTTGGGTCGAGCCGAATTGGACAGGAGGGCGTGGAGTTGGTACGTGGCCGTTCGGCCTGACATCGAGGCGGGGCCCTCTGGTTGGGGAGAGAAGGGGACGTTGAAGCTGTCCAAGATATTGGATCTGAGACGAAAAGAGGGTGTGGTGACAAAGTAATTGACTGGAGGATTTGAGGCTGCTGAGCTGAGCATCTGGATAGCAGGCGATGGCTTCACGATGCGATATGCCCAAGGATAAATAGCAATTATGCAATACATGTACGTACTTATCCGCCTTTTCTCTCAGGAGATCAGGAGAAAAACAACAACAAAAGAAGAGGTTTCTTCAGGTCTTCATCCCCATCGCTTCCATCTCTCTCCCATGTGATTGTAGAGACGCCACATCTGTGCCTGTGGCGGGGCATCTGCGCCAAGCCCGATCAGGTTACGGCCAAGCCCACCAGCTTCTTTTCTGTTGTCAATCCAGGTCCAAAGTAAACACAACAAAAGGGTCCATCTTCTACAACGCAAATCCCCCCCCGAGCTCGTCACCATCAGCCCTGGAGCTGCATCTGCACGATCGGCCCCTCGCCGCTTCTCTACTAACCAAATCAGCAGGTTTCTTCATCTATCTAGAGATCCAGGGCCAGACTCGGCCGGATTTTCTTTCGTCCAGAGAGCCGTGCCTGACCGCGTCTGTGTTTCACCCCACGCGAATTCTCGACCCCTCGCTCCAGGGACCAAAAGGACCGTGTTTCTGCCCTTGACCAACAACAACGACAGACGAGGTCGGAAGGTTAGGGCAGAGACTCCCGCTTGTCATTTATTGATCTCTCCTCTTCTACCTCTACCCTTGGTCGACCTGGCCCAACCCAATCGTTCGTTGCCTGACTCTCAGGTTTACTCGCCGTCATGGAGAACTATCAGAAGCTGGAGAAGGTCGGAGAGGGTACGTTGCTGCTGTCGCTTGCTAACCCTTGCGATATCCCGAATGACATACCACTATTGCTGCATCTATCTTGGCTTCTTTAGCTGGCATGGCTCCTCCAGCTCCCTACCCTACCGTCTCTCCCATGTCTATGACCGCACCCCTAGGCATGACAGCCTGCTAATACATCGACAACTCTCATAGGCACTTACGGCGTGGTGTACAAGGCTCGAGACCTTGCCAATGGTGGACGCATTGTTGCCCTGAAAAAGATCCGACTCGAGGCCGAAGACGAGGGCGTCCCCAGCACCGCCATCCGCGAGATTTCCCTCCTCAAGGAGATGCGAGACCCTCACATCCTTCGACTGCTCAACATTGTCCACTCCGATGGCCACAAGCTATATCTAGTCTTCGAGTTCCTTGACCTCGACTTGAAGAGATACATGGAGGCGCTCCCCGTCAGCGATGGCGGTCGTGGAAAGGCTCTCCCCGAGGGCTCTTCGCTTCGCCTGCAGCACCTTGGACTGGGCGACGCCGTCATCCGCAAGTTCATGATGCACCTGTGCAACGGCATCAAGTACTGCCACTCTCACCGCGTCCTGCACCGAGATCTCAAACCCCAGAACCTACTCATTGACAAAGAGGGAAACTTGAAGCTTGCAGATTTCGGTCTGGCGCGGGCGTTTGGTGTGCCGCTACGAACCTACACGCACGAGGTGGTGACTCTGTGGTACCGAGCTCCTGAGATTCTTCTTGGTGGAAGGCAGTACTCCACCGGCGTCGACATGTGGTCGATTGGGTGCATCTTTGCCGAAATGTGCACCCGCAAGCCCCTTTTCCCGGGCGACTCAGAGATTGACGAAATCTTTCGCATTTTCCGGTGAGAAGGAACCATTCCAGGACTTGTGTCATGCATGTTAGTTCTTTGCATTTGCTAACTGATAGTAATCACCTGGGTGTAGTGCTCTCGGAACCCCGACCGAGGACCTGTGGCCCGGCGTCACGTCCTACCCCGATTTCAAGGCGTCTTTCCCTAAGTGGCAGCGAGATTTCCAGCGCCCTCTCACCCCGAACCTCGACGAGAAGGGCTTGGATCTGCTGGAGATGATGCTTGTCTACGACCCTGCCGGACGAATCTCGGCCAAGCAGGCTTGCAACCATCCGTACTTTGAAGACTACGTTCCCTCCGCGCCGACGACGACGACGCCCGCAGCAGCCCCGACAGCAGCCCGCAGTGCCAGCTACTTCCACTAGATGGGCGGAGTGCCTCCGTACATGTGATGCTCTATCCGATGGCTTCCGAGATGGTGAACGAACGGCTGGTATGGTTTCCACCCCTATCGGTTTCAGGATACCTCGGCATCTTTATCATCACCGAAACGCCATATACTATAAGGGGGTGGTGGAATTAGGCAAACGATATTGTGCTCGACACTATTTTGTCTCGTCATCTCTCAATGGTCGAGGAAGCCGCTCAAGGGGGAGTCCACTTACTTGTGTGCGATGAATATTTGTGAGCCTGCCCATATCTCACTCGTCTCGTTTCGGTATCACTGTTTGATGCCAAGGAGGCGTGGGCATCACAGAGGGGGTAGAGACGGGTAACATGAGAGTGCTGCTCGCATCACGATGCGCTGGATCTGACGAGACGGATTCCTCCGCCGCATATGCCTGCTGATCGGAGGAATACGAGGTTGAGACGGGCTTCTTTGGCCACTATTTTACTGTTTTTTTAATGTTTTTCATGTACAGCATATTCAGGGACACTGCCAGGTTTTATGGAAGGAATGGGTAACAATCAGCATGAGGATAATAGTAGATGACATGAATGATGGAAAATGACTTTAAGGGACTGTCTGATCTGAAAGCTGGTTGTTGAGTTTGTGCTATTGATACCGCCTGCTTGATGCTCGCCACGATTGACGATGGTTCAAGTGCCATCAGAAGCCTCCAAGGAAAGGTAACATTTCAGCTTGAGATGCATGCAGGGAGCAGCCACGGCGCTTCCCTCGGCGGCGTTTCATCAACCGCGAGATGCTACCTCGTACACTTGCTTAGACGCCGTTGCATTGCATCCCTTGGATCGGAACCCCCCCCCTTTTTTTGCTTGTTCCGAGAGGGAGGCTGACAGACGCCCAACTCTACCTAGGTACTCATCCACAAGGTACTTTCAGGGATAATACTACCAAGTACCTTGTCCTTATCTCCCTTGTCTGTTTCAAGAGGAGGGACGTTTTTTAGCATCCAGGGTTGTGTGTGTACAACTTCAGTTCTTTACATGGCTTTGGGCGCTTATTGCGGGTTTGCGCCTAATTGGCCAATCGCGTCGCTGGGTTTCTGGAGCTGTTTATATATTGCGCCCAACAGCGGCGGCGCCTACGGGAGGTGGAGAGAATTGCTGGGAATGATGCGGCATGGAAGGACCTGAAACGGTTCGAAACCCTTGTTTTGTTGCGTTTCTTTGGCTTAGCACTATGAATGGCCCTTTGGGACTTGATTTGAGTACCTACAGGAAGTAAGTAGCATACATGCAGGTATCTGTTTGTGGGCGAGGCTGTGTTGGAAGCTTGGCGGACTGGATGCCGAGGGTTTCGGAGTCGTGAACATGTGAAGAACGGTAACGTTATCTTTCTTGTGAGGATCTGGTATGAGGTGGGCAGCATTTGGGTATGTGTGTGTGTGTGTGACGTTTGACAATTTCAGCTCGATTGGGTTTCTAGAAGAGCTGGGAGGGTGGATTATCACGGCATGGCCGGGGTAGACTGCCTAACGCGGTGCGAGAAGGCGGTTTGTGAGATGGATGTTTACGGTGAGACATGCATAGGGGCTGAGGAGGCTCTAGTACTACTACCACTGCTAACGTGTCCGAGGTTGTGGTAGCATGTATGTAAACACCTAGGTAGATGATACGAAGTTGTGCTGGGTGTAGATGTATGTATGTTGCATGAGGACAAGCCTTTTTGGATTGGTGGCCGCGTGGTGCTCGGTGATGCCACGCCAGGGTTACGGGTTGTGGTCGTTTGTATGTGAGGTACCTTACTAAGGAGCGTGATGATAGGGCGGTGATTTTAGAGAAGTTTCTTTGTTTCCGTCGGGTTACTCAGGTAGTATAGGCATGTGAACGAGCGCGACGAGTTGTGGGTGGACGAACGAGTCCCGGTGGTGCCGAACAAACGAATGCAACCAGCCAAGATGAGGGCTCTGTTTGGATGTTGAGATTGGTTGGACGGTGGGTTGGACGGATTGGACAGCGGCTGTGTTGCGGAATGATGCTGATGCTGCCTTGCGGGTTGCGGCTTGTTGGTGTTGCGTTTGGCCGAGGAGGATTAGGAGAAGTGAGACATTTGGGGACATATACATAGTACGGGTTATACTGCGTGGGTGGTGGTTAACTGCATGGTTGAATGGGAGGACGCAGGTTTGACGACTTGGGAAGCGGTTTGTTTGGCGCTCTGTGCAGGTTAGGTAGACTGAGACGAGGTGTAAGATGCTCAAATCCCTGCCTAGGTACTTGGACATTGTTGTTGAACGATGATGATGATGATGATATTGAGACTGAGATTGATAACAAAATGATGCATGTTTCGTTTCGACTTGGTTTGTCGGTGCAGTACAGCAAAGCCAAGTACTGCCCCTCTCGAAGCGACAAGTCCAAGAACCCGCACATGACACGAGATGCCGCATCCACAGAGACAAAGAGAGCTGCGCCCATGTAGGTTTTTTTTTTTTTTTCTTCCCTCAGTCAATGAGAAGCCCTGCGATGGTCTCCAAACTTACCCCAACGTGCAACAAGAAACCAGAAGAATCTGACATGTGCCACACCATGCTGCCCAACCATGGCGCGAGATTTGCCTGTGTAAATCAAATCATTGGGTGTAGCATTTCCTTTGGGATTGCAGAGGTGGTGGGTTGGGTGGGTGTCTCTGTTTACTGTAACTCCCGGGATCCTTGTGACCTTTGCTCCGGAGCCACTCCGTGACGGCATCATGTAAGGTATGGGGAGGGGAGGGGGGAGCGACTCGTGCGGATGGGTAGAAAGCCTGGCGTCACTTGATGCCGTGCATGAGTTGAGGGGGGGATTGTTGGACAAGTAGTTGTATACGTAGGTACGTACGTTGCCTAGATATTGCTCTCACATTGTTGAATGTCAAAGGAATAGAGGAGATTGCTACATACTTTGTCCCCTCATTAACAACCCCCGTGATCCTTTGGTTAATACTATCACCTACTAACTAACCTAGCAAGCAATATCTCTCCCCCCCCCCAACTTGTGCGTTTGTCACGAGGAATAATACAGTAATGAGCCTCTCCTGCCGCAAACAGCCGGCATTACGGACCGCCAAGAAGGGCTCAAAGAAAAAAAAGGTCGAATTTGCATCAAAGAGGGTCGAAATGCGCAACACTGGCTGTGCACACACGCACCTATTGTATTCATCTAATAAATCTGCCTAGCAAAAAAGAGCCATAACTACTAACATGTAGTAGGTCATCATGATCGCGCAGCAAGGCAGTTTATAGAACCGTATTCGGTAAGAAACCAACGATGCCTTTTCTCATGCTCATTCATCACTTATAGGTGGAACATGGCGTATAAGGTAGGTACCTACCTGGTAAAGGAGCTTGTGACTTTCCTTTGCGAAGGCGAAAATTGCGTGTTCATCCCCAGCCACACTCTCGTCGTGTCGAAAACGTGCCTCGTCAGCCACAGCTTGACATGGGGCTCAGACGAAGTGGGGCTTGCCATGGCTTCCCAAGTTGTTGGGGTTTCAGTACTTGTCCTAAGGTACCCTGGGTACCTTGTCCGCGAGTACCTCGAGATTGAAGTGAACAACTGCAAGAACCAAAGGAAGACCGAGGGAGTGGTGTGTCAATGTGTGTGTGTGGCTTTTTCGCGTTGCATTGGGCTTCAGTTCAGTGGCGCCAACGAGAAAAAGCGTGCAGGGTGCGCCATCTGGATTCAGGCGGCACGGGGCCAATCAGGACGTGATTCAGCAAAGGGCAGGGAAGAAAGTTGAGATCTCGCTTTTTCTTTTTCCTGCTGTCAAGGGTGTGAAAAGGACAGGGGTCTAGAGTATGTACGGGATCATCAAGTATTGCTAGTACTAGTACTATACTCCAAGGACTACAGTATCTACATAGTAGGTATGTTCAGTATGGTGCAATAGGAGGAGGGACTTTATCCACAAAGAGAGATTGGCGATGCTGCCCCTTGAGCAGTTTATTTTCCATCAACGGGCACAACAAAGAAGCAGAAGCAGATTCGAGGTCTACCTACCTAGGTACCTTATTGATAGAGGAAATGCATAGGTAGGTAGGTAGATGAGGTAATTGCCCAACATGGATATTTTACCCACTTCAACACGCTGGTCAATAAGAGCTGCATCAATCAATCGGCAAAAAGAAAGGTCCCTCTTCTTCTTTCCTCTCTGGGAACGATGCATGTAGTATTGTACAAGTATGTAGGTAGTACTTGTTGTATGTAGATAGCAGTGGCGGTGAAAGAAATAGAAGACGCAGAAGAAGCAAGAAAACGTTCGCATCGTCATACTACCAGTATGTACTATGCACAGCTACCCAGAGATGTATGTACAAGCATTGACAACGAAGCATGCGTCAACAGGGCACTCTGGCAATGCATGCTTGCCTTACTACTACCACTTGCCCATCTCAACATGACTTGCGCAAGAGACAGTTCGGGTGAGCATCTCGGCCATGCTCCGTCTCTAGGGAGAGCCATTGGCCACACAACCTTGATAACACAAGTTAGCAAAGGATCACCGTTTGTAGGAGTCAGAGATGGTGGCCATACCCAAGGCCAAGGTATCACCTACCAGTCACATGCTGCGGAACGGCCACCACCACTGCCCGCCTCGTCGATGTCCCTGGCAAAGGGAGAGCCAATGGCTCACTCGATTCGAACCGCATCGCCCGGATTGTGCATCTCCTATATTATCTCACGAGTACGAGATAATATGACTGGCAGCCTCCCTCGCCTTTCGCCTTTGTAGACATGGCGGTCCGCGGTGGTGCTTTGGTGTAGTAGTAGCACGAACAAAGAGCACTTGGTCACCATCTTTGCTTAGCCGTACCTATGCACTTGCTATTACTGCCCATGGTTTTAGTAAAGGTACTGTCGAATCGTCCCATCTCGGAAAGGACCCGGCTATACCAACATACCACATCAGATACCTAGGTATGCACATGCAACGACACGGCAAACAATTGGCACGGCTTGGAATGGTCCCATCTTCAGCAGTCAGGGATGATTCTGTCTCTCTTTCTCTACCCGACGTCGACCGGGGCCTCTTCCCTTGCCCGACAACCCCACGCTTGATATCTTTCTCGCCACGCTTTTTGATGCGTTGTCTTTCTCTCGTTGACCCGCTCGGGTAATACGTACCGAAGCAAATCCAGCCGGCATAGGAGACAGGGGGGGTGTTATGTATATCGCTGCAAGTGTCATTCACGAATATTACTGTACGTCCCATGGAACAAAATTGAAGACGATATTCATACCTAAATGTAACACATAGCTGTCATGGACCAATTTGTCAGACTGTATGCAAACGGATGAAGAAGGCCAACAGAAGAAAAAGAAGCAGCGAGAATTGGAGCTTGGGGCAATCTATTCTCGGGAGACACAGCAGCAGAGCAAACGCAGGCAATTCTGCTTCCCGCGGGAACCACCACCTCCCTTCACCTACTTTTTCGACAGGGTGGGACATTGTGGATCGAAGACGACATGTACAACAGCAGAGAGACAGAGAGAGAGAGAGACAGAGAGAGAGAGAGAGAGAGAGAGAGAGAGAGAGAGAGAGAGAGAGAGAGAGAGAGAGAGAGGACGGGATCCTTCTGCATGCTGCAAATGCATGTATGTACTACTCATTTCTGAACCCTGGGCGAACTCGTGGCATTGCATGAATCGGAAGGGGGACCATGATGATGACGATGACGATGACGATGATGGTGATGATGATGTGTAAACAGGAAACGAAAAAAAGAACTACCTACTCTGATAAGTGTTTCTCCTCCTTGGGTTGGAAGTGATTGGCCCCGTCCATTGCATGCATTGACTGGCTGGCTGTTGGCTTCTCGATGGAGAATAGGCATTAACAACGACATGCAAGAGGTCGAGTTGCTCAATGGGGGAGGGTCTTTGGGCTTCGAGCGAGAGAAACCGGCCTACATGTAAGGTATGTACGAGGTATGGCGGCTCGGGCGCCCATCAAACGCGGAGAGGCCACATGCCGCCTTTGATTGGTGTCCTGAACAACGAAAAGCAAAAGGGCAAAGGGCCTGAACATCGGGTACTTGGGAGAGAAGTACCATGGTTAGCTACAGCAGCTCCCTACTTTTACGGAAATGATCTATTATTTGACGGCTGATTAGTTCGTTGATTGTGCCGCAATCAGAGCTGCTGCTGCTGCTGCTGCTGTTGTTGTTGTTGGTCGGAACGCTGGGCGGACCGGACCTGCATCGATATTGTAGGCAAGGTAATAATGGATAGGTGCGTCCGTTTTCACGCCCCGTCTATCGGCGCCAAAGTTTATACGACAAAGGAGGATCCGCGGGCGGGCAATCTGCTGCTATTCGATCCGTGCTTTGACCCAAAATGCGGAGAAGAACCGACTTTGGCTTGGGCTCCAAACTACTACTAGTAGCGAGAAGCACCGCTCGGGATACTAGATAGGTGGTTGGTGCACATGTGATTCTTTGGTGGAGGGTGCTCCTGAATCGCGGCATTGGGGAGGAAAGACTTGTGGCGTTGGGCTACATAGGATAAGAGAGGCACATAAGCGGCATCTTGGGCAAACGCGGGTTTGATGGCGTGGAGGATGGTGCCGTAGTTGGGAGAGGCTTGCAGGCTTGCAAGAGTCAGGGGATTTCTACTCGTATGTGACTGGTATAGGTATCTTGATATCCCGGGTCGCAGGGCAGGGGAGCAAAGGTCGATAGGGCCAAGTTGCGGTAGATGAGCAGGAAGCGAGGGCTGACCATTGAGTCTTGAAGCTCAGCTGCAGAGGATAGAGCTTGGAAAACATCCATGCTAGAGGCTGGATGGTGATGGCTTTGTCCCTCGTAGCGGTAGATTACCCTAAACAATCAACTATGATAGTATACATACGAGTGCAAGGGAAGGCTGAGAAAAAGCAAGGAGGGCGAGCACTATCGCATTCCCCATTAACCACTAGACTCGGCCCTTGTCTGCACGCGAATCGGATCTAGCAGGGAGCTGTGAGGGCGCCCTGGAATGAAGTGCTGAAAGTATCACCGTTGCAGTCACGGAAGGGGTTCCCAGGTAGTCTCCTTCGAGCTGGCACGTCGTGATATTACAGTATATGGCCGAGTTCGGTAGTGCTTATTGTCACCAGAGCAGGCCGTAAATGGGACCCAAGAGACGCATCATATTATCCGCTTGCCCAACATGTGCCGTGCTAGTAACGCCATCCATTTCGGACGAAACAGGTTCAAGAAACAAAGGGAGACGAGGAGAAAAGAAAAAAAAAAAAAGGTACCGGGCCGGAAACAAGTAGAAAGCTAGACGCCACGTCGACGGCTGGGGATCGGAAACCCCATGCGGATATCACAAAGTTTGAACGTGCGTCTTACTCGCGGGAAGTTTATACCGTCTTGGAGGTTTACTAGCAGGATGGGCGAGAGAGGAGGGGAGACGGATGCTACCACTAGATGGTGATATCGATGTAGGACTGTCTTGCAGGAGGCATCTTGAATGATACTACTACCAGTATCTGTATCAGAGGGCAAAGCGGAGACAAATTGAATGATTGAGTCTGGGGAAAGTCGACAGAGGGCGAGAAACGACAGGCAGAATGTCTGGCATTAGGGCTGTCTGTCTAATCAGCTGCGCTCAGATTGATGTTTCGCATCCTGAGGTTCAGGGCAGAAGGGATGCGGGCCGCACTGCATCAATGCAATCAAAATCCCTTTCAGAAATTCCACGTCTTGAGGAATTATACTTTTCTTGCCCCTGCATTGGAGCGGCTCGTTGGATCGAGATGGTGGGTGGGCTGACTGATGCCTGTGCGAGGAAGGCCAAAAGCATCCATGATATGAAATGAGAAGATACAGGCAACTTGAAGCCAAAAATTAATGCCCGGGTTGGCATCGTTGGTGCCCGCGCGGCCGCAGTGTGGCTTTCCGTCACAGGGATACGGATAGAATAGGGATGTGATTGCTAGGAGATGCTAAACTGCTCATACTGCTCGAATCACTCGGTCCCCTTTGTGCAGGTCATGTCATCAAGTCTTCATGTCGACTACCTAGTGTCAACTGTATCACCACCTGAATGTCTCATGTGCATTTGCCATCTCCCTTGCTTTCTTTTGTTCATGCCAACTGGCCTTGATTGACTGATCCCTTCTGACACTTTACATCTGACTTGCCTCTCTGGGCAGCCGAGGCGTGCAGCTGAAAGGCGCCTTGGCGGCAGCTATTGGCCAGTGCGTCGGCCAGCGCATCAAGGCCTGACAGCAAATCATCTGCCCAAAGACAAGCAAGGGCGAGATAAGGCGAGCAGGTATCATCTCACGTGTCTGTGGACTCGCCCAGGATGAAAGGAATACACAGACCAACCCGAGACGTCACGGGCAAGACGAACACACACGGAAGGCGAGACAACAGCCTGTGTTGTAGGAGTACCTAAGTAGTACTTGCTTCCGTCTTTCTTAGGTGACCTGAGATGCTCCATCCAAAAGCGCCGGGGCCGCGGTTCGTTTTCGTTTGCCTGCTGATCCAGCTTCTCGTGCTTTGTCCTTCGTATCCGCCTCAGCGCCGCAGGCTGCCGCTGGCCTCGAGCCCGACGATTGGCCAGGCGCCGTCCCCGGAACGAGGTTGGGAGCGAGCCGCGGGCCGCCATTGGCCACGGCTCTCGATGCCAAATCGCCAATCGCCAGTCCCCAAGGCCAAGGTCCCAGGGCGGACAGGTCCCCATGCTGAGTGTTTCGAGGGGAGTGGAGCCTCTATAGATGAAGAGATGCGGAGAGCCACGGGTTTTGGAATTTGGGAGCCGGTTTCAGAAGCACGGCGTCGTGAGCCAATGAGGCCGCGCCTAGAGGCAATCAGCGGCAAAGCTCACAGTAGTAGTAGTAGCAGATGGACGCCTGTTGCCTCTCTCTCTCTCTCCTAGCTCTGCAGCTCTTCATCTCGTTGCTTGCTTGCGTTTCCAGTAGGGCTGTGGCAGGGAGATGAGGCCAGGGGCTGGCGGCCAGTCAATGGCGCGGGCGGCGTGTGTGGAATAGGCGCCGAGGTTGTTGCCCTTGATGCTGTGCTCTCGGATGCCCTGCCGGGGGTGTTTTGCAGCAGATGGCCATGGGCGGCTGTTGCATGTTGCCTGTTGCCTGTTGTTGCTGCTGCTGCTGCTGCTGCTGTTGCTATTGCTGGCTGTTGCAGGTCCGAATCAGCGGTTTGAATGACGAGGATTGGCGTTGGGTAACAGCAGAGCTCCCAAGGATACGGGATGCGCAGCTGGATCAGCGGTAAGAGATTTCGAGAGGCCTGGCGTCTTCTATTTTGGACGCCTTGCCGCGTGGGTTTGTTTCATCCAGCTCGCCGTGACTGCAAGGTGAACGTCGTCGGTCATTGTGCTATCCTTTTGCCATCCTTTGGCCATCTGGTGATAAATGCTCCGTATCGTCGTCCTTGGTTCCTTCCCGATCTCGTTCTTTCCCCCATCTCCATCGTCGTCTAATCTAATCTCTTTCTCTCTCTATCTCTTTCCTTTTCTTCTCGTTTCCTTGTCTCTCTAGTTTTTTTTTTCTCTCTCTCTCTCTCTTCTTCTCTCTCTTCCCTTTCATTCCCTCTCTGTCTTGTGCATCTCACACCATCCTTTGGCCTGGCTCGCCCTCTTTTTCTTGCCCTTTCGTGCCTTATCGATCCACTGGAACGCTGCAGCGCAGTCATCACAGCCTCTAATCGACGACAAAGGGAGACAATCTGCCCATCAGTCCTTGAATCAGCGTCACAGCATACCACCGCGTGGTAGCCACTCGACCTGTCCTCTCACTCGCTCGCCCATCACTCTATTCCTCGCCCCCTTCAGATCGACCGCTGGACGGCCAACCCCCCTTCTGACCATCACTCGACGCTTTGGACCCTGCATCTGCATTTACTGTACACCTGCCTGGCTGCATCACTAATTCCGGTAGCGCCTCTTCCTGCATTTTCGGACTCCCTCTCCCGCAAGCCCAATATATCTGCTATTGGATTCCAATCTGATCCCACAAAGGGCAGACCAATTACTTGTCACCACGCAAGGACGCCATTGGAAAGAAAAAGGTTGCATGATTTATATCATCTGCCTTGCCCGCCCTACATCGCATCTCTGAATACTTGGCATCGCATCACTCGACCCAGTTCCCCATCATCTGCCGACCAGGTCTTTGACTTGCAGCCTCTCCTCTTCTCACCGCATTCGCTTGTTGCCCAAGAGCATCACCGAATCCCGGCCCAATAGGCTCAGCAGCAGCTGATTGACCTGAGAAAAAGGAAGGACGTGAAAATCCTTTCTGACCCTTGACGCCACGTCTCAATCGGCCGACAGCTTTAGAGGCCAGCCGGCTAGACACGTCGCCCAAATCCAACCGCCTCGTCCAGGCCCAACCCAACGAAACAATTCGCCCCTCTTTCCGCTGGATCGGACGGCGCCACGTTGGCACATCGCGGAGGGCACATCGAGCCATCCAATCCAATAGGCCGGTACCAAGGTGCTGTAGCACGACATCGTGGCCTCGGAACCCACGAACCGGGCAGGATAGCAAGACTCGACTTGTTTGCTTTTTAAGGCGTTGCGCTCACTGCTGCTTCTTGCTTTCGGTTGTGCGCTTTAATCGTCTCTTGCTGCCCTCGTTAGTTGTACGACGACTACAAACAACACGGCTTGCTGTCTTGGTCATCCCTTAGACACGGGCTCATTGCTCCCAAATTGGCGACTCTGAAGATTCCATTGCCAAATCGATACGACACGCTACTTGGCCGTCAGGTATTGACTCAGCCATCATCTCCTCGTCTTCTGTCTCTCCTCGTCCTCTCGTCATCAACAGGCATCATCAGTCAGCCTGTTTCTTCCGCCGCAACCGGCCTCTGCTCTGCAGGAAACCCATATCCTGCTCTATTCATACCGACACAGCCATCGACATCCCGATCCTTCGCCACCGTCCGCCCGCGACACCGAACGCTGCCGCTGCCCCGAGAAGCCTCTCTTGACACCTCCGGGCCCAGCGCAACTCTAAACGAGCCCTGCTGAGAATCCCTGTCGGCCTGGCCGCTACCGCCCCGCCCAGCGTCTGCCAGCAAGAAACTCGCAGTTCTTTGACGGCCTCGCACCCGGACAAGCTCCAAGGTACCGCCACCCTCACCGCGCGTACAATTGCATACGCTCTCCAGTACCGGCACCCTTTGTACCTCGTCCCCAGCCACCAGACGCCAGCTGCGTGCTCAGGCTCAGGAACCTCATCGGGTACGAAGCAGCGCCGTACTGTACATACCAGTCTCCATCCGAACTGTTGTCTCTGACCGCCCCAAGGCCCGCCACGTCGACTGCAGCTCAGTACATTAATCGCCGTACCTCGCTGGTCGTGCCACGCCGTCGTTGGCTGTCTGCCGGTACATCGCATCCCGGTATCCCCTCCTCACGGCCCTGCCCCCCCTGCTCTCTGGACCGCGGCCCCCCTGTGCCCTCCATCGCCAACCCCTGCAGCCCGCAGCCATCCCCGCCGGCACACCACAGCAGCCCTCCACAGGCCCTCGAGCGACCCTCCGGCGACCCTCAGCGCCCCTCCACAGGCGGCCAAGACCCTGCCATCCCTCCCTGTGGCGCATCGCTAGCGCCTGGACCGCCAGCTGGTGTTCTTGTGCGAGTACACCCTTCCGGACGTGTACTTTGCCTGCACGTATACAGCCTCGTGTACAGGTCACTGGTCCGACTAAATAAGGGCCACATGCACACGTCCTCTCGTGTCTGACTTGACTGCGATAACTTGCTTTTTTATCAACGTTTGCCATCCCTTCTCCTCCTCATCCTCTCTTCCTTCGTCCATCTCGTCCTCCTTGCAACCCTCTCCCAGACCTCGTCCTTATTCTCCCTTCTCCTCTCTCGTGCCGTTTTTGTCTTTGGCCTGCATCCTCGGCTCAGCACTTGCCTCTCCCTCCATTGTTGCTTTCCGTGTTGGGATCGTTTTGTCTTTATATATCGCCGCTCTCGTCTTCCATCACCGTCTTTGCTTGTCTCGGTCCTTGTCTCCGGTCCTAGCTGTGCACTTTTCGCTCTTTCTATCCATTTCGACAGAGCCTTTCTCTTCAGCTGCATCCATCTGGACCGACACACCGCCGATCCGACTTACACCTCCCGACTTACACCACCACACCACCACCACACATCATCATCACCATGGCATCAAGATCATTCCTCTCCATGGACGACCTCAACAAGGCTGCTCTCGAGCAGTTCGTCTATCAGCCCGTCAGCCGTGACATGATTGCCTACCTGGCCAATGCTGCCCACAGCGTCATTGCCTGCGACTCGACGCTGATGCCGCCGCCGGCTCGGGAAGCCAAGAACCACAGCCAGGACCGACCTCCCACTCCGCCTCGCAGCCCCGAACCCCGGGCCGTCTGCAGCACCGACGATGCCCTGCCCACGCTGGAAGAGTTCATCACCCAGCTGGTCGTCTCGTCCAATGTCCAGGTGCCCACTCTCATGTCGACGCTGGTCTACCTCAACCGCCTCAAGGCCAAGCTGCAGCCCATGGCCCGCGGCCTGCGATGCACCACCCACCGCATCTTCCTGGCCGCCCTGATCCTCTCGGCCAAGTACCTCAACGACAGCTCGCCCAAGAACAAGCACTGGGCCAACTACACCCACATGAACACGGACTACTACAGCTTCGGCTTCACCCGCACCGAGGTCAACCTGATGGAGAAGCAGCTGCTGTTCCTGCTCGAGTGGGAGCTGCGCATCACCGAGCACGACCTGTACCGCGAGCTCGACTTCTTCCTGGAGCCTGTGCGCATCAAGATTGCCGAGAGGCACGCGCGCAAGATGCGCCACCGCGAGGAGAAGAAGCGCCAGCAGGAGATGTACGCCGCCGCCGCTCGGTATCCCAGCCCGGTCTCCATCCGGAGCTCCCGATCTCGCCATGCTAGCCCTGAGCACTACCGCACCCACAGCAGCAGCGGCTCCAGTCACGGCTCCATCACCCCTCCCAGCCTGGTCTACAGCTCCGCCAGCTCCTACGCCTCGTCCATCGCCTCGAGCAGACAGCAGTCGCCGTCTCCGTACATGTACGGTGCCAGCCAGGGCAGCCTGTATGACTCGCCCGTCGTGGTCATGGACCGAGACGAGGCTAAGGCGCAGGCGCCCAGCGTGCGAATGCTCTCCTACGACATCTCGGTCGAGCCCTACGAGCCGATGAACGAGGTGACGACCAAGAAGCGACACAGGCGCGCATTGTGGGAGCGCCTCATTGGCTCCGCCGCCGTCGCTGTCCGATGAACCAACAATCACTTGCATTGATTTGACCAAGTCAAACACCCTGGGCGTCTTTTGTGATTTCTTCATTCCTTTGTTCTTTGTTATACAGAAAAGCATGGCGTTGCGGACTTTCTTCTTTTTCTTCTTTACTTCCCTAGCTCATTTCAGACCTTCACAATCTATCACCACCCATGGTTCCAGCCTTTGACCTCCTTCGAATGAGCTGCATGGCCGGCGCATCGACAGCGAGACAAATCTTGGGGCATGCCCTTTTCGCCTAATCATCATCACCATCATCATCATCTTACACACATCTACACCATCACCAATTTGATATACAAAGACATCATGTGCATACGCCCAGCGAATCTTAGGGTCCGTGTCCTTTTTTTCTGTCATGTTTCTATTTGCGGGTTATGCTTTGGACTGCCAACGAGGCGAAGCTGAGGGGCTAGGAATCAGAGCGGAGGGACTGGACGGGGGAGCTGCTTACAACGGGGTTGGGTAGAGCCCTGCTCTTGGCTAGGGAATCGGGGTCAGGGAATATTCTGGAGTTTTTCTGCACGGCGGGATTTTGGGCCTCAATTTTGGTTGTCTTGTTTCTAAACACATCATGTCACTGCTCGGGTTTGGGAGTTGGATGACATGCTTACAATTTGGACTAATTCCTTTTGTCATTTCCCTTGAGGAGGATGAGAAGAATTACTGCACTCTACAATTAGATAATGGCTTCACTCTAGAGTTGGAGGGCTGCCCATGAATATCAGACAAGCTCGAAGCAGCTTACGATTGATCACATCACACACTGCCTTGTCAGCACTTGTCCCCTCGCGCCCGTGGCTCGGCTTCTGGTTTGTGACCGTGCATGCACGAAAGCAGTGACTGGGTTTGTTTCAGTAAAATGAAGTGTTGGGCGAAGGCCCCAGAGGCTGTCGATGCTAGGGATTTGCAGCTGATCTATTTCGTTCTTCTGCAACCGGCGTGACATGTATGACAATCCGTCCATCCCGTCATCCTCCCTCCGCAATTCTAGTATCTACGTACGATACAGTGGGTGTGAGATTTGTCAAGTTGTTGAACCCCCCCTTGCGTGTTTAATTTCGATCTTCAGCCCTGGGTGTTTCGGTACTAGTTTACGAAGCCAGTTGCATCTACGAGTGTGACGCAGGATTCATGAATCACGGAGGCGGGAGGCTCGAGAGGAGGCAAAAGAGGGTGTGGGGGAGAAATAAATCGGGGAGAAACAGTGGACGGGGTCCGTACGGTTCACAGGAGCAAGACGAGGCGAGGATAGAGTACATACCTAAGGTAGGTAGTAATGGTATGGTAGGTACCTTACGTTGTTTTAGATTTTTTTCTGGGGGTCTGTGGCGGGAGATTTACGTGGTTTTCTTGGGGTGTTGGTGTGGCTTTGATGGAAGATGGAAGTGTTTGGCGTGTTCGCATGTTTCGTCGATACGCGTGTTTGGATTTAATTCACCTTAGTAGTACCTTAGGTACCTGGGTAGGAAGTTGTGTGTGTGTGTGCTGCGTACTCGTATCGTTACTGTGGGAGGCGTGTAAGTGACGTGTAACACGGAAGTCGTTCGTTGTTCTTCACCGATCGGATAGGAAAGACGGGCAGGGCAGGGCAAGGTTTAGCGACGTAGAATCCGGGATCTTGGGATTCAAATTGAGGCGTGTATTGTATATGATTTTCTTCTTTCTTCCATGTCACATTCCGAGAGTCCTTGTGCAGTCTATCAAATTAAATTGCTGGTTTACCTTGATTCATCCGTTTGCAGATGCAGTGACACCCCGGGTTACATTTTGTTCATATTTTTTTTTTTTTTTTTTTTTTTTTTTTTTTTTTTTTTTCCTTTCCGTACCTAGGTAGGTGCTAGGTACTATGCTTCCATGGTGCGTCACTGCATGCGTGACGGGTGTCATTTTCTTTTTTGTCGTTGCACGAGAATCCTTTTGTGTGCTTTGTTACATTTGTGGAACATTCGAATCTTGACTACCTACTAGTATCTGCTTAAGAGGGTCTGGATTTGTACGTACGTACGTCTTTGGACCAATCTCAATTTACTGCGTTTGCAGATGGATGATTAAAGGCTGAATTTTGCGATGCGGGCGTTGGACAAACGAAAGAAGGCGAATAACAGCTGATGCGCACTTGAGATGCTGCTTTCCGCACAGGGCACATGGTTGCCATGCAGGAGCTACCGTAAAGACACAACATCACCTAAATACCTACTACTAGTACCTAGTATAACAGCAGCACCGTTTTGTTATTAGTAGTCGCAAAGTAGGATACCTTGGTAGGCACACTAGTTGCGGACATTATATCCAACGCAATAAAGGGGACGGCAGGAACAGTAGGCTAAGAGCCCCTTCTAGAGAGGTCAGTTACATAACTATAAGGAAGGTTAATAAAAAGCTATATAAAGGCTATAGGGATCCAGTCTCTTATATTTATATATATACTTACTAGCTAGTTAATTAATTAATTTTATTATATTAAGACCTCTTTTCTATTAAAGACCCCTGCTTCTCCTTTATAATAATTAAAACAGGGGGTTAAAAGTATTTTATTATATTTAAAATAGTTTATTTATAATATGCTTAAATTTTATAAGTAGTAAAAAGTATAGCTATATAGCTAGTTAAAGCTAAGTATTATTTATATCTTTTTAATATATTAGCTTATATAACTTATTAAATTTACTTATTATTTTATTTATTTTTTTTAAGACTTATTTATTTTATTAAAATATATAAAAGTAATACTTTTAATATAAAAGTTATATTATATATATTATTATAAAAAGACCTTTTTAAATTACTATTAAAATTATAAAATTTTAAAAGTTTAATTAAGCTAGGCTAATTATAGTAATTACCCCTATCCCTTAAACTAGGCTTAAAAAGCTAAGCCTTTACTTATTAAAAAATAAAATTATAAATTACTATAGCTTTAAACCTAGCAGCTAGATTTATATCTGCCTTTATTATAAATATAAACTTACTAAAAGAAATTATATAATTATTATAAAATAAGTTAAAAATTAAAAATTCTAGTTTTTTTACTTACTTTTTTATAAATTAAGACTTAGAACTTAATTTTAATATATAGTTTAATATATAAAACCTTTTAAACTTATTAAAGCTTAAAACAGAATACTATTTAAAGCTAGAAAAGGATAATAATTAAAATAATATAAATAATATAGGAAATATTATAAGGTATATATATACTATAGTAATAACCTTATTTAATAAATCCTATTTTATTTTTTATTAGCTAAATTACTTAAAAGTATTTTTAAATAATAAAAATCTTATTCTTTTTAATTATATAATTAAATATATTAATATAAACCTTATTAGCTTAATAGCTAAATTTATAAATTTTACTAATTTCTTATAAAAAATTAATAATAAGGCCTTAAATAAAATAATTATTATAAAAAACCTAAATATATTTTATAATATATTAAAAAACTAATTTCCTATCTTTATATATATACTTAACTTTAATATAAAATTTAATAATTTATTAAAATAAAAGCTAAATAAATCCTTAAAAGTATATTTAACTAAAGCCTATATAGCTTTTTATAAAGCTAAAGGTAAGGATTATTTTTTAATAAGCCTTTTATTAATTTAAGTAAAAGACTATTATTTAAAGGACTTTATTAAATAAATAGTTATAGGCCTAAGAGATAAAACTTTATAAAAGAAAGCAGTTAACTAATTAGCTATATTTACTAAAAGTATAAAAGCTTTTATTATAATAACTAATACTATTAAAGCTATTATTTATATATAAAAAGACTTAAAAAAAGCTTAATTTAAGAAGGCTTATATAAAAGCCTATAAGCATATTATTTAAAAAAGGTTTAAAAAAAACCTTAATTATATTTTAATAAAAGAATTTAGCTTTAATTTAATAATACTATTAACTATTTTTTAAAAAGTAGTAAGTTATTTTATAAGCCTTACTTTAGGCTTTTTAATTTTACTTTATTATAGCTTTTAGCAGACTTTATAATAGCTAATATAAAACCTAGTGCAGCCTTTAACTTTAATATTAAAATTACTATTACCTTTATTATTAGCTTTTACTAAATATTATAGCTAAAGTAATAGTTAATATTATAATAGTTAATTATATAAGTAATTTAGTTTTATTTTAATAAACTAGCCTAAGGCCTTATATATAAAGCCTTTTATATACTTTAAGAAAATGCCTTAGGCTAAAGGAAGCTTTAAATATATATACCTTAAGTTATTTTTTAAATAAGATATATTATAAGACCTTTTACTTTATTAAATTTAAGAA